GTACCAGCCTTAAGGCTGCTTCCGTGCCCGCTGATTACCCACTTCGCATGGGATCCGATTCGGCTGAGTTAGCCCACTGAGGAACGTACCAAAAGCAACTCATGTCTGCTACTGAACGTAAGGCCACGGGTATACGGAGTTGTGAACTGGTGGCACAAGCACTTCAAGTTGCAGACACCTATGTTGTTCGAGTCGTGTGAACGAGTATACAAGACAGATTATGTCAACGGTTATCCTGGCGCTCAGGACACTTATGGCGGATACGTACCTGCAATGTTATTTTCTGCCGAGATACCCAGAATGTTTGAACCGTTCGATGCAAACAGTTTCAATTTGGATCGGGGTTTGAAATATAAGTTTAAGTGAGGATTAAGTTGTGACACGCGCTCTGGACACTCCATCACATTATCTTTATTCACTACTATATTAGCATCAATATGACGCTATGCATCTAAAAAAGTCGAACCGGTCAAAACCAGTTTTGAACTTGTTTTCAACAGAAGCCTGTATGTAGCTGAGCGCCTAGCGTCGCCTAAGTAGCTCTCCACCAATGAGAGTGCACACTTATTGCTGAAGAAAGTTTCAAATGTCACCTTGCGGAGCAAGGTCACTTCAATGCGGCGTTTTCTGCAGATTCAAAATACGGACAAATATGTGATTAAGGAAAACCGGAAAACCCAACACACTGAGGATGAATATGTCATCCGAAAATCCGGAACATCCCAGTCTCACGGATTGCATTAACTCCCATGATGCAAGTAAGTAAATAACGATGAACATAAGACAACATGAATCAAACATTGTGTCGTACTGTCGATCCCAGAGAATCAGACAAGAAACTGCACCACCATACAAATACATCAAACTTACCGGATACCATCACATCTGAAGCGCTGCTAATATCTCAGCAGCAATGTCATTGTCTTCCAGGAAGAACTGTGTATAACCGCAAAAGTTGACGAGGTACAAAATTATAACTAGGGAAATGGTCAATTATAACCGCCTGAGATTAACTCTCAACATACCAGGTAGTGCTGGATGTCCGCGAAGTTCTCGTGCGATAGCCGTGATGTCAATTACTGTGTGATAATCGCTCGAGACCCAATTGCAGCAAGGGAAGGTATGAAAATGACTCAATCCTCGTGTCTGAGTCTCCGCTATAAGTGATTAACGTTAACATGGACTCCAACTTATAGTGTAATCAAAGACCTATCAAGAATGTGCCTGATAATGCGGATGGCAAGTTGTTTTGCATTTTAATCGACATTGTGCGACTGAACAACACGAAGTTTACATCACCAAACACAAAGACTACGACGGTGACATCATATTGAGTAAACTAACGATGACGCAAAATTACATAAGTATTAAACAGTAATGATGAAATGTCACTTTCTCGGACGTTTGGCCATCGAGAACGCCAGCCGCCAATATACCCTGGGCTGTGTTCACCTGGACGATCCCAACGGTTCATTTAAATTTTTTAGCATGGTCGAGGAGACGAGCATGACATCACTTACTAATGTGTTTCATCAAAAAATTTTTTAGTATCCTTTACTAGTTCATCAATGCATCCATCTTCAATGCGCAGATCCTCGGATGGATGTCGAAGAAATAAATCTTTATCAAAGTCTCTCAACAACCTTATTGATTCTCGTCCATGGCTTCTGGACAATGCAACATACACGTTAAATGGTGACAACGAAAAACATGTTGTCTTGCTGATGTCAACCAACACATATTCAATGGTCTGACCTTGAGATTTGAAATCTGTAAACGCGTAGGCAGGCACTAACGGCAATTGACGTTGCATGATTCGGGTCACTGGCGAGGAGCCAATAGAGAATTTGTACTGCACTGGAGTTAATGGTACGTGGTGAGGATGAAGGCCTGGTAATGGAGGTAGCTTGCAGAAGTCCAGTTCCAGAATAACCATCGCTGGTGGGTAGTGCAAGAAAACCTTGCGTTCGGCAATAGCCTCTGCTGAAATTGGATCCTCCCTCACATCTAAAATAATATTGGCTACACGTCCTCGAGATCTGTTGGAGAGATTGGCAGTAGTGGCTAAGTTGCGTGTAACCATGACTCACATGCCTTTGACCAACCAAATCATTGTAGGAAGCTGTTCGGTATCTTTTAGAGCCATATGAGCAACCGTAAGGTGTCCACGGGGATCCAATGATGTGCCGTGAGCAGAATCCTCTGTGGGACAGATATACATCATCTCATTGGATAATGAACGATGCTTCTCCGTTGCATGGTTGTTCCATTGAGTTTGTACACTGTTACGAGGCATGATGAGTACAGTGTCTCTCCATGGGATACTCGTAAAATCAGGAACGGAACAGTCTTCTGAGGTTAATACCAATCGCTGGATTTCAGTAAGGTTGTCATTTGTACATGCGCCGATTCTAGCGTGATCCAGAATATTGACCCATGTTGGATCAGTGATATGAATTTGCCTATACAATTTGACAACTGTGTCAAACTGCGTGTAGATGTTTTTCCCAAGCTTGCATTTGCTTGTTGTGGGATGTTGAGAATACAAAGCGCAATGTCGACCAGCTACCGGAGGGAATTGATGAAAGTCCCCTAGGATTATGACACTCAGTCCACCGAATGGTGTAACCACCATGCTTGGAGGTACTCCATCTGCTGCACGAAATGCAGACAACACTTGCAACAACATATATAATGTGTCAGTTGTCAACAAACTCATTTCATCTGTCGCCAATAGAAGTTTGGCATGCATGTGAGCATAATGGCACCTTGATGTCTCTGTGCTAGGACGAAATATCCAAGAGTCGGTACGAGGCATTCCCTTGCCAGCAGGAAGAGTGCCCCAAGAATGTAATGTTTTACCGCCAATTTGACAAGCAGCTACCCCTGACAGAGCGGTTTTTGCGAATCGCTCAGAACTACCGACAGTCTCGAACATATCAGTTATAGCTTCAAGTAAACGAGTTTTGCCAGTTCCAGCTTGACCATGAACAACCATAAGAAGCTGCGGAGGATTGTTGCCGAGAAGAAGTTGATGGACATGTTCTGCGACAATAGTGAAAGCTATGGACTGTTCCTCATTTAAATAACTCGGCGGTGGAACAGGGGATAGATGAGGGTCGTGGTTGAGGGATTTTGCAGTTAGCATTGCAGATGGATTATCTTCGGCAACGCCATTGAAAGGTTCAACAGTGCTAGAAGCACTGGCAGGCGCACGCGAAGGCTCCTCCTGAAACAGATCTGCTTCTGCAATATATTTTTGCCACAACATACAATTCTCTAAGTTCTCCTCCATCGCAATGGGAGTGATAGACGCAGAAACATGATTGGAAGGATTGGAAGTCGGAGCGAAAAATTTGAATTCATCGGCAATATTCATCACAACCTCAGCGTATACCATCTCTCGAGTGCTAAGACCATCTTCACAAGCTCGTAGGACATCTTCATCAGATATCCATTCCTTGGTGACTTCATTAACATCGCCCGCACCATCCAATTCCGCCTCTTCATTGATATCGTCAATATGTTCGCCCGCTGCAACAGCAGCAAAGGTATAATCACGAGTCGCTCGATGTTTTTCTTGTTCTCATTTCGCCTGATCAGAGCAATCATGAAAATATTGGATATTATCGACAATAGTCTGAACTTCTTTTGGGGCGCTCGATATAAAGCACTTGAATGCCGTCTCGAAAGTTTCATCTGCCTGCTTCAAAGTAGTCACATCCCTCCAAGGTTTCAGTAGCGCCAGCATTGATGCGCAATATAACGGGTAAGATTCAGGATCATTGGAATGAGGAAACCATGGACCCGGTATATGAGGCATTGTTTCATGGCCTTCTGCACGAAGTACCCGAATATGACCACAATGAGCAGATCCTGCTGCGTAAGGAAATCGAACACTAGTCCCAGCCTTTTTATACACTTCGGGGATATCAATGTTGGACCATATGTCATACATATTGAGAAAAAATTCGAGATAGCTAAATGCCTCAAGGGCAGATCCCCGATCAACGTATTCACGTATTTGATTGCGAATTCGAAGTGACCCATCATGCATTTCAACAGTAACGTATTCGCTCTATAGGAACATAAGACTGACATATAAGAATCGGTCAGGTATAACACTTACCTGAGAGCTCGCAGTATCTCCTTGGACCGTCAATCCTTCGGCAGAAGAACTACCTTTACTACAAAAACCTATTAGATCTTCCGGTTCACTAACATGTCAAAAGACTTACTGTGGACCTCTCAAAAAAGTGAATGTGCGCTTCAACAAACTCACCACAGAAGTCCAGTAAATGGTCTGGAAATGGTGGGATATATATTGGTCACCCCAACCCATCAAATACAACACAACTTCGGGAGCACTAAACTCTTGTTCCTGACTAAGTGCATTTGCGCAGCGCTGTATCGGGCGTTTGTTCAAAGTCTGAACATCACTATTGTGTGCTTCATCCCGACGATGGTACGCAAACATTTTTGCAAGAAGTGCTGAGGCGTTACAAGAATGCTGTTGGCATTTTGCCGCATAGGAAGAAATGTACCATGTGATGTGTTTCGTCCTGTCCCCATTGGTAATAAGCTTGATATCATGATTAGAGCGAGTTGCCAGAAGAATGGTCAGATTCCAATTATTCAAGAAACGATAACTTCTATGGGGACCCCAATCGCCATTGGAATCTATCCATGCATCAGGGGCTAGTGGAAACGGTGTGCGTCTTTTACACAACATACGACCTCATGAAACTTTAAGGCACCCTAGACCACACTTGTGGATTTGAACAGTGCGAGCTAGTTGACCTTCTACAGCATATCGATTTCTGGCAAACAACGATTGACGAGGATCGAGTGGCCGAGAGTAGGACACCGCCTTTTCACAAGGAATTGTCGCTAATGATTCTTCTGTGATGTGGTCGTGATGAGCTTGGATATTGGATGTGATATATTCCGCGATGCGAGTCCGGAATTCGGCAGATTGTAGACTTTTTTTCATTTCCACCGCAGTAAGTGAACCTCATATCCATAAAAGCATATGCAGGTGTAATGTTCCTCGACCTTGAGCCTCCACTGCACCAATATATTCTTCAACCACCCCAAAAATACCCTCGCAGCGCACAATGCAACCTCCTCAACCATGTGAATGAATTGTGATGCCGAACAACTCTTCAAGGATGGCACCAATGACGAAATGAAAAAATTTAGCTGCGGCATATGGATCATCCACAATGATCTTCGCCCATTGGGCAGAATCAAGTCCCGCAGTACAGTCAAAAGCATCGAGTTCGATTTGCTCTCCCGCTAACACTTGAACAATTGGATCATGAGTATCAGTGGGATTGATTGTGATCCACAACGACGGAGGATTTTTCATAACTGTCATACCCCAAATATATGCGCGAATGCTGATCCGCGATTCATCTGTCCCTATAATGTTGGCTCGTACAGCACTGACATGCTTCTTCTAATGCACGTATAGTAGGATTAGACGGAGCTTCCTTTTTAGCCTCCTCTCGAGCCATGGTAACCAGATCCTCAGGTGTTAGACGTGCGAAGGACGCCTCATTATCATAAAACACTTTTTTCTTCACCTGAAGAACAGCGGATCGACAAACCTGTCGCTTTTGAATGATGCCAAAGACTTGAAACATGAAATGAAAATCCTTCCTGAATTGTTTATCGGTGTACTGCATGGCCCATTTGGTGTGAGTGTTACGCCGAAGTATAATGCAGGCAAACAATAATCAATAAGACCAAAGGTCTGTCGATACGTTCAAGACAACAGTCTTAAGAATGCCCAAAGTCAAGTTAAGGCTAAGTACCGAAGAGGTAACTTAGAGTCAAGTCAGATGTTCAGAGGAAAACCAGCGTAGGTTAAGCTGAAGAATCAGCGTCACCTAGCCAGGGTTTATATAGTACAGAGGGTACAGGGTATGACGTAATAATAGGTATGTATCAGTAAGCACATGCGTAAGCAATGAGGCGTCTGAGTAATACCGAACTAAATATAGCATGATGAGAGACATGCGTAGTAAGCGTGTATCAAGGGAAAAAGAAACAAGATGAACACAGCCGTAACATCACCCCCTTCTTACGTGGAAAATCCCAGATTTTCACTCAAGACCATGATGCCTATCGTCCTCCGTTCCTCCTAGCCCGTCAAGGGCCTCAAAGAAACTCTTTCCTCCATAAGAATCAACGTCAATTGTTGAAGTTTCTCTTTGATGTCTCGAATGCTATAGTCGAGAGAGAAGAGCTCGTCTTCTCTGTACTTGGCATTGTGCCTTTCCAAGGTATTTTTGAGACAATCTCCGAGGCGGTAGAGGTCATAAAGAGCGTTGAGTGCGGGATCAGTATCAATGGCGTCTTTGATAGGGTTCTTGAAGAGTTTGGACGACAGCATGATCCTACGACGAAGTCTACGATCTTCAAGATCGGACAAGTAGGGGTCAGTCACTACTCTCCAAGGAGCTGCTCATCGACGAGCTGCAATACGCTCACGGGTACGGATAGTAGTGGGGCTGGCGGGAGTGTCGATGAATGTGGGGATAACTGGTTCATTAAATATTTGATATGGGGACGATCGTCCCGAAGGAGGCATAGGGGATGTCGGACGAGGGGGTTCAGGAGAATTTCTTTGACTAATAGTCATATAGTGAGGATGTGGGGAGAAGACGGGAAATCTAAGGTTCGGAATGGGTACGTTTGGGGCGCTGTTGTGCGTGATGACGAGGTTTATGTCCTCGTCGCTGGAGGAGATGTAGTTACGTCCACCGGTAGAGGGCATGGTCTGAATGGTTTAGTGATGATGGTTCGAGTTGAGAGGGGATTGAGTCGATGTGCCTGCTTATATCTGTTCAAGATTTCAGCGGAGTTGGCTAAATCAGATTCCGACAACCATTCATTATCGGCCGATGGGTAACCTTTCCATTTGACAAGGAAGCGTCGTCGTGAGAGAGTCCCTTTATGTCCGAGGATGGCTTCTACCTCGTGTTCTTCTTCTCCATCAATTAGGTCAGGAGGTGGCGATGGGAAATTAGGACCGTGTTCTTCATTTTTGCGATAGGGGGTTAGAAGTGCTGCGTGGAATACTGGATGAACACGCCATTGGCTCAGGAGTTTTAGGCGGTATGTGACTGGTCCGAGGACTTCCGAGATAGTGAAAGGTCCTTCTCTCTTGGGTGCTAGTTTCCTATTGGGGTAATTGAGATGAAGGTTCTTTGCTTCTAGCCAAACCTTGTCGCCTTTCTTGAAGGGTGTGAACGATCGGGTGATTCTTTGCCTCATGGTTTGTCTAGCGAGTTCGTGTGAAGATAAGGCTTCTTCTCGAGCCTTCTGGAGTTCTGATATTCTCGCTTCGACGGCTGGGAGGTCCGATTTCTTGGTAGCCAATGGTAACACTTGAGGATGGTATCCCATCATGAGATAGAAGGGAGAAGCATTACGTGCAGAGTGATGTCGGGAGTTATGTACGAATTCTGCCATGGGAAGTTTTTCTGACCATGAGGTTTGGTCGTTTGCGCAGAAGATGCGGAGGTACACTTCTAGTTCTTGATTTACTCGTTCAGTTTCTCCATCAGTTTGAGGGTGAAAGGCGGTAGATAGTGCGATTTTATATCCAAGAAGTCGTCCTAGTTCTTGTGCGAACTTGGCTGCAAACTGAGGTCCTCTGTCAGAGATGATCTTGTCATAGAGTCCGAAGCGTGTATAGACGCGGTTGAAGAATACGTCGGTGACTCCTTCTGCATCGATCATCTTGTTGCAAGGCGTGAGTACCACCCCCTTCGTAAGCCCATGGTCTACCACGACCATGATAGAATCGAAGCCATTTGATGGAGGAAGGTCTACGATGAGGTCAACGGAGCATTGGGCAAAGGGGTGGGATGAAGTGGGGGCGGGAATAGGGCAAAGTGGCAGCGTCGTAGGATGAGTGTTGACCTTGTTCTGCTGGCAAACAGCACAACCTTCGACATATTTGCGAACGAAGGTGGGAAGGCCTGGCCACCAGTAATCATGAGAGAGGAGTTCTTGGGTTTTAAAATGACCAGGGTGGCCGGCGGTAGGGGAATCGTGATGCAAGGAAATCAAATCTTTCCGTAGAGGTCCTGGGGGAACGTAGTTGCGACCTTTGAATGTAAGGATAGCATCAGAAAAGGTCCAATCAGAGAGTGCCGACTTCATAGGGAGGGGTAGGGAGGGATTAGAAAGGGCATCGATAGTCTGTTGAACTACAGGATCTACTGAGGAAGAGATGCGGAGTTGTTCCTGCATGGAGGTGTCGATGAGGTTAATGAACAGCCCGTCTGGAAGGACAGTGACGTCGGAATTGTCCTTAGCGTCAAGGGGAATATGATCAGGTCGGCAAGATAGGGAATCAGGAACGGAAAGGTCTTTGCTGGGTACATGTTGGAGTTGCAGGTCAAATCGAGAAAGGAATAGGAGCCAACGAGCTTGTTGACGATTAAGTTGTTGGGCTTGGTGGAAGTAGGTCAAATTCTTGTGGTCAGTCATGACAAGAACTGGGAAAGGAGATCCTTCGAGGTAATGACGCCAAGCTTCCAATGCTCGTATGATAGCTAACAATTCCCGGTCAAAGATTTGATAGTTTCGTTCCGCTGGGGAGAAGGTTTGTGAGAGGTAAGAGCAGGGATGCCAGTCACCGTTAGAGTCTTTTTGAAGAAGAACGCCACCAGTAGCATAGAGAGATGCATCAACGGCGATTGCAAACGGTGCGTCTTTGTCAGGGATGGAAAGTACAGGAGCAGAGAGGAAGCGGTTTTTCAAGTCAGTAAATGCCTTCTCGCAAGCTGATGATCAGTCAAAGATAGCATCTTTCTTCGTAAGGTCAATGAGTGGTCGCGCGATAGTTGAATAGTCAGCAATGAATCGACGGTAGAAGTTGGCGAATCCAAGGAATGATTGAACATGTTTGACAGTCGTAGGTTGTTCCCACTTGACTACTCCATCAAGTTTGACTTTGTCCATGCAAATTTGTCCGGGACGGATAAGGAGACCAAGGTATTCGACTTTGGTGGTGTCGAAGACACATTTTTCGGGTTTGAGGGAGAGCTGGTGATTGCGAAGTCATTGTAATACTCGCATTGTTCGTTGATGATGGGATTCGAGGTCTTTGGAAAAGATTAAGATATCGTCCATATAAATGACCATCCAACCTTCGTCTATCATGTCGGAGAAGATGTCGTTCATCATTGCTTGGAATGTTGCTGGGGCGTTGCATAGACCAAAAAACATGACCGTTGGTTCGAAGAGTCCTCTTGATGTTTTGAATGCTGCTTTCCATCTGTCTGGACCATGAATTCTGACATTGTTGTATCCAGCGCGAACGTCCATCTTAGTGAAGATGGTTGCGCCCTTCAACTTGTCAATGAGGTCGGGAATGCGAGGAAGTGGATAAGCATCCTTAACAGTTGCGTCGTTGAGTCTTCTATAGTCCTGGCATGGGCGAAGAGATCCGTCTTTCTTTCCTACAAAGAAGAAAGGAGACGCTTGTGGAGATTGAGACGGTATGATAGTTCCTTTTGCCAGATGTTCATCTACGAATTCGTTCATTGCCTTTTCTTCCGGTGTGGATAATGGGTAGATTTTGCAAGAGCATGGTTCGAAGTCTGGTTTCAGTTTTATCTTGTGGTCAAAGGGTCGAGACGGGGGCAGAGTATCCATAGCTGCTTTGTCGAAGACGTCTTTGTACATGTGAAAGACTTCAGGTACAAGCTCTTCAAAGGTCTTTGGTTTTTCCTTTGCGTACGCTTCCTGTGCTAGTTGTTGAGCGACATTGGCAGCCTTTCGTACAGGAAGAGGAGTGAACATGAATTGAGCAGAGTTGGGGATTTTGGAGATTCTGTTCGTTCAGGATAGGAAGGAGAATGTGGTGGGGATGTGTTCTTGTGTAAGTGGTGAGTCGAAATCGATTTTCTCGTACATTCCCACGAATGTTTCTCCTTTAACGTAAGCGATAAGAACTTTGTCATCTTGTAGTTCTTCTATTATTTCTTCTTGATCTTCTTCTTCTTCTTCGGGTAGAAGTTCCGGTTGTTCCTCGGGAATATCTTCCGAGGGTATGTATGCTTCTTCTTCTTCTATTTCTTCTATTCTTGGCTGCATAGAAGCATGTTTGTTTCTGTCGGAGATAAGGGTTTGAATCATGATTGGGTCTTCTTCTAGTGAGATTTCGCTTTTAGCCCAGTCTATTGTTGGATTTTCATTTTTGAGCCATGGAAGTCCAAGGATGATGTCTTCTCCTCCGAGGGAGGTAATAAGGAAGGTGGTGAACATAGTTCGGCCTCCTGCTGAGAAGAATAGATTGCAGGCCTTATTAATAGTTCCTTTGTTCTTCGTTCCATCCACGTTCCGGACTTCGATTTGTGAAGGGAGATTGTGAGTTGAGAAATTGTTCTTTCATACGTATTTCCAGTCGATGAAGGTTCCAGCGGCGCCCGAATCAATTAGGGCTGCTGCTTCGGCGGTTTTATCGGACTTGCAGGATTCGATCGAAATAGGAATGCGCATAGAATTCGAATCGCCTACAGAAGATACAATGAGTCTGATAGATGTACTAGGGGTTTCCGACGCCGGTCCGGTCTCCCCATTTAGAAATCCTTCTTAGAAGAAGAAGGTGCTTTCGACGCTTTCCAAGCTTTCCAAGCAAGGAATTCCTGATACTCTGCGTCTTGATCGTCTTGTTCGATCTTAGTCTCATGGACTGGTCGTCCGGCCGGCTTCTGCCAACCAGGGGCGGATTCTCTGTGGTTAGGGCAATCTTTCATAAGCCCTTTCTTTCCACACTTGAAGCAGAGTCCTAATTTACGACGTCTGTCTTGTTCGGATCTAGAAAGTCGCGCGTTGCGGACTGTAGTCGTTTCTTCTTCTTCGTCGATGTTGATCTTGTCTATATCCATCGCGTACGGGTTGTTCTTCTTTGAGAAGCCTCCTGCAGAGCTCATAAGAAGTCTTCTGGATTTGTATTCTCTAGCGGCGTCAATCCAGTCTTTGATATTGTTGGGCATCTTTTCTCTCATGAGAATTGCTTCTTGGACTTCCTTTCTAAGTCCTTGTCTGAAACACATTGTTTCGACGTCTGAGTCTGTGCATCGGGCTTCTGCCGAGATTCGCTTAAAGTAAGCGATGTATGCCGAGATGGTGGAAGTTTGCTTTGCTTTCATCATTACGTTGACAGCGGTAAGCGTGTCGTTCTTAGGGTAGAACACTGCCTTGAATTCAGCAATGAAGTCCTCCCATTTCCCCATTGGGGTAGCGGTGTCGTGTTTCCTATTAATCCATCCGGTGGCACATTGTTGGGCATGTCCCTTGGTCATAAAAGACATTGCGAATGCGATGCATTTCTCGTGATTGTCATATACGTCCTTGTTTACGGTGATATAGGTGGATACAGTTGTCCACCAGGCCTTGGCTTGTTTCTGTGACCCGTCAAAGTTCGGTGGTCTGTTCAAGTTTAGTTCTCCCATTTTCTTTCTAGGTATGGGTTCAGATGGAGTCTGAGGTGGTGGTGGTGGTGGGTTCGATGGACCTGGTCTGTATCCGTCTATGTATTCGTTGCTATCCTGCTGGATAGGTGAACCTGGTTCAGAGAAGTGTTCGTCTTCGTGTTCAGACTCCGAGGAGTATTGTCGTTGTTCTTGATAAGCCACGATGTATCGTGACGACTACTAAGGTAGCGTCGTCTTGTGATAGAGCTTAACCTTTTGTTACGCCAAAGTATAATGCAGGCAAACAATAATCAATAAGACCAAAGGTCTGTCGATACGTTCAAGACAACAGTCTTAAGAACGCCCAAAGTCAAGTTAAGGCTAAGTACCGAAGAGGTAACTTAGAGTCAAGTCAGATGTTCAGAGGAAAACCAGCGTAGGTTAAGCTGAAGAATCAGCGTCACCTAGCCAGGGTTTATATAGTACAGAGGGTACAGGGTATGACGTAATAATAGGTATGTATCAGTAAGCACATGCGTAAGCAATGAGGCGTCTGAGTAATACCGAACTAAATATAGCATGATGAGAGACATGCGTAGTAAGCGTGTATCAAGGGAAAAAGAAACAAGATGAACACAGCCGTAACAGTGAGCTTCATACGATATGGAACATGGACGAAAGACTTTGAATCCACCCATACCATAAGGAAATAAACACAGAAAGGCGCCTAATAAATGGTTTGGATCCTCCGAAGTTTTGGCGAATTGAATGCCAACACTATCACGACGGGCGTACTCGTTGACAAAGCGAGAACCATGCTGAACAGAGTATGATTCTGCGCTAGAAGTGTTTGCAAAAGTGTTTGCAAGAACGTCTTCATTGGACAACAGGGAAGCCTCTGCATCTATAACTCCATGTGCTTGAATCGGAATAACATGTGAATCTAACCATAATCAGCACAAATCAAAAACCGAAATAAAGAAAAACTAACTAATATGACCTTCAACTTCCCCTTCATCCTCTGCTGTACTCATCATCGAATCAAATGTTTCAAAAGTAGAGTGGAGATCTGTAGACCATAAATAAAGTATAACAGGAGGGAACGAACTACTAACCATTATCATCCAAGTCATGATCATCCATAACGTACCCTGTGCTCTCTTGTTCTAGCAAATGCTGCTCGTCTGAAAACTTCATTACAGACAACAGCTGTTCGGGAAAACCGTCCTCTGGCAACAAATCCAGATTGGCTTCACAAATCGTGATATCACTGTAGAGGTGATTTTCGCGCTTCAAAAACAGCAACGCATCCTTAACGCAACGGCGATTCACTGTTAGGATGGACAGCAAAGACTTCACTGGCAATTTGCTCAGGCCGATGATAGTAATAGCGATAGTAGCAGCAAGGACCGCAGGTCTGTGAGGCATTAACTTCCCGTCAACCATCACATCAATATCGGGAATGTTTAACTGATAGGTGGATACATTTCCATGAACTCCGCTATTCAACGCCGTGAAATCCCATTGCGTTGCACCTTTGTGTTGTGGATACAGCTTGACCACATACACCGCAGGAAAGTATAGAGCAATGAGCAAACGCTCAGGAAGATTGAGGATAGCAAGAACATTGGGTACATCTCCCACCCACAACCCATTCACCAACGAAAGTCATGGAATATTGCCAACTTGCAAATCCTCCAAACACTCGCAACAGACTGGTCCTCAAACTTGGTCTTCTTCATCGGACAGAGCTGCGGTGTGCAATAGTAGACCGTTTACCAAAGTTTGGGCGTGGTGCCAAAAAACTGGGGTGAGGACATGTTTATTTGGAAGTTCATCAACGTATATGGTCTGCACCGCTTGAACAGTGACCTCCCTGGCACACGAAATACAACTGACGAAGCTAGTTGCACGATTATTGGTGCGATTGATGAAATGACAGAGGGACTCTCATTTAACGTCGTCTGAAGGATCCATAAGGAAATCTGTGTCTGGTACCTGCGATGTAGGATTTTCTGCGAATCAGCCTCGTTTCAATTGAATATCTCGATCCTTGAATTGATGGTGCCTCTTCCGTTCATATGTGTGCTTAACAGCATCCTGCAATGCACTTGAACCCTGCACTGCCTCGAGGAGAGTAGACCATTGCCACTTCTCTGCAGACGTCAACAACAATCCAGCTTCGGATATAATGTCCTTCATGGTTAAGAAATCGACCATATCCATCGGTGCGCCTTGGGAATCGTCCATAACTACCAGTGAGTAAATGTTGGACAGCATCAACCTACTCAGATGCAAAATGCAAACACAGGAGCAGATAAGCAATGACTAATTCACATTACAATGATGGGTGTCACCTTATTTAAAAATCAGATCCACCACACCTCCTTTTCGACTGCAACCATGGCCTTTGACACGCACACTTATCACATTGAACACTCCTCCGCTCATGGCTATGCTGCATCCCCACACTTCTCAAATGCGAGGATGTAGCAGCATTCATCTACGGGTCTAGAGGTCGTCAACAAATCAGATCTATCACCCTTCATAGCTACCATCGTCGGGCGTGTATCTCCATACCGCCTGAAATGTACCCCCTCTGGCAACCATTTCACAGGCGGTATGAGTCCCCTTGCAAAAGCCAAATATCAGTTCCACATCACTCGTCCCGTGGATCATGAGTTATCCGTGGATTATCTGGCTGGAGTCCGTAATCTGGAAATATTGCAAGAGGAAGTCAGTAAAACAGGCAACCACAAAAACATGGTGATCGACGACTACACTGGTAAAATGATTCGCTTTGTAAAAAACATATTCACTGTTCGTGTGCGTACCTGATCCTCGAACAACAAAACATAAACTGACCAAAATAAAAGGACCGCACAATTCCTGACTCTCCTCACGGAGAGGCTGCAGATAACGCTCCAAAGATGGACGACGAAACAAAGAATTGGCCAATTCCGGATGAGTTTGCACACGACTTTGACGGATTGAAGTATAGCATGGCGGCTGAGTTGTTGCCTCTCTACCATGAGGGTCACTTGGTAGAGCCAAGACACGCCAACCAGATCATAAACGGTGCAATCGTGGAGGTACAATTCAGCATTCAGCACTGGCGCATCAAAGACTTCGATAGCTTCCAAGCCACTGCACAAAAGGTGACAGTTTTGAGGCTCGGGCCTGTTCACATTCCATCTAACTACAAACGCGCCAACCCGGAGGCTGATCTTGACGAACAGCCTAAGACGAAGAAACCGCGATATAACGCAGAGGCCGGTTCATCAAAGGATGGATAAAAGAAATCGTGTGCAATTTGTATTTGTATCCGAACGACGAAGGTTCATAAACAAATGTACTTATATCTTCATCGCGTAATCACAAATTTGAGACGATATTTGCTCCCAAAACCAAAGAACAATAACAAACTCCGCAAGGTCAAAAGTCGGCAGCGCCGACGCCTAGTGAACATAAACTAGGCCGTCTCTCAGATCTCAGATGCTAGGCTATAGGGGTTCCAAGGGCAGCTCTTCTCTCGGCCTTTGCCATCACTGAGTCAGCACATGTATTTTAGCCGCCGGCCCTGCTTCACCGTTACGCGTGATAATATCGCACAGCATCCCGTCGTGGCCGATATAGCGGAATGGTACTATGATGTGTTCGATCCCAATCGTTTTGCATCATGACACCATCACGGTCAGTGCTGTCAGTGGCCGGCCATCAGTAAACCGGTGAGACTCAGACATTAGTAGATATTGTAGTATTTTGTAAGCCCAATGCTTCTTTCCTGTACATTACGATACAAAGTAATATATAGCAATCTAAAGCAATAAGACCACTCACGCAATTCTAGTCGTTACTTGAGTCGCATCAGGGAAGTAACGGACATGGCTATCGGCGTTTAAGTCGTGATAGCCGAATGTGATAAATGGGTATTAGTTCGTGTACTGCTGCTCATCGGGCTTTACGAAGAGGAGGCGTAAATTCGAGGGTGCCGAGCGAATGTGGTTTTGTGAGGAGAGATAAACGGGCATAAAGTACTAGTGCGTGATAAAATGAATAATTGGTCTCCAATGTACTTTGACTTGGAACGAATCGTAGACCACCTGCGTATGCATGTATATTTTCAAGCCTGTCGGTGTCAATTGCTCAGAGATCCCCAGTCTTCGAAAGAAATACTTACAGCTACAATATTTCTAGGGTCCGGACTCCGTCCATGATATTTTGAACAGAGGCCACGTTTTGGACTTGTGCAATGATATCAAAATCGGACGCGATCCTCTTGTATTCTCCGCCACGCTGCCGCGCTAATAGAAATGCGCTGAACGGCTGTCCAAGGCGAACGATCACTCGCAGCGCCCGTGAGTATGGTTCCGAATCAACCGGCTCCTGTTCTACAGGAGAACCGCCCGGCAACTCGTCTATCGGGGACCCAGGCGCGGACCAATAATTCGTACCCTCGCTTTGCGTGTCGTCTCCAAAGTCAGGCACTTCTGCGAAGTCGGGTAGCTCGAGGAGGCGACGATCCCATGGAAGGACAAATAAGAATGTCTGCAGAGGGGGCTTTGCTGGCGTGAACTGATTCAATGTCTCTTTCGTGGTGAGGAGCAGGTCGTGAAGCCCGTCTGCCTTGACCCCATACGTGAGATGAGTCTCTTGGGCTAGGGCCACTATTCCGTATGACTTCTGTGATACGGAATGCGATGCAATGCAGATGCAGTCTGCAGGCCGTGAAGCGAGGAGCAGCTTATGCTATCAAGCTGGTAATAGAGTTCCGAAGCCAACTCCGCAGCCACAGTGTTTCGCAGCGAAGAGACTGCTATCTGAATTTCATCTTCAGATAAAGACGGAAGGGCACATGGTGGAGCTGCATATGAGGAAATGTTGGCTGGAAGACAACTATTGAACTGGGATGGCTGTCCGACCCAGTTGAGGGCAGTAATGTCGCCCGACCGAGCCACAATCTCCTGCAGAAGCCGCCCGAGCGCATTTTGCTTATTCTCACCATAAAGGATAGGAAGTTGGACGCCGAAGATGCCAAACAATGAGTATGCGATGTCTTCCGGCACCGTGGTGACACGCATAGACACCCATTGGAGTTTCTCGCGGGCATCTCTCATCCCCGGTTGGAAGGCGACGAGGGTGCGTGCATCTATGCCCGTCGCATCCTGCAACTCATGCATGATCTTGTCAGACTCCTTGTGGTTGGGGGAGGAGTCGTTCAAGATATGAGGTCCAATCCTGTTGGTAGAAACGAAGGACTTTAGGAGCCAGGAATTCTGGTACAGTCCATCCTCGGGTGTTCCAAGCACTCTTCGCCAGCGCACCAGACCTGGACAAAGGCGGAACATCCGAGAGGTAGACAACCGTGAGAGCGGAATCATGATACCAGGCAAACATCGAGTTCAGCGATTTTTGAAGTTCAACATTGTTATGTTGGTCGATGCAACACGAATCGACCCACGCCCAATGATACCCTGCCTTACGAGCAATTTTGCAGAATGACTGCAACTTCACGAGACCGCCAGCTGCCATCATCTCGTACACGACCTTGTCCTTGATGTGGTGCAGCAAAGGCTCTGTCCCTTCCCACCTATGCGACAGCATGACGCAACGGAAGTATGTCACCACCACTTCTGTGATATGCTCCAGTCGGATATCTGGATGCTTCACAGTCAATGACAACAGAAGCTCGTTATATTCTGCGCTTGTTTTGAAGGCGTTTATCTGCGCTTCTCGGTCACATAAGAGTCCGGTAGCGGTGTTGAGTAGACGAAGCGGAGCGGTGTCGAGTTGAATGTCAATGACCTTTCGAATGACACCTTCTTTTTCGGAGGGAATGCCATATTTCTCGCGCAGAGCTAAGGAAAGGATTGAGTATCTGGACACATGTGTCACCAAGTGCTTACTTCGTATTTGCATGTCATGAGCACTTTCCAATTTGGCGATCATCATTTGACAGGCCGCCATAGCTTCCTTGTAGTTTTTTGCGCCATAAAGTGCTACATACTTCCTCTGGTATCCAACATAAGACGACGGGTTGAGTTCAATGACCTATGTATTGCCAAAGTGAGCATTGGCTATTACGAATTAAAAGCAGAAGTCATTGTACCTTTTGCGCATCAATAAGTGCATCATCCCATAGCATCTTTTCTGACCTGGCCTTACTGCGGTTTGCAAATATGGTGTCACTTCCATAATTGAGGTCGATTGCCATAGTGTATATTTAATAGCCTTTTCGTAATCACTTGCGGCGAAGGCAGCATCTCCATTGGCAATATAGGGCGCACTGTATTCTTGCATGAAAGCTGAGTGAAATGCGGGTGAAGATTGTAGCCTGCGTCACATTACATACTCCAGACTTACCGTTGGACCAGTCAAGGCAGTTGGCCTTTGTATCTTCGTCACTCGTATCCATCATGCGTCGGTGCGATTCCACAGCTTCTTCATGCCTACCTGCCTGACGGAGTGCATCACACTGTTTCTGGCGTGCATTTTTCCACAAGGACTTCAAGTCCCATCCAAAGAGCTGCACAAGACACGGAGTTTGGCATGAAAAGTATGTTCAGATGAATCATATCAACATACCACCACTAGGTCCTCGTATATAGAATTAATGGGCAATGTAGATGAGAAAGCGCTGGCATCGACAGCAGCAATGAAATAGTCAACAGCTTCGTTATGATTCGCGGCATTGATTCCGAGCTGAACGCATAGATATGCCTGGTGTGCGAAAAATCAGTGTAAATGCACAAAACCTGGGCTTGATTAAGATACTCACTTCTACGGCACAGCAAGCAAGAGTGTCGTTATTCGGACAAACTGCAGCTAACTTCCGGACGCGGAGAATTACCTCTTTGTGTTGACCAGCATTAAAAATAGCGATGGCCTGAAATCCGCAATGAAACAGGGAGTATACGAGAAAAATTTAACGCGCCTTGATCAAGAGAAGTAAATGAACAATTTTTGAATCTTCGTTCGCGAACATGAACGCGAGGTCAAATTCTATCGTTGCATCCTGGACCTTCCCTTGTCCGCATAAGGCGATGCCCTTGGAGACATGACCTGCCAAGGAAGGCTGAATGGCGACGGACTATGTCAACAATGAAAGTTACTGTTTCGTAAGGGAGGAATAATGGGTCAGTCGATCCCACCTTGCTTGCATCATCAAGCGCGTGATCCCAGTCGTATTCTCGCGCGATGACGAATGAACGGTTGGCATACGAGGTGTAGTTGTTTACATCAGCGTCGATCTCCTGTGTAAAAACCTCTTTAGCGGTAGACAAATCCCCTGTGATGCATGCATCGCGGGCAGTTGCATTGAAGGAGAGTATCTGTGGCATGAAGTATGCTCGAATTGCGTTATCAGAGTCGAGGATTGAAACATACCTCTAAATTCACGCCCTTGGGTGCTTCCCACTCTGAAATCATAGTATCACCACCTCCGCTGAGGATGTGCTTGCCGCTCATGGAGAAAGTGACGCATGCCGTTGCGGATGAGTGCTGGAATATAGCAATGGTTCGTTGATCTGAGAGCTGCCAGAGACGGACATGGTTGTCGTCAGATGCAGAAGCGATGTATCTCCCCGCCGGATGAATGGCAATGTTGTAGACATGATGAGTGTGGCCCGTCCAAGGACCGCCGACCTGCTGCCAGTTCGATGTATCCCACTCCCGTATAGTGGGATCCTTTTCATCTCCCCCTGAGAGAAGGCGTTTGCTATCGAGCGTCCACACGAGTGACCAGTTGCATTTTGTGTGACCCTTGAAGATTGCGACGCGTTCCCTCGTCCCATAACTTTTATAAATTTCGATATGAGTGTCTGTCGCGATGCCGAGATGTTCACCAGATGGCGAATACCGAACGCAGCGAACCGAATTACTACACTTGATTGGATTTCCTTCTACTTGCCATGTTTTCGTGTTCCACAGCTTCGTTGTTGTGTCTCCTGAACCACTGACAAGCGTTGTTCCATCGAGAGAAAAATCCATCGATGAAATATAACTAGAGTGGGCTCGGATAACTTCTTTGGTTAGAGGTTCCCCAGTTTCTCCGTGCCAGGCCATGAACTCTCCACCAGTATCACCGCTTGCTATCATTCGCCCATTTCGTGATACCGCCAATCCCCGCAGCTTATCGCGATGCCCCTCCATCTTCTTCAACACTGCACCAGTTTGCAAGTCCCACAGACGAAGCGTCTTGTCGTAGGAGCCTGTGACCATTCGTCGTCTATCAGGGAAAACAGCTACCGCGAATACGGTGCCTGTATGATCTTTAAAAGTTCGAAGGGGTATGGTGCTTGGAATGAGCTGAGACATTTTACTGGAGGTTGATGCTGTTGACGCGGTCTAGGTGGACTTCGGTGGAGTGTTTGTGGGTTTCTTGCTGCTACGGAAGTGCGTGTACTGTGTACTATTTTTGGTGCTGCTTCACTGCGTTTACCTCCCTCGTGCTTCCATAGACGCCCAGGACATGAGGGTTTGCCTCCATTAAGACTGCAGCAGGAATACCACCCCGTTATCCGTCCCTTTTCATGCCATTAAGTGACACATAAAGTGGATTAAGGAACTTGTGGTTTTCCTGATGCTAGATGGATAACTTCAATCTCCCCCGATATTGGCAGACACGTCGTCGTAGTGATCTCACTGTTTCCTTTTGCAATGCTCAATGCTCAGACTTTGGGCAAAGAGTCAACTCATTCGGAGACGCCTGACGCGCATGAGAAGAACGAAAAGAACTCTAAAAATACGGAACACCGTGCAGGACGAAGCTTTCGCACGACAGATGTCAACATTGCTGTTTCCCCGTGGTTCGTTTCACATGGCAGGCTGCAGGAGAGAGTCTCTTCGATGGTGTAGATAGTGATGCATTGATGCGTCCAGTACTACGTCGCATGAACCGGACACGGAGGCATCCGTCTGGGATCTGTTGCCAAGTCGACATCCTATCACCCCTCCATCCACGGGTCTGTGAATATCAATGCCTCAGAATGACTCCCGAACTTGAAATGGACTCGATGATCTGCTTTACGGCCGGCCCCAAGTTACGCTGCATTCGAGAACTTGGATCGCTAATCTGTCAAGTTGCAGTGCTTAACCATCATTCATGATTTCTGAGCTAAAACACGTCATTATCATGATGGCTGTTATACCACTACAAGGGCGTGGTCGAATACTTGAGAGTGCACCCCAACCTTCCTTCACTCATTATTGCTGAACTACCATTCTTGACAATGGTACATTATAGTATTTAGTGACTAGCGTCTCCGACCGCGTTATGGTCGCCGACAATCACCATCAGAGCTCGTGTCCCACGACCGGCTCGCGATCACGTTGGCACTGCTGGAACGTTTGGTCGTCGTCGTGGTCACACTCGGTGTTGATCTTATCGTAGTACAAAAAGGTCGGTCCCGTTATCATGGTTCTCCTTCCAACCCCCACTGTCATTCTTGGTTACAGGAAAAAGCATGACTCCCCCTCACACTCGCTTTCAACTTTTACTTCGCAATCGGCTGTCACACCATTCCAGTCACTTGTCGAACGGTGCTAAGGTTCAGTACTCTTCGATCGAGACTCTAATCCCTCCCAAGGATGGTTTTGATTCGTTAGATCAACCACACAATCTGGATGAGCGTAAGTACCAAATTTTTCTTGGATATCGTCTTACACATGCTTTTATTAGTCAACCGAGGCCTTAAGCAACCCGATATCGACTGCATAGACTGCGCTTCGTCTGGTAGTGACAATGTCTCCGATGAGCAGGCTAGTCCAACAGTACCATCTTTTGAAGTTGGGAATTTTGCGGTTGGATCGCCACGACATTTCATGGAGGCTCACGTTGCCCGACAGAATGTGGTCTTTTCCACAAGTATTAGTTACGGGACAAAACTCTACCCGTCCCCCGAATCTCAGGCTTCCACCCTCACAACTACTACGTTATCTGCCTACAGTCCCCCTCAGCCGTCAAATTTATGCAGCACCCCATTAAATGGTACCTCTAGCTGCTCAGCAGTATCCATTGGACCCTCTTCTGGTAGCTACAGGCCCCACCCAGTCATCAAGCTCGTGCGCTGGACGCCCAACACCATCACCCGAGAACGGGGCTGATTACCCGACAGACACCCTGACAATCTCCTCAATCACCTTTGAAATACTCACAACAACCGCGACGTCGCTTCAACCTGTCCTATCTATAGTTTCATTCACTAGTACTGTTATGGTTTCGAGTCCGTTGCCTCAACCAACGTCAGTACCTGACACCAATTCAAACTCCCAATCAACTCCAAACATCGCCGCCATCATAGGGGGACTATCGGAGCGGTCGCGCTTCTGGTTCTCCTTTTTTTAATTGTGATATGTCATCGCAGGAAACAACAACTCTCTGTAACACCTTTCAACCTCCCCGAGTCAACCGCAGGGCCGATGCATGTTGTGCCAAGGGCGCGGCTCAAGTGCAGGAGTACCAGTGGTGCTGTCCGTCCAAGCATCAGAGGTCCATCGTTTGTTCACATTTCCGACGCTTCCATCACAGAACATTCTGGGAACAGATGGCGATCCTTCGTTCCAGATCCCGTATCGTCTCACTTGTCCAACAATGATGACATGTCTACATCGAGCGTTGTCAGGCGCGATCAGGTCAACCAGCTAGAACGGCTGGTTCCATATCCATTTAGCGCCCGCGGTTCAGATCGCTATTGCCATTGCAGGGTAGAAAGCTGGATTGAACAGATAGGTTATGGAGAATGCCTCGCAAGAACCGAGCGAAGAGTTACCGGCTTATCGTTCGGATAAATCTTTGAAGAGCGGGAAAGCAGAAGGAAGCAGATCATGATGATGATGTCGTTCCTCGCTCCTATCCTCCTCTCTCATGGATACATAGTACGTCGGAGTACGTTTTTGAGGTCTGATATGCTGTACGCCCCCCCGCAGATCACTAACGTACGTATGTACGTGTAGCACGGGTATGTAACGGTTGGTCGTATTGTATTATTTTATGGACGTATCGATTGGGACGATGATACCGCGGCATCGTTATATTACGCTCGCTGCATACCGTTGGGTGGAAGATCTATGTTGAAACAACTCTGGCGGAACGCCGAATGGTGAACACCGCCGGGCCATCTTCGCCGCCGAACCAATCGGCCAGTTTGCCCCAAATACAATAATCACTGTAGTCTGCCACGAGAGGGGATTTCGATTCTGGACACACTTAACTGTCTTGTGTCGAACATCGCGACATAATAGACCGAAGGACCACACCCAAGGATAGGAAACATCAAGTAATCACAATATTTGTGTATTATTACATTGATCATTCGGTGATCAGGGTATTGAAGCTATCAGGCACCAGTTTTACGTGTTTTCCAAGTGTCTGCTATGAAAATCCTTGAGGGATATCAGAAGCGCGATTCTTCATTTTCCTCCGAGTCAATATGGTCTGCGTTTTTACTCTCCACAGCCAGCCTATCCAAAACTTTTCTCACCTCTTTCTGCCAGTCCGCTGTGATGCACATATAGATGCCCCAGGCGGAGCAATAGACGAGGGAAACTGTGAGCCCCAGCCATAGACCTACTAGACCCATATCCTTCTTGAAAGCCAACCAAATACCAAATGGAATGCCAATGACGTAGTAGGCACTGCAAAAGGGCGTCATCGAGGCAACGGTGGTTCATGAGAGACCTTACCTGAGGTTGAGAAGTGCGCCTGTGAACTGCAAGAGAACTCAATAAAAGAGTACGACAGAATTAATTAGCACTTACTTGTTTGCCTCGTGCTCGCAAAATACCACCGGCAACAGCGCTAGTCCCATCGAACACTTGGAATACAGCAACAAGTGGCAAAATCGATGCCACCAGAGTTACAATTTCTGTGATAAATGAGTATCGGAATGCACACGACATGGATTATCCTACCGGGGTCATCATTGAAGATATACGCCCACGACTTCCTGAACGACATGAACAGAACGCTGAAAAGGTTGTGTGTTAGTACTGCTTGACCCGAAACGGGCGTAATCTGTACCTCCATACTACAGCAATGGCAACTGCAAGAACAACCGCGGTGTTTGCAGAGACACCAGCGCGCCTGGCTCGCTTTTCGCCTAGAAGATTCCCAATTCTACAGAAAATTCAGCCGAAGCATCAGGTAAGTTGGACGCAACATACCGCACAGACGTTGCTACGGCCAGGGCGAAAGGAGCTTGGTATGTACAGGATGCTGAGATGAGCAGAACGGATTGGGTAGCTAGGGTAACAGGACCAAGCCTATAAACGAATGTCAGCAATGTTGGCTACTTATGTAGTTAAGTATCATACAAACTAGCGGCCACTGTCGAAACGCAATTCAGCATGCTAATATCCATAAGTTGCATACTATATACGCACGACCGATAAGCTCCCATGACCACCATTCAGACGCGGTCTGGCCAACGCCAGCGAGTCCCAGTTGCACCAGAAGACCTAAGCCAGTAAAGCTGCGCCTTGAGATAGGATACCAGGCGGTTTTCTCGACATGGAAAATGCCGTAGATCACTGATGCGATTGAAATAAGGTTGAAGGAAATAGCGGTGGCAATTGGGGCTCCGATGAAACCAATCCTGACTGGTTCAGGACCCCACACTGGAAAGCTGTATGAGCTTCGAATTGAAAAGAACGCATATAATAGGTAATCACCAAGAACGTAATTCAACAGGGCATTGATCGGCGCTACCGCCAGAATGATCTTAGTTGGTACAGCGAAAAGTCCTCAAAAAAGTAATCCCTGATCAGTATGTAACACTTCCGGTGATGTCATTCATTACCTTGAGATTGGAAGTAGCGCCTATCCATTCGTCAGAACGTCATTAATAAATGCACTAAGAATGTAGCGTACCGCGAAATACAGTTGAAAGTATATGCTGGGAGCCCCAAAGATGCCCATTTTAAGTAAACACCAGCTAGGTGCGCAACTTCAGGATCCTGTCTGAGCAGGAGTAAAATTGATTCAGCATTGAACCAAATCATAAGAACTGGCTAAAGTATGTCAATAGGGGAACGGGAGGGAGGGTAAGAGAGATACCATAAGGGTTGCGACTGTCACAACAACTGCAGAAATGATCAGACACAGGAGCATCAGACAAAAAAGAGTTTTGCTTACGCATGCGTTGGCTCCATAAACCAACCAGTTGCGGTTGACTAGATGTCCATGCCGCAGGGAGAAGTGTGTCAAGAGTAGATGCAAAACCTTGCACGATCGAGTAGCCTGATACACTCGCAGTCATGGAACCTAATGTTGCAGCAGCAAGTGCTACCGTGGACAAGTGCCCGATAGACACTACGGAAGCCACAATTAAGCTATACTCGAACACATGAGTGCTGCATCAACAGAAGGTTAGTGAAAGTTACGCGGGAGATCGCAATGTGGACAAACATAAAAACGGGCGAACTGTACTTCATCAGGATGACAAGTTCCTCCCGGAATATCTCCCAAGTGTCAAGGCCGTCCCTTTCGTTTGAAAATTTCACATCTTCTGCTATGCAAGGAATTGGCGTCGAGAGTAGAGGAGTATTCTCCGTTGGCATAATGGTTGTTACTGCTGGTGCTGAGGGGATGATACGAATACTGGCCCGCGGAGCCGCCCCACTCCCTGTTTGAGAGTCTACAGTTCTGTTCTGCGGCTTCTTCTGTGTCTGATCCTCCACGTCATGCACCGTAGAGGCCACAAAATGAGAAAGAATTGCGTAGTCACGAGGCAGAGAACCAGGGGTGCCCAAGTGAGCAGACATGATGTCTGACAAACGTCTTTAGGATGACCTTGAAGCAATTAATGAGACCAATTTTTATGGTCACACGACCGGCTCGGAGTTGAAGCTAATCGCCATCTGCTAAAGGGTCCGAAATATATTGCAATGTACAGGTTTAAAATAAAATTTACCAAATTATAAACTGTCGTAAGCGAGTTGTAAACCTGGTACTCCATAGTAGTATCGACAAGGTAGAAGTCGATTTGCGGGCTAATGGGCTCTCACCGGGACAGAGAACGCGGTCGATCGAGAAAACGTCCTGTCACACCCAAGTCACACCTGCCGACATCGTGACTGCCGACTTCTCTTGGCCTCGTCCTAGGTGCCGATTGCGCCGGACGCGTAGATGAGCCTGTCATTACCTGTATCGGTCTGCAAAGTAACGCAATTTCGAATTCTCAGGCTGGTTCGAGACTAGGAGTTTCTGGGAAGCGAGACGAGCGACATACCCGGTGAGAATACTCAAGTGATGTTCAAAACAGAGGTCGATGTATATCGAAAAGGGCTGATAGATGCTTGAGAGTACTTATACTAGATGGTGGTCGAATGTTAGAAAAATATGAATTCGCAAATGGTGCTGAGAAACATGGATGCAGGTGGATGCAGGAGTAACCATCGCACTTAACGCTGGTTCGCGGATCCAACAAAAGTCTGTGGGGTGGGAATCTGGGAATGGGCTTGTCCGTGCTTGTTCGGTCCGACAGACTGCGAACTGACGCCTGGACTTACATACTGGTGATCAAAGGCCGCCCTTCCAGTGCATACCTATACTTATCGTCAGACTCACCATACGGATTCTTTGTAAACGGTCTGAGGAATTCTACCGTGTAGAACGGCTATCTTCATTCTATTTGGTCTACCTACTACGGGAGACTTATTTATACCTGTCATACTTGCGAATAGCGTGAGTATCGGCTTCTCTCGGTCTGGCGATTGCGCTGGATCCATTGAGATTCTGACCAGTGACTGTCTGATGGAGAGTTTTTCATCATATGTCCGTTGCTCTAGGTTGGTCTATACCTGTATCGCACTTCAAAGTAACGCAATCTTGAAATATTAGGCTGGTTCGAACCAAACGAGCCTACTTCAACGAAATGAGGCAGGTCACTGTTACTACGCGAGATCGATGCAGGCCGACGAACAGTTGCATGTTATTGCAACTACAATACCAATACGTAGTGGGTACTTCAGTCAGATATCATAATGAGTGCTCCTCTATTCTAAGGTCTCCATTGCTCAAACGGCACCGTTTTTTTTCAGAATGCAACTACCTCGATCAACGCAACAACCAACTACTTGGTACGTATCGTGCATCAGCCACACTGCACCAATGCGAAATCAGAAATATGTCTTACTTCCTTCACCACTTGCCGCTCAGGCTTGACTTATCGACACCGACAAGCATTTACGCATGTAACCTACCATGCTGGCTGAGTCAAAAATCCGGGATGCAAGGAAAATCGCGGGTAATCACGCTTCAAATTCTGCAGATTCCTCTGCAGTGTAAATGTGCCCATGCAATTGGCAGCAAATGGTGCAGCACCCCTGGTAACATTGCGCATTGATAGACGTAGACACAGTCAAAGCAACAAGAACTGGCGAGGATCAAGGAGAAACTGTATTGTGTGATGTGATATGGGATCAATAACGCTGAGGGTAGGACGTCGCGAAGGCTGCTACTTTTATGCCTTCAAATCGTGTCCTGAGCAGAACTTCACGGTGAGAATGGAACTTCTCAGCAAGAGTATAGGCAGAACCTATCCCCTTTCAAACGGACGTCATTTACATGCCACCAGGCCTCAAATCCGATTCGTTTTGTCACCTATGGATAAGAATAAGTGGCTCCACTATATGAAACGATGCTGATTTACCCGCTGCCGCATGCAGGGGCTGAACCCGACATACCGGCATACCGTAGGATGATGCTAGCACCGAAGGCAATGGATCACTTCCGAACGAGTCGCCTGATATGATCACTCGAAGGAACGATGTGTAAGCATTCTCCTAATTCAACGTGCTTGGTGCTAATACTGCTTTCAATTTCTGGGAACCGAAAAAGTTCGGAAGAGCAACATATCCAGTACTTCAAGGAGAGCACTCAAGTGACGAGGTCGATACATATCGAAAAGGCCTAGTTGATAGAGTTTGAATGATAGAAAAATCTGAATTCACAAATGGTGCCTGAGAAACGTGGAAGGTGGGTGCAGGAGTAGATGTCTGTTCGGTCTGGCAGGCTGCCAAGGTCCAACTGGCGCCTGGCAGTGATCGAGCTTCCACAGAATCGTCAGACTCGCAATACGGATACTTTGTTAACAATCACCGAGTTCTAGATACCGTGGTAGGACAGCCAGTACTACAGGTGCAATTCATTCGGTATGATGGTAACGTTTGCATAATTACAAGTCCGAGATTGCTGATGAGTTAATCTGTCAAAGTTGCAGTGTTGAACCCCATCATCCGAGTGAAACACATCATAATGGCTGTGGTGCCGCAACCCTGACCAAATAATTACCTAGTGAGCCCCGAAATCCCGTCGGTCGTAGATGCTGAACTACCTCTCTTGACAACAGTGCGTCCAAGCACTTACTTTTGCGACTGTCGTCGTCTCCGACCATGTCGAGGTCACTGTTGATCATCATGCATCATGTCTCACGAGACCGACCCACGATCAATTTGGCACAGGCTGCCGAAACGTTTGGTCGTCACTCGGGGTGCGAAAGCTGTTTGATCTCACCCATATGGTACAAAAAAGGTCGGTCTCGTTGACATGGTTCTCCCAACCCCCCTAGATTTGTTGGCCAAAGGGAGAATGACTCCCTCTCACACTCGCTTTAATTTTTTATTTCGCAATCATCTACCATACCATTCCCGCCATTCGTCGAACCACGCTAAGTCTCAGCACTCTTCGTTAAAGACCAAGGGTGGTCTTGATTCGTTAGACAGACCACGGAAAACCAGCATGGATGGGCGTAGGTATCAATTTTTTTGGCTATCTTCTTGAGCATATGTTTTCTAATACTCAAACAAGGCCTCCAGCTGTCTGAAGAACCCGAGATCAGCTGCGTGGACTGCACTTTATCATCTGCCGGTGACCATTTCTCGAATGACCAGGCTAGTCCAATGGCAACCGCATCACATTTTGAACGCAGAGAGTCGGATGCTAGTACCACTTTCGTTTCCCCTACACCCTGGAGTGTAGACCCTCCTAGTCCTTCACCTATCATCACCCCAAATGCTTCTGAACCACAAGGCACCCAGACTTTTAATATACTCACGACAACCATCACGTCACTTGGGCCTCTCCCCACAGTTACATCGACCAGTATTGTTATGGTTCCGAGCCCGTTCCCTCAACCGACGCCAGTGACTGACACCAGTTCGAAATTTCAATCGCGCCCAACCACAGGTGCCATTGTAGGAGGAACCGTAGGAGCAGTCGCACTTCTAGCTCTCCTACTTTTTATTGTGCTGTGGCGTCGCAGGAAACAACAGCTCTCCGTAACGCCCTTCAACCTCCTTTCAACTGCAGGGCCAACGCAGGTTGAGTCACGGGTGCAGCTCAAGTTGAGCACCAGTGGTGCTGTCCGTCCAAGCAGCACAAGCTCGTCGTTCATTCAATACTCTGACGCATGTCTCGCAGAGTATTCTGTGAACAGATGCTCATCATGCGCTACAGATCCCATATCATATCACTTCCCCAACTGATCATGATATCTCTGCGTCCAGCGTTGCCAGGCGCCAACGGGCCTACGAGCTAGACAAGCTGTATCCATATCCATATCCAATACATCTCGCGTCTCCACCCCGGATCATCACCGCAGTGTAGAAAGCTGGGTTGAGCACATGGTTACGGATGATCATTTGGGAGCACCGAGTGGAGAGCTACCGGCTTATCCTCGTCGAGTCGGCGAAATCTTTGAGGAGCAGGGAAGCAGATCATGATGATCATGACGTTCTCCCTAACTCTCAGGCTCATCCGTCCCTCCCATAGTAGATAAGACAATACCGATACAATGGTAACCAAGACCAGGGGCGACTTAGAGTATACTATACTATATATTGACCAGTAGCAAAATGTAATGGTCGCATTGCCTTGGGGCTGCGTAGTTCAGATGATGAGGCCACCGCGTCACCGCAAGATGATTATATCTACGCACATTATATACCCGTCCAAGATCCGTGTTGAAAAACATCTAGGGAACCATAACGTCAAACGTTGAGCACCGCCGAGCATTCCTCACCACGTAGTTAATTGCTCTGCTTCAAAGAATCAAATGTCTACTACGAGGGAACCAACGTTGTGGATCAGGAGGCCTGATAAAATCCAGTCCAGTTCGAATATGCTTTGCTTCGCGAAAATCAGGTTCAACGGGTATAATAATATTGCTCATTTACGACAGGCACACAAGACAACAGAAACGATATGGCTACAAGGGGTGCGATCCAATCCAACACAGCAGGTGATAAAGCTACAAGTCAACGATACCGTGCAAGTAAGGGTCATATAAAAACAGCGAGAAAAACGGCTCGGAGGCAGGAAGTCCGAAACCATTAAAAAAAATAGCTATACATACAAGTGATAGATCGTGGAAATGGAGATAGAAAGATGTGGAGTCGAGATGATCAATACGAGTTGTATTCAAAACCCATGATGGAGGGGGTATCCATGACGCCGAACGGTGGGAACAAACCCTCGATGCCAGTCGAGTAGCAAGAGAGTTGGGGCTCTGCGATCTGTTGTTCACCAGGGCCTAACAAGCAGTCCAAACCCTTGGCAGGAACATTGTATTGCTGGGAAGAGATATCCTGCCATTGCTCGAATTGGGAACCTACGTACTGCGGCTGAGGTGCGACTAGCGGGAGAGACATGTCGGAGTGTGCAGGGGACCCGGTGTATGGGGATGAAGATGCAGACTGGGAGTTGTTGTACTCAGTCGGCATCCAGGTTGAGGGATCATTCGGGTCGAATGTCATGGCATTGATGTCGATCGATAGGTCGTGAATTGGGTCCAAGGGAGCAATGCCACCAAAGTCCTGAGATGCATGCGGAGTAAAAGTGGAGATCATCTCGTTGAAGTTCTGCATCGTTGTGTTAGCGTCGAGAAAGAAAATCCAAAACATTGATAAGTACGTACGAATGCGAAATCTGGGTGTGTGGCTTGGCTAGAGAAGTTCGAGTTAAAGAACGATGGCTCAAATAAGCTGGTGTCCGCCTCTGGGAGGGGAGACTCATCGCGCTGCAGGGAGGCAGGTGTAGCGATGCCCCAAGAGCGGGGGATAGCCGGTTGAGCACTCGAAGCTCTGCGCTGACCCAGGATGAAGCGAGCGGAGCGGGAGATATTTCCAACAGGAGACCCAGGACGCGAGCCTGCGAAGAAAGGCAGCGTCGGGATGGTAATGCCAGTCGCATTGAACCGCGAATCCGGAAGCGGTACGGAAGAGGATCGCCTATGATGATAGATGGGGGCAGGGGCATACACTTTATTTTCGTCGAGCTGGCGAATAGCAGCGGCGAGCTCCTCGCCCTTCATTCCATCAAGGAGGAGCTGAGCAACCTCTTCACAGCGGCGCTCGTCCTCAGCAGTGGGAGCAGCCTTTTCCTTTTTCTTCTCCTTGTTCTTGTTATGGACTGGGCGGAAACGGTACTCAGGGTACCGCGCCTTGTGCTCAGCTTTGGCGTGTTTGGCTTTGATTTCCCAAACTCGCTTTTCCTCAAGAGGAAGCGCTCTCCAGCAATTTCCTAGGCACAGGATGAGTGATCACGTGACGCTATCTCAAAAAATTAGGGCATACCGATGATCTTCGAGAGTGAACCGTGGTTAGTCTCGATTGACCCTGGAACGTGCTTCTGGCGCACAAAGTCCGCCCGGAACAACATGAACGCATTCGGGGGACGTGGGATGTACCCTAGCGACCGGCGCTTGCCAGGAGGTACCCGTCTCTTCGTCGTGGTCGGGGGCAGCTCTGAAGGAGGGAAAAGCTGCGTAGTAGGAGACGACGGCTCTGGCGTAGGCGATGATAAAGACTCGTCAGTCTCGGTAAAAGTGACTGGTGTGACATTAGGTGCGAATGTAACTGATCGTGGTGAAGGAGTCGTTGTGTTGATTCCGTAGATGCCTGCCTTGATAGGATGGAGAGCCGCTATTGACCGTCATGATGAGCATGATACAAATGAGAAATGATTATAGAACATACTAATGGCTAAGGATGACCGTCGACGGTGCGAAAGACGGACGGCAGGCATAGTCTATAGTGATATGGATACAGTAGCACGGTAGTAGTTGGGAAGCTCCCTAAAGCAGGAAACAAAAGAGACTCGGAGGGGGGGAACAAAAAGCGCTATTGTGTTGGGCGTTCCTTATAGCTTTTCAGGCAGAGAGTCCGTCCGAAGATTGATTCTTCCCAAGCGGGGTCCAGAGTGTGGGTGCATGATTTAATTTCATACACAGGACCTACAACACCGCCTCACGTTATTTCTGGCTAATGATAATCACCAAATGGTGATTTTGTAGGCTGAGAACATAGAAGGTTAGCCCTTTTTAATGAATTGGATGCGTATCACGGTTTATCACCGTTTTTCGAGTGTTCAAGGTCCTCGTCGTGGAAGCAACTCTTGATTTATCCAATCCCTTGTATCAAAAACGGTACATAGCTTGGGACTTCCTTTTTTGGTTTCTGTGGTTTGCTTCCGAGTCGGTCCCTCTCGGGAACGTTTGCGCTGTTCGCGGCGCTCTCGGGTCAGTGCCTTTCCAAATCAGAAACTCGGAGATGTGGGGGTGACCTGGTCACCTTGCTGACCTGGCAGTATTTTTCAACAGAGGCTTCATGAAACCATGAATCAAAAAGTTGTCTGCCCCATGTTTGGCCCATGATGATCACACCCTGAGACAGGCCCATCACTGTAACGTAAATTCTGAAAATTTGCATTGGACGCCAAAGGTCCATGTGACGCGGCGCTTGGCACTCCAGAACTTTGACGCTTCTTCATCGCCGTTCTGAAGGCCGCACAGTTGCCGAAGGTTCCCATCCGCCACAAGAATTATCCACAGCAGTCGGAGCGCCTAGGCGGCCTAAACCTTTGTCCTGCATATGGGCGAGGGAGGGGGGGAAATATGTCGTATTACGACTGACCAATACCGGTAGCGCATCGGTATGAAGTCCAAGGGTATGCTACAATATGTTAAGATTGCACGTATGCAATAGGAATATACAGGTATAAGTTATCAATAAACAATGTGGAATTGAACATAATGATATGGACATTGAACAGGGCGATCCAGAGCATGACCGCTGGACATAGTGGAAGAATCGGGAGACCCGGGTATTATTGAGAAGAAGCGGTGAAATGAAAGGTGACGATCCTTGGGGCCTGGATGTGATTCGGAGGAATCAAGCATAGTGCACCAAAAACCACAGGACCCAGACGAAGCTGACGAAACCAAGGCATGGTGGCGAAATGAAGTGCGAACTGGCGCCATCGATCAACGGAGCAGCCTGACCAATGGTGTAATTCAAGCAGTCCAAAAGAGTCATGTCCACCCCAGAAGGCAACGGCGAGTCTGCGGTATTTGGATTGCTGTTGAATGTAGCGGAGTTGTTATAGCCATCCAGAGTGAGCACGATGCTGGAAGAGCGGTAGTACTGTATGGCTTGCTCCGGCTGAGGGCCTCCTGCAGCGGATGAGTTGTACGGTGACGGAGATGTTGAACTCGAGGATGCCAAATGCGACGAGCAATTGGTGTTGATGGAACCGATCAAGGAGCCAACCGTACTGTTGTCAGATAGCACATGGAAAGTCGAACCCGTGTTATTTGAGACGAAGTTGGCCTGTGCCATCGGTCCACCCAATCTACTGGTATTGAACGAATCACCGTACTGTGGACGTGGGGGCATCAGTGAACTCCTGGTGTGAGGAGGTAAAAATGTTACTTCAGTATTATGGAGGGCCTGGTTTGCACTTCCATCCCAAACAACCGGCCAGAACCAAAACGGAAATCCTCGACCTGCGACACCATAGCCAGAGTATCCAGGGTATCCACTACCATAGGTTCTGGATGACAATTGAATTACTTTCAACGATTGGCAAGAAAATAATCTATTGACGAACCTTGTGCCGTACACCTGTGGTCTTGAACCGCCTCCAGCAGTGCGGCCGGAGAAAAGCTGTCCGACAGGGATGGTTTCGGCTTTCCCGCCTCCATATCCGTATGATGTTGCAGTGCTCTTGCCGCTGGAGGAGCTACCCTTGAGTGGTACCGTTGAAGTCTTGCCTGAAAAGTCCATTGAGTTCTGATGTCACCGCACTTAAAAAATTGGTAGACGTGCCCCCGCTGCCGCTCCCTGAGCTGCCTCCGCTCTTTCCACCACCACTTTTACCACTCCCACCGCTACTGCTACCACCACTTTTTCCCCCACCGCCACCACCTTTGCGGCGACCGATTTCCTGATAACGCGAACTCGTGATAAATGGAATACGCATTTGGTGAGGAAGTTCGATGAAGTGCGGGGAAAGATGAAAGATGAGGAGCCCGTTTTATAAAGCTCTACTGGTCCACAGCTGGTTATGTATTGTTCTTTTCAGAACGTGGTGGACAGCGCATTGACACTGATAGCAAAATTATATTGTGCTACACCGCTTTGGAAAGTCCCCTATAATGGTCACAGCTTGTCACATGCCAAATCTCAATGTCACGCGTCAACTGTCACACTCGCGTCTTATTCTTCCACCTCGCGATGGCAGCAGCACTCGAAAGAGAGAGTCTAATGAAACTATGCTCAGGAGAAACATACGAAAAAGCACAGGCCATTCTACGACTTGCGAAAACCAAAACTGGCCCTGGCTCTGGGTATCTCGTCGCCCACGCTAATGCACTCCCGGGTGTCTGTGCGTACCTCGCGTCAGAAGAGTGCGTCATTTCCCGATCACGAGCATTCAGCATCTGACAATCTTTCACAGACTGAACAACAATGAAGTGTCACAAAAAGCCGCTATCGCGAGCGCTTGCATCAGTCAGAATGATTTTACGAAGGCCTTGAATACTGTGCGGCAAGCACTTGGCCCTACGGGGAAACAGCACACGAGGGGTCTGAATTATAGATCGCTCATTGGCACGTACCGTGTAGCGCCACCCGACGAGGCCTTGGAGTGGATGCGCGAGGTAGAAAGCAGTGTCCCCAAGGTAGACATGCTTCGTACGCGCCATCGAGCCAGCACGGTAACTTGTGCTATATTTTACTGGATCTGTCAGATCATGGAGGTCCGCACGTTATGTTCTCTTGAGATTTCCTTGCTCACGTCGTCTTTCTAGGTTCAGGGGGTGCAAGAAAAATCACTTTGTCAAATCCATGACGTCTCCCTACCTGCGTTCAAGTCCGTCATAAAGGCCCTCGACAAGGATTGCGATGCGGTCGCTGACCGCATCAAATCTCAACTACAAGAAACTAATTCGTCTGGACCATCTTCGAGACTTCGGACTCGTCCTTCTACCTCACCACAGAAGTCTCCATCCAAGTCCGCCATGAAAGCCAGACCACAGGATGTCACGCCAGCCAAACCCCTGGCACTCAAACGCATGGTTGTATTCTCACACGACGCTTTGGATGGTTCCGACGATATCTCATTACCCGAAACTCCAACCAAAAGACGTCGGGTTGAGCTACGTTCTAAACCTGGCGCAAGCGTCTCGCCCACAAAGCGCACAGCTACGCCACAGAGAACCGCATCCTCAATAGCTGCATTTGAACAGGCCATCAGGGGAGATTCCACCCCGCGCCATGAACAGCAAAAACCTATATTCTCTGTTGCTATATCTAGTGACGCCCATTCTCCATTGCCTGGTCCCTCCACCCCGCGGCGCACGCGAAGCCAACCTTCTAGATTAGCTGAAGATCCAGCTGCAATGGAAGTCGACGAACAGCGAGCGGAGCCTCCAGTGCGCAAACGTTTCCGACCAGTGTTCCTGGATCAGCAGCAGTGGTGCAGTCGAGATCCAAAACTTGCCAAGATCTGGGACGCTGCTGTAGAGCATAGGACGCGGATGATGGGGCTTTATGCACATCCTTTTGATCAGTATCGTCCTGTTGCATCCTGAGTCACGTAGGGGCGAAGTTAGAGGGATGCTGTGATTATCGCCGATATCGTTATCATTCTAAATCACGATTGTTGTATCTCACCGTCCATAATCGTGCAACCGCCTCGGAAATCTGTAGATTATAGCATCAATTGACCTGTGCACGCTTGAACATTGCGTGATGCAGGGTGCTTCCTCGGCGATTAGATCGAAGCCGATAAGTTGAGGCCATTTGCGTTAGCTGTCCGATCTCCGTATTTAGTGGGACATCACAAGATACGTACGTGCTAAGCGCTAAGAGCTGCCACTAGGACTGCCGTGGTGTAATGATCGCTAGCGAGTGTGTCCACAGCTTCCATGGCAGCGTCTACCTCAGAGTCAGCTCGCCTGCCACTTGCGTCACCATAATTGAGAAGCTTCAGACCGCTGCTTCAGAATAAAACAAGTTGATTTCGACGACATATGTGCTGTGCAGCTCATTCGAGATGTCTTGGGTTTACGGTGTTTTTTTATATAGTTTGCATGGCATGCAAGCGTAGAAAGCCGTGCGTGATACTAGTCCAAAAAGCATGTCCAAGGTTTGAACTTAAAGTCTGGATGAACCTAGGCGCCATGGCCTAGCAATTGTCCTTGATTGATGAAAGGTCTGACTGAAGCCTGAACCTAGAACTGGACATCAGTTAAGGCACACTGTAGCAGCACTATAAGTCTGGATTCAGAAGAACGAGAGATTCCTGCAGGAATGAAAGAAAAAAAAGGTTATGAGTGCTGGTCTGACCGTGACGACTCGCATGGCAGGAGAGTAGTCCCCCGTGGGCAGATCCAATAGAAGGAAGACAGTCGTTCTTTCTGTATTAGGGTCGCTTTCACTGGCGGGGCTGATACCGTAGCTCAACATTTTCTCAATGTTGAGCTCCAATATCAACAGCCCCAGTGCGTGCAGACTAGCGGGAAAGAGGCAAAGCTACTATCTTCTACGAGACCCAAGTTGGACTCCCAATGAGAACACTTCTGGTTTAACGATTTGCGAGAATGGGGAAAGGTCAGAAGACAAGTGAAACAGTTATTATGGGGTCGAGAGATTTATTAGTGCCTTGTAAATACCCCATAGTTATGCCTGTTATTAACAACTCACTTTTCGTCCGTACCCTAAAGGGGAGACGGTCTTCCCGCGAGATTTTGTGAGCCGATTCTACATATGATAGTAGTTTCTGAGGATGATACATCTAACTGCATAAGTATCACGATGGTACCGCATCTCTTGCTGCCAGATCAGGTACCCCTGACATCTCACGTTGACCTGGACGGATAGACGGTCAACAACATCTGAAGTTAACGAGGACCGTACGTTTGAGATGCTAATACGTTGCATTGTGGATCTTGTGCGGCAGGTAGTGTAACGTGTTGGGCTTCTGCCCTGCGCCCATGGCTAGTATCCAGGGTTCTTGTTGGCTCCTACCACGTGCCTATGGCGTAGATCTCCTTCTATCATTACTACCCCTTCATAAACGCCCATCAGTGCATCATATCTCAGTTACCTTCATTGTGTCCAGTGAGTCCGCTCGAAAGCACATGTGTCCACCATCATGCGCAGCAGTTAACTCTCAACCAGATGTTTCTTACACCTCGTTCTTGTATTGCACCCTGATTTGCCACGAGATAAAAAAGGCCTACTTAGAACGATCGCTTTGGCGCTAATGTCTCCACAGTTCCGGTATCGATGAGATGCTGCTACCAGCTCGCGATCAAGATTCATTGAATCAACGGTCCACATGCCTGCCTTGCTGTACATGACACGTGGTTTTCCTTGAACTGTTAATACCAGTAGTAGTAATACGCAGCGTCTGAGTTGGAAAGAGTGGTGGCACCATGGCATGGTGGAACATAACTTTACAAGTCGATTGTTCTACTTACTTGACACGGGTGACGAATCACGTGCAGCAACTTCTTTACAGTTATTTGGCAAGTCAATTTCCTTTTTCGATAGATGTGATTTACACTTAAAACTAAATGCAAAACCTGACTGACTTCCCGGTGTGAGTCCTGGCTCGTTGTCCGACCGCCATGGAGGTTATCGACATCCCATCATCCCCTGAACTGCTTCCTACAGTATACAGACCAACTCGTAATCAGAGCCGTCAGCCCGGGTTGTCGCAGGCGAGAATGGCGCCGCCGCCAGCAGCGAGGCGATGGGCAGAAGAAATCATCGAAATATCGGACTCTGACAGCGAGTTTGAGGCTAACCTGGTGTCCCCGAAGAAGAAACGGTCGGTAAAAATACATGCAAGACCAGGTCCTTCGAACGTGCCAGTCATTGGAGCACCTTTGCTTGCGGATGCTGCCCCACCGGCTGCCGGATCATCTCAGAAATCTCCTCGCATAGATAGAGTCGCTTCTGCCCCGCTGTTTTATTCAGACGACGAGGACGGAGAAGTGCAACAGATGCCGCTATTGATGCAACAGCTAGATGTCCCTCCGGTACCGGTGCTGCCACAGGCGCCGCTCCCTCAACCTTCTCCCCCTCCTGAACTTCCAGCGGCGACCCTGGATTCAACTGACGCGTACGTTGCTCGTGTCCTTGAAATTGTCCCAGACGTGGAGCCTGCACATATTCTCGGGCTTGTTGAACAATTTATCCATAACCCAGCCAACGCCGGACAGAACGTCCTAGAGCTTGTTCTCCATTCTCTTTTTGAGAACCCAAATTACCCGAAAGTTGATAGGAAGGGAAAGCGGAAAAGGACCGAAGATGACGAGGAAGGCATTGCTCGTGGGCAACCAGTTCCTAAGATTGATTATGGTTCGAGGGACAGAGAACATAAGGGGGGTGTTCATTATTTCGAACTGGCCTTGGTGTGTAAGTTTTCTTTTTTATGAGATGCACAGTTTCGATCCCTCAATAGGAACAACTTATGGTCGACTTTCCATACGCCCCGAAGCCCTATCTCCGAACGCGACTACTTGAACATCGGTTTTATGCTCCAACGCATTTGCTTGTGGCTGAGAATCGGGATCCCTCACCTTACGTTCGGAAATCCGTTCCTTCGAGAGTTAGCGGAAAAGGAAGAGAAAGGCACGACCCCGAATTCGAGGCAGAGCGGCAATGGCTCTTGCAGCGACAAAGTGGACATGTAGCGACTGATGAACCGCGTCCTGATGAAACAAACGATGATGATGCATGCGAAGAATGTGAAGACGGTATTGAATGCGGTTGTTGCTTCTCTTCGTACCCATTTGTTTGTTGTTTTCCTTACTCACTCGACAAGTGCCATCTAACATGTGATCAGGACAAGATGGTACAGTGTCCAGAAGCGCACCTATTTTGCAAAAGTTGCATGTCTTCCTACGCATCCAACCTTTTGGGCGAACACAATCCCAATATCGTTTGCATGGACCAGTCCGGATGCAAGCTCCACTTTCCGCAGTCCGAGCTGGAACGTTTCCTTACGCCAAAGCTTCTGGAGCTGTATCATCGCGTCAAGCAGCGCAAGGACATCGAAGCTGCCGGCCTCGAGAACTTGGAGGAATGTCCCTTCTGCGAATATAAGTGCGTCATTGAGAATGAGACGGAGAAGCTCTTTCGGTGCGAGAATGTGGACTGCGGTGCTGTGAGCTGTCGAGAGTGTAAAAAACCCGTACGTATCTAAACCTTTTTGGAGGTCCAATTCTTGATATTGTTGAGTAGGACCATTTGCCGAAGAGCTGCAAGGGTAACATCGGTTCTGCGTCTCTTGACCGTTGTGCTCATGATTTTTTTTCCAGAAGCTGAATCGGACAAGCACCTTGATGTGCAGCACGTCGTTGAGGAAGCGATGAGTATGTTTGCATGATAATTATGGACGGCCTATTTTTGATAATATTTTTGTAGCTCGTGCCCTAATGCGAAACTGTCCAAAGTGCCAGAAAGGTTCGTCCTCATGAACAATTACAATCAGCAACTCTAACCATGATGCACACAGCGTTCATAAAAGAACACGGAGTAAACCTTTTCCCCTCTATGGATAAACTGCCTGCTAACGGCGAATCTCAGTGTAACAAGATGACTTGTCCAAATTGTCACACTGTCTCGTGCTATATATGCCGGAAAGTCATCATTGGATACGACCATTTTGGTAATGTAAGTCATGACACCGCAACTTCCTAGTCCACGTAACTCAACGATCTTAATCCATCAGCCACCTCCTTATATTGGACGAGTCGACCAAAATAAATGCGTCCTATGGGATCCTGTAGAACAGCGCCATGAGACTGAGGTATATGCGCCGGCTTGTTATCATGGATTGATCTATTGACGGCACCTTATCTATGCAGGTTCAAGAAGCAGCCAAGAAAGCGTTCGAGGAGCTCAAACGCGATCGTCCTGATGTTGATCACAGCAATATCAAGATAGATATACCAATTGCCGGTCCGGCACAGCCAAGACCTGGCGTGCATCAAGCTCTCCCCGTGGACGCTGGGTGGGGCATCCCTGCCTTACCGAATGTATTTAGAGCACTGCCGAATGTGTTGGGAGCAGCGCCGCCTATATATGGAGCACCAGCTCACGGCTTTCCCCATGCAGTCCCACGCAGATATGTTGAATGCCCGTGCCCAACAGGCTGAGCGACTGTTCCGGGCGCAGATGGAGGCGGACCGCGTCCAGGCTCAAGCACGGCTCCAGGAGCGGGTGTTGCAGGCGCAACGCGCCCAGGCTGAGATGAGGCGTCAGGCAGCGTTGAGGCAACAGGAAGCATTGAGGAGGGTGGAGCGCACCCAGGGTAGATTGAGACGTCAGGCGGCGGAGATGCAGGAACGTCGTATTGCGGCAGCTGAAGCCGAGAGGGTCAGAGGTGGTATGTTCATGGCCTTCCCTCAACCCGTCGCCGCGCCCAAAAGGTCTCGGAGGCGCTAAAGAAAGATGTAATTTTTTGTACATTCTGTCCTGTCATAATGATGTTGCTGCTACCATACCTTATAGTCATATATACCGTATATTCCTAGCCACGCTTCATCGGCTTCTGCAACTATACTCAACTGTACTACTAGGACATCAGATGCTTACGTGAAGAGGGAGTGATCACTGCATTATACGAGATTGTAGCCAGGCTGGCGCTATTGGCGCATCATCACCCACAGGAATTTTCATACTTCGTTTACCTTCCCATCTCTGCCGCAGCGTCACTGACATCGTTTCTCGATGCTACCTCTGGAGAAGATACCCAAAGCACATATCCCGGCAGATACTCCACTACGAGTCGGTGTGCATGGACAATGTCAGCTTGTGTTCTTAAAGTGTCAAAGAGCACTTTCAACTTTTTCACATCTACATGCATGGACGGCTTGATGGAATATCAATGTGGCTGCGACAGACTTGTGCGCCACCTCATATACCGTCGTGCAGCTCTACTTCGTAACCGTGGGACGCTGCCAGTGGTTCTCAAAGGTAAGCGTCGCCCCTTTAGCTTGATCCTTACATATAGTTGTACATGCGCTAACTTATCTGTCAGAATAGGTCAGAGAACTGCTGATAACGCTTTAGTTCACGCTTGGAACGTTCTCAAGTCGCCCGCATGTCCCTGTGGGCGACGCGGAATGACTTCTTGCTAGCGAAAACGGCAGTTCTGTCATGTACGTGTCGCCTCACATTTAACCTCCCATTACCTTCATCATGTTACCCTAGAGTATTGTTTGTGTGGAGAATGACGTATGCAGATATACACGGTGCTCGTGGAACGCGGGACGTGAAGGTGATTTCCCGGCGACGAAGTCCTTTTCCTCACTCAATGAGCGCGCCAGAGATAACCCTCAGACTCCTCACTCAGAAACAGCGCGCCAAAGTCGAAGCAACCGAGAACAATGATCGACTACGACTCGACTTGTAGCTTGCTTGCTCACAGTCATGCACATGCGGTACCCGTAGCCCAGCAAAGATATCTGCCTCTGCAGTTTTTGCGTGCGTATGTGTCTATGGGTAGGTTATCAGTCTGACACGTTTTGCAGGAACTTTTCTGCCAATCCAGCCGACCCGTAATCAGTATAACACTGCTATATCTCGGTGCTTACTCTGGGGAACAGTAGGATAATACGAATTCGATCTGGCGTGAACCTGAAGATGTCAACCAACTCTGCTCTGCGACGTTTTGAGGAGCTTACGAAGAAATGAGAATGAGTTCGTCCACATGGATCCAGCGTGATCGAAATAATCATCCAGCTGGACTCTATGGTTCGTGTCACATTAGCATTATTCCTATGATCCTATGATAACATTTGATGATAACAGGTAAGTTCAACAGGATCACATTATGTAACCTAGAAGGAACAATTAGTCTTTCATAGTTTGTGACTCCACACGTGCTTTGGCGTCAGTCCGCTGTGGACCAGGTCGTGGTGGAATTTGTTCCACCTGTGGTTTATAAGGTGAGTCTCTCAACTTCAAAGCAGTGGCGCACATGTTACTCGCCCTTCATGGGGCCTCTCAGTACAGGACTTCCATGTGTCGAACTTCCGACCGAGCTAGTCCTCCTTATATTGTCATACGCTGCAAAGCCTACGTTCTCTCAGGCTGACAACTACGATGCCAAAAATCCATACGCATCCGCGGCTACACTCTGCCTCGTCTCCAGGATTGTGAGACGCACCGTGCTTCCCGAACTTCTGCATACGGTATTACTCTCGGAAGCTCACAGTGTCACAGCATTCGAGCACGCTCTTCAGTATGCAAAAAGCATACGCTCAGCAAAAGCATCACCTCCATTTCGAATACGCACCGCACATACGCAGGATTTGGATTGGAGAGATCTTGCACCTTCCCCCGCAACCTCTTTGGCCCCTCAGCTCTATGCTTTATCCACCCCCTGCGCTGGACTTCAGCCTCCTGTCTCCAGTGGTCCTCGCCGCAGAGTCCCTTGCGCTCGACTTTTTAAGCGTGAAGTATCTTCTCGCAGGTTGCCTTGAGCATGCATGGCACTCCCAAGTGGTTGATCACGAACGCCCACTTCCTTGGAATACCAAAACTATGACGGTATCCGGGGCTTATCCATGGTTCTCCCTCGAGATCACTCCCCAAGGACGTGCTTTCCTTGCGTCTATTTCTCACCTCGTCTCTCTGTCTCACTTACAAAACGAAACACATCTGCACCTCATTGATCGTTTCACGGGATCTCGCGACTACAGGCTGCCTATGTGGCTGAGGCGCACTCGGTGGTATTCTTTCGAGAATCTACAGACCGTTTCACTGGCCCTCCCGTATATCGAAGTTCCAGTCGATCCATGCATTTTTAGCGGGACGGAAGTGCAAGTGGAGTTGCTGACGTTCCCTGTGTCTCTGATACCGAACAACTTGCGCCGGGCGTTTGCTCAGAGTGGAGAAGGGCGTTTCCGGTCGGAGGATGCCCAAGTTTCGGTATCGGGTTCTTTTGTACATTTTTGTGTACTTTGTCATGATTGGGAGAAGGCTTGGGCATGTGGATTAACAGGTTGACGAAGGGCGTTCTGATGCTGTATGTACGAGTTCGTGTTTGTTGTACTTTACACTTTACTTATGTTTCACTTAGAACAGGGCACCCAAAGAACACGCCAAACGATGTACCATCAAGACCCAATGTACTATATTAAACCAAACAAGCAGTTGGGACACGTCCCGCAATTTGTTGGATTCACACTCTGCATACACAGTATATACCTTCGTGGATACGATTGAGGATCAAGACGGCGAATTTGTACGGACCTGACAATATATTGGGACATACATTAATATACGGTGAGCTAAGGGGCGGTGCTGCACGTATGCACATCTCTCATGCGCAGACATCTGGGTCGCTACCCCTGCTCGGCCACTATCGACACTCTCTCAATGCTCGCGCATCCATCAAATAATTTTCTAGTTCTCCAAATCTAGTATGTAGATATGACTCGGGCCTGCAGCCTGCAATATTGGGTTGAAGCGCGTTGAAAAAAACCGGGGGACGCCGAACGCTAAGCAGGCCTCCGCGTCATCTATAGCTAGCTAATTGGTCTGCAGCTCTGAGTTGGCGAATAATAGACAAAATACCAGGGTCGACTTAAACTCTGTGATTCCACAATCCGTTTTAGTGCTCAGTGTGTGCATAGAGTTGCATAAGCCTAATTTTGCGCATGACATCAGTCAAAGAATTGTACGATAGTATACGGTTATGGTCTGCCCCAACAGTCACTACTCGCCCAAGTCTAACTATCGCTCATGCAACAAGAGTGGAAGCGGTAGCAGAGTCATACTTGAAGGTAGGAGGGATCTGCTGCTTTGTCTTGTAGTAACGAGCAAGACGGTGAATGCGAGACTCGATCAAGATGAGACGGAACTTGGAATCCTTGTCCTTGCGGTTGACTTCGAGGTGCTTACGCACGGCCACCGCCTTTTTGACGAGGTGCCAAAGGTCCTCTGGGATGGACGGTGCCAATCCTATCCCCAAACAAAAGGCATGTATAAAAACAAGATGCAGTAGCAGAAGTGCAAGGCAACAAGGCAGAGAGCGATTCAGTGCATGAGTGTTTGGCGGAATTACTCGCTAATGAATCACGCACCGTGAGATTTGAGGATACGGAGGATCTTGTTACCAGTGACGAAGCGCACTTGGGGGATACCATGCGAGTCACGAAGGGTAACACCGATCTGAGAGGGAGTGAGACCCTTGCGAGCCAATTTCATGATGTGCTCGACGACTTCATCGGGCGTAGTCTTGAGCCATGAAGGAGGGGAGCGCTTGTAAGGAAGGGCAGAGGACGCTGATAGAGTTGATTAGGATAGCTCCCAAGTATCAAAAGTAGGTCATTTTGCTACGTACAAATGCCCTTGCCGGGAGCGTGCATACGACCCATGATGAATCTGCATGATTTGGTCAGCTTTACATCAATTTCCACTTTTACAGGACTCACAGTTTTTGTTGGCGGGGAGGATGTCTTGAGGAGTGTCGTTGGACGCGTTCGAGGAAAGGTGATGTGACGCGTGACAAGTTAGTGTGTGGCTTAGCAACTGTACAGTTGAAAACCTTATTTTCCACCTCAGCCACAAGCCGGAATCTGCCACACTGTTGAACAAAGGCCCGTAGGCTAACCAGCAAGATCAAGACTCCTCCTCGTCGCTGCTGCCCACGGTGACAAGGCCTTTTCTCGTTTCGTAAGGTGAGCTCCGACGTCGATATCAATTTCAAGTTCTTATTGACCCTTCGACTCGGGCAGTATGAAGATCAACATTGCTAGTGCGTTCGGTGTCCAACAATTCAACAAAATTTAAACTGACCTTCGACCCAGACCCCGCTACTGGGGCTCAAAAGACCATTAACATTGACGATGAGAGGAGATTGTACGATTGACCCTTTCTTTTACTTTGAAAAGTAACCAATTTACCACAAACCAGCCGTATCTTCTTCGACAAGAAGATCTCGCAAGAGGTCGAGGCAGATATCCTCGGAGATGAATGGAAGGGTTACATCTTCCGTATCACCGGTGGTAACGACAAGCAGGGTTTCCCTATGATGCAGGGTGTCCTCCTCCCCATCCGTGTCAGACTTCTCTTGACCGACAATCACTCTTGCTACCGTGCCAGCCGTGCAGGCGAGAGGAAGCGCAAATCCGTCCGTGGCTGCATCGTCGGCCCTGACATTGCCGTCCTATCTGTCGTTATCGTTAAACAGGGAGACAATGAGATCCCTGGGCTCACCGACACCGTTCTGCCCAAACGACTTGGTCCTAAAAGGGCAACTAAGATCCGGAGGTTCTTCAACTTGTCGAAGGAGGATGATGTCAGGAAGTACGTTGTGAGGCGTGAGGTGAAAAGCTCGAAGAAGGAGAACGCCAAGCCCTACACTAAGGCGTTAGTATATCGCAATCTTGGTTTGTCTTTGGCACTAAATTGGCATCCTTTCCCAGACCCAAAATCCAAAGATTGGTCACTCCTATCCGTCTCCAACGCCGCCGTCACCTCCGTTCTCTCAACCGTCGCCGGATCGACCGCCAGAAAGAGCAGAAGGCAGAATACGAGTAAGCGATATAGTCTGCACGAAACCCGTTCCGCTATATTAACCTCTCCTTTAGTGCCCTTATGCAAAAGCGTGTCGCTGAGAAGAAGGCCAAGGTTGCAGCCATCAAAGCCTCGCACCACAAGTATGTCTGGGATTGTTGTCCTGCAGGATCATGTGCTCATACAGTTTATTCAGGACTGCCTAAAATAACTCTCCTCATCGTCTTACACTTCATCTCATGCTATAGGCTTCTTATGGTACCTCATGTCACGCCATGCTTTGACGCTATACTATCTGCATTAAAGCCAATCGCTGATATACCATTGTCAAGTGAATATTGATGTGCTCCAAGGTTTGGATTGCTCTTGACGCATTCTTTTTGCGACGTACCGTTGAGCTTGCCAATTACGTGTTTGATTGTTGCGCCATATAAATTGACAGCCTAGGTTGCCGCTCAAACGATTCTTGCCAATAAGCATGGATCTGATTTCTCGTCTGATCCCGACTGCTCGTTCACCTAACCAAGTTTCTGCTATAGGTCGCGTGATGACCTTAGGATGTAGTACTATCCAGTGCTGCATCCCCTCAGCCAATCATGCGACTCCTCGGTCTCGTGCTACTTGTTGATATGTGCTGTACGAGAAAGTGCATCGGTGAACCCTGCCTCACGTCTAGCCACTCGTGCTGCTTACTGTTCCAGTTATGTTGTAGACTCGTGACCATTCCACTAACCTAACCTAAAATATGTGCGGGGCTCTGACCATGTTCACCATCAATGAAGATGGGATCATGGACAGAGCCCCGCGCCTTTCACAAGGTACGTGTATATGTATGCCTGCCAAGTACTACTAGTTTATCACCATGTACAGGTTGAGCGAACAAACCAAGTTCCAGCCGCTGCAAGAAAGGGCAGCGGGTGCAAGACCGTAAACACCTTCACGAAACGACTTTGGCCACCATTGAAACTAGCACAGCCACCGTCGGTGACGCATTTACGAAGGGCAACTGTGCTTGGGCTCCATGAACTTCCCAGCTCTCTGCCTGGTTGACCACTATACCATTGACTAGTGCCGATCTCTCCGCTCACGTATGCAAGTTTCAGATGTGTCTTGATAGTCTTCCAACTAATCCAAATTTTGTTTCATCTACCGACTTCGGAACGTATTTTGGTCATCAGATCGTTGCAAATAGTATCAACGAATGGTAAAAAGGGTCAGATCTCCCGGCGAAGCTCGGCTCTATATCTAGTTCAAAAATAAGGTGATGGCCTTTCTACTTCGAACCGAAATTCTACCTCCTGTAGTATGTACAATGTGCACGCGCCAATTGTCAGGTCATCTGTCTCTTCTGCCAGTCTGTACCCTGTATCCTGATGGGAACGGTGGAGGCACCTCCTGACGCGTGAGGTATGTCTACTATAATTGCCCGTGCCTTGTTCGTATCATTTACCACTGCGTCGGCCAGTCAATTCCGCGATAAATTATCCTATGAAGTGCATGCAGCTCCCATGGCTGCCTCAGATGTTACAATCGTGCACTGTGAATTACCTACTGTTGAACGAATGACTAAGCATGTCACTCGGTTGTCGAAACCGAGGTCAATGCATGGATAACATATTTCAGTACCATCAGTTTCACTGCTGATACCAACACTCGCCCCATTTACAAGAAGGCGCGATGAAACGTTTCTGCTTGCCCCTTGCAACCGCGTCAAACCGGTCAGCTCTGGCTGATGGATGTCAGTGATTCCGGAAGAACAATAATGTCCTTTAACACTCCATTCAGACCCGTCCTATCCTCTTGAGGGGACGTACGCAGGATAGTGCATAAGGAACATTTTTCCTCAGACGGGTGCCCCAGGCCTACTACAGGTTTCTGAATAGGCCCCGGTGCTGTTGAGTCATCAGAGTCATCACCACAATGTTAGGGCAGTGCCCAATAGAAGGAAGATACAAGTCGTTCCTTCTGTATTAGGCGAGTACCAAGCACCCCAGTTTCAGATCTCAGCTAACATTGGTCTTCTGAGTGGTTGCGCCTCGAGGCGATTATCTTGGCTATCTCCGAAAGTCACGTAGTCACGTCCACTAGAAGTCATTAAAAGACCGCAGACCACTCGGGTCCCATTCACGCCCACCATCCGCACTATGGATTTTGAGGAGTTTGAAGTTGATATCGAGCGAGCCATCGAACAGGCACCAATCAATGCACCATCATGCACTGCTACCGAGGCTTTAAACTGGATTGACTCAACTTGGTATGCGCCTGCAAGTAGGAGTGCACGGTGGATGGACCTGATTGGTGACTATGCGGGCGACGAACCCTTTGTTATTGATGGTACTCGTTCAACTTGCTACCCATCTGACCCCAATACTCATCCATCTCCTAGGACATTCCCTACTACAAGTTGTGCTTGATGATCCTCTGCTCGCACTGGCGAAGGATGACGGTACTTCATTGTAGTCAAGTACAGATTTTTCTCTGACACGACTCGGATGGTGGTGCTGTTGAAGACCCGTCATTCCAAATCATCCATGCGATCTATTCTCTAGAACGCATCCTCAACGAATTTCAAAAACGCTCTGCCAACTTCGACATTGTTTTCTTCGATGGCGAGCCTGCTTCTATGTCTCACCATCTGATAGCGTCCATCTTATTAGAACTATTTTAGCACTATTTTAGCAAACCGACACCTTGTACTACGAGCGGGCGAGTCGGAGTTTACTGTCGCATCTCGAGCGCTTTCCACGAGACTGCTATATAAGCACCTTCAGTCGCTGGACTCAGTGAATACGCTCGTCTTCGAAAGTCTCTCCGACAAAGACTGGGTTGATTATCATGTTCAAGCAAAGGTAAGCGTTCGACCAGACATGATAATTATTTCTTATTCCCTATAGCCAATGTTTGTTGTGATCAACGACGGCGGTCCACTGGAGGAAGGAGTCGGTGGACCATTAGCCGCCCATCGAATACTCGCCCAACGATTGTTTATCTTCGATTTGCTGGCTAGCGGCTTGGCAATGGCGCCTCTTCAAGGTGCCGACTTCAAGGACACCAAGGTCATACCACGTCCCTCATTTACTTTCTAACCTGCATTGATCGTGCCGTAGATCTTGTCGTTCGTTTTTGAATCAAAACTTCGTTTAAGCAGTCGAGGGAGTTTTCCCAATGCTATTCTATCCGCGGGTGTCACTGCCAAGGACGTTCTTGCTAGTCAAGAACACGAACTTTGATCGTGTCCGTGGCTGCGTCCTCGGCGGAGCACCAACATCCCCGTCTTTCATGGACATCCGTGCAATCTTGACGAATATTGGAGCAACATATCTTTTAGCGTTCAAAGGCGACGCTCAGCCGTCATTGCTTGCCGCTTTCATCATCCACATCCTTCTTCTCAAAAACATCTCCATCCAGGATCGTGCACAACGCTTGGAGCCTATAAAATCTGACTTTTCCGCTTTATTGACAAAATCCTTCCTTCCCGGCATTCTTCGAGCGACAGAAGCAATCGTAGTAGCAAAAAACGTATCCATTGACATCGATGTCCATGTATTCCTCTCGATCCTGCGCTTTCTCTCCGAGCATCAGGCTCAATCGTTGACGGAGATTCTCGGCCCGACTTTGGCAAAAGATGCGGAAGAAATATTCTCTGAGTTGAAGCTCCCGGACCTCAACTTTTCGCGTTTGAGCATCTTTTTCCTTCTTCATGACTCGTACGAGACGCCACTTCCGCTCAAGCTTCTTCCCTTTACCAACCGAGTGTTTGACAAGGAGCTTTCTGTCGTCCACATTGTTACGGAGGGCGTCGCACACCCCAATCAGATAGAACATCTTAATTCCCGTGGAGAAGAGTCCAGCGAGCAGTGGAACGATAGTAGTACCAGTGATGAGTCCGCTGATGACCTCCCATCCGCTCGTTCCTCTCAAAACAGGCAACCCAGAGAAGACATCCTCTTCTCCGATACGCAGCATTGGCACAACCATAAAATGGCCATTCTGCCTAAGCACCTCGGAGGGGGTTTTGCGCCACCGATGACGGAACGGCAGCGTAACCGGAAGCTTCGTTCAGAACAGTACTCCATGAAGCTCTTGCATGGCCAAGCCAGTACCTTGACAGGTGCATCAGGAGCTGTTCTCGAACAAGTGAAGATACCGTCTGCAGCCTCCCTTGCGAATCAGCGCATAACGAAGGTCAGCATCCAGTTATGATGATCTTCTATCGCTGATCGTATACCTTCAGCCCAAAGTTGTTCATACCCGTTCGTCGGGAAAAAGTACTGGCAAGCTGTCGAAGGCAGATACTATACGTGAACAGAACATTGCCAAGAAGGAATCCAAGCAAGTGTCCGAGTCTACAACATGGGTTGCGTCCCGCATGCAAGAGATGGAAAGCCTGGATGGTTCTGGTCTCGAAAAGTACCTGCAAGCTCTTGCGCGGAACCCGCGAACTAGGGAGGCATCGGTAGGCGCGGAACTTCGACTATATCGTATGAACCGTCTTCTCCGAGAGTGGATTTATGCCACCAATCCAGAATCCTCGACGAGCCGCGAAAAATATTCCTTGTTGCTCATGCGTCTCGTCAAGGAAGTTTGGGAGATCGGCTTTGGAACAAAGGAGATCGCAAGCGCGATCACGAGCGTGTTGATTTCACTCGGCTTCAGCGACTACATTGATATTCTGGTTGTCCCAGGTTCAGCCGGCGACAGGGAGCTAAGTTTTCGCTTTGTCAAACTGGTCAAGTCCAAGACCAAGACACCAATCTACGAATTTATGCGAGTGCAGGAGCACCCTATCGTGTGGCAACTTCAGTTTTTCGGGGAGTTTATGGATAGAAGCATGGATGGTCAGGTTGACGCAAGGGTATCCTTCAAGCCAGATGCGTGGCAACGCGAAGTTCTTGACGCCATTGATCAAAATATGTCACTTCTCGTTGTAGGTTAGTACTTTGTTTTTGAGATAGAGCGATCACTCATTTAGTTGCAGCTCCTACCAGTGCTGGGAAGACGTTCATTTCCTATTATGCTATGGAGAAGATTCTCCGAGGATCTGACGATGGCATCGTGGTTTATATTGCACCGACAAAATCCCTTGTTTCTCAGGTCGCGGCCGAGATTTATGCTAGGTATAGCAAGGATCTCAACGGTCGTAAGTACTCGTAAGATCATATCCAATGTGGGACCATGGCTGATCCAACTCCAGGTAGCTGCTGGGCGATTCATTCCCATGACATCCGGGTCCATGATGCGCAGAACTGCCAAATCCTTGTCACTGTCCCTGAGGTTCTGGCAACCATGCTTTTATCTCCTCTGCTTGCTAAGACGTGGACCCCCCGGCTCAGATAGTACGAATATCAGTTTTATCTGTGTATATTTCCCTCTCACATTCTACTGTAGTGTCATTCTGGACGAAATTCATACCATTGGCCAGCAGGAGGGTGGAGCTGTCTGGGAACAGATTCTTCTCCTGGCTCCCTGTCCTATCATGTACGTCACGTTCACAATCAACTATGGACATGAACACATTGTCGCATGAACAGAGGTTTATCTGCTACGGTCGGAGCACCGGAAAGGTTCAACGAATGGCTGGAGAGCGTTCAGAAAGCAGGAGGTTTTCCGCACAAGTTTGTGCATTATCCCCATCGGTATTCACACCTGAGGAAGTTCTACTACAATATCCACGAGAAGCCAAGAGATGCCTTCCGAAGCCTTTCGACGTACAAGTCTACAGAAAGGATGCGATTTCTGCATCCGTTGTCCATGCTTTCCTGCAGTGCACGTTCTCTCCCCTCTGATCTCGCACTGGAAGCAGTGGATACATTGACCTTATATCGTGCTCTAAGTGCACACACAGCCCTCGATCCTTGTACTCTCGCTGCCCTCGATCCAGTGGCATTTTTTCCCTCTGGTAAACTACTTCAGCAGAAGGACGTAATACGATATGAAGAAGCTCTTAAACAGCACCTCGCTTCGCTGTTGTCCTCCTTCGATTCGCGAGACTCCGGGACACCGTTGTCGCGCGTCATTACTCAGCTTCAAGATGGTGTTTTATCGCGCGTCCCAGACATCGTGTTGAACTCCCAACCTGACCGTGTTGTATGTGGCCGCAATCTCATTTATCTAGTCGCCGATCTTCATATACAAGGGGACCTCGTGAGTATTGAGACACCTCTTCCTTCTCTATATTCACGAGAACCTTGTTTTGTAGCCTGCTATCTTCTTCTCATTTGATCGAAGCGATTGCGAGCATATGGCAAAAATTTTGGGCCGTGCGCTCCAGATGCCGGGAAGAAGAGTGGCGTGAGAATAATCCTGGATGGATACACAAAATGGCGCAATATGATGCATACCTTCAAGACGCCAAAGAGCGTGAACGCAAAGCTGCGAGAGCCTCGAAGCGCAAGGGAAATGAAGAGGATGAACGTGTTGACACGGGCGAGTGGCAGGCATTCTTTAGACCCAATGATCCTCTGCCAGACTTCTCATTCGCTGGCCAAAGTACGTCATATTCCATATCGGAACTTGATGAAGATATCGCAAAACCTTGCGAGGAGGGAAGTCACATCTCCCTTACTAGTTAAAATGCCTGAGACGCGGCATTGCTGTTCATCATGCCGGCATGTATAGCGGCTATCGCTTTTTGGTCGAGAGGTGAGGTTCTTCACCAATTTAGAACCACTCTCTGACTAGTACACCAAGACTTTTTCGCTGTGGCATCGTGCGCGTGGTTTTCGCGACGAGTGAGTGCTCCGTAGTTTTTGTAGGGTTGCTAACCTTTTATTGCATTTGCAGACACTCTTGCCCTGGGTATCAACGCCCCGACCAAAACTTCTGTTTTCTGTGGTGATTCACCCTTCCTCACCGCACTCATGGTTCGTTTCTCATAATTGTAGTATCTGTTGCTAATTGATTGCCCTAGTATCGACAATATGCGGGACGTGCTGGACGGCGAGGGTACGACCTCCTTGGAAAAGTCGTCTTCTATTGTCTGCCAATGAGCAAAGTGCAGAGACTAGCGCTTTCAAAATTGCCCTCCCTTTCTGCCAGTTTCCCAGTAACATCGACTCTCATCGCGCGCCTATTCAATCTGTTGGAGGGTTCTGATTACTCCACAATCGCCGTTGCCGCTGTCCAGAGGCTCTTCCGCCTCCCACAAGTCAGTTTTAGCTCGGAGGAAGGAAGATACCAACTTTTGCACCATCTGCGTTTCTCGGTCGACTACTTGCGTCGTGCTCGTCTGCTCGACGAGCAAGGGAAGCCGCTCAACCTTTTTGGAATAGCCACAGATCTATACCACACAGAGCCCAGTAACTTGGCCCTAGTTGCTCTGCTTCGCAGTGGCGTGATCCATGATATTTGTGCGCAACCTGACCTAAGGCTTGCAAAACGTGACTTCATCCTGCTGATGGCCCAGCTCTTCGGACGGCGGTACTTGCCTTCTGCTTGCATGAAAGAGGAGTACATCATGAAGGTCGTGAAGAATTTTCCATCGATGGTCATACTGCCACCACTGTCCAACGCAGCTCGTGAAGTGCTGATAGAGCAAGATCGCGAAATCCTCGAGATCTTCACCGGATATGCCTTGACCTACGGGTCTCAGCACCAAAATGACCTTGGGCTCGACCACATCCTGCCTCTTAGCAATAGGGATATATCGGGTATCGCGGAAGACAAACCATCACTTATTCGCGACCATCTTCACTGTACTGCGATCCGTGTTGTCGCAAGGTCACTCTTCGTGGCTAACTCCGGTCATGATGATCACTTCCACAGCATTCACGAGCTCGTTCAAACGGCTCGACGCGGAATGAACCTGAACGCGCACATCATCCCATCGTTCGAAGGCATCACCGGGCGAACTAACCGAGGAGACAGCAAACACGCGCTGAACGCATACCTCCTTGACTTCTACATGCACGGACGGGTGGCGGCCCTTGCAGCTGCCAACGCAATTAGACGGGGTGATGTTTGGTATTTGTTGCAAGACTTTCATTTTACGCTGATGACTGCGCGCGGGGTACTTGAGCAACTCCTGAAGAGGTCCGCGGGTGAGAAAGATGCAATGCCTGAGGATGAAAACCTTGGTGAGGAGGTGGATAGTGGATGCGCGTCGCTTGAGCCAGTTGGGTGGGAGGATGAGGATGAAGAGGAATCCGAGGAGCAGGGGCACGGGGAGCGGGAAACGACCCATGATTCGCAGAAACGACGTGGTGCGTCGAGTGCAGACTGGAGAGTTTTTGAAGTGGTCAACGGTGCACTCGAAGAATTCGATGAAAAGTTCAAGGCCATGTGGGCCTAAACGTGTACGTCATACATGATATTCTGGCGTGTACATTTTCCTCATTGCTCGAATGTGGATCAATCATTCAGAATCTGGTGAGGAGAAAAATGTCGCATAGATATTAGGGATATCCCAAGCCCTGACTCTAAGCCAACCTAGCTTCCTAACGAGCTCTAACACCCTAACTCTAGCTACAGATATGTTTTCAAACCCCGCCGAATTGATAAACACGCCGTAGAAACACAGACAAACAGACTTACTATGACTCATGACTGTCACTGCCCAGTGACGCTCTGCAATTCGCCACCACCAGCATGGGCAGACAAACCAAGTTCAAGCCATCTTTCCGCAAGAAAGGGCAGCGTGACGAAGATCGTAAACGCCTTCAAGAAATAGCAGAGACAACTCTGGCCATCATTGAAGTGGGACGGTCACCATCAGTGACGTCCCGCACAACATTAGTACCAAAGTCAATTTCACGAAGGGTAACACTCGTTATTATGCTCCAGACTCCCAGCTCTCTGCCTGGTCGACCAATAGACCATCGACTCATTCTGAGCCGTCCTCCGCTCATAGATGCGAAATCTCTGTCCTAGAGATGACGACTCTCCAAGGCGGGGAGTGGCTGCGTCATGAGCTATCGAACTCAAGTTCAGGGAGTGGGAAAATTGGGTTGCTGAACTTTGGAGATGCAACTTCTCCAGGAGAAGGATTCTTGATTGGTCTTCCAACCCAAGAAGAATCCATCGCTCGTTCATCTATGCTTTACCCTTCTCTCATGACAGATACTGCTCAGCAGTTCTACAATCTTCATCGCCGCGACAAGAAAGGCGGCTCTTATCACCATGCATTCGTCTACACCCCTGCGGCTCTGGTGTTGCGAAACGATGCAGGGGATTGGATAGCGCCGCATGATGCTGATATAGTCACGAGTGCTGCAGTGAATGCCGGTTCTGTCCGCAGACGGAACGGCAGACGGGTTTCGCGTGAAGAGACAGAGAGACAGATAGAGGAGGCCTGCAAGAAAGGATGGCGCGTATCCTCTTCTTATTCGAGCAGCACGAATGTGGAAATGTCGTCTTGGGAAGCTTTGGAACGGGAGTCTTCAGAAACAAGGTCGACATGGTAGCGAGGCTGTGGAGGGAGCTGTTAGTCGGGGATGCTGCTCGATTCAACGCTTCCTTCGATCGATTGGTGTTCGGTATCGTTGGAAAGGAGACCCTGATGACATTCAAGGATATGTTTACTCAGTAGGGTATATCATATGTATTTTCTCTCCTCCCTGATAATGTTCGAGCAATGATTCATTTCTATCTCTTACATCGTCGTGCTCCCAGGTCGGCACAAGACCACAAGCACAGACCCTACTCTGCTGACACTCCGCCTCCCACTCCGTTGTTAGACTGGTGAATTTGGGTTTGAATTTGGATAGTGCGCGCTTTGGAGTAGTCACATGACGGAAAAGCCTTTTCGGGAGTTAGATAAGTCTTTGCTAAATTCTCCATTGCGTACCGAACGTGTCGGTAACATTGCTCGTCGACTCCGGCAGGGATGATGGATCAGCTCTCGTTCCACTGGCTGCTGCATGGCCGCTGCAGGGCAGCGTCACGTTGCACTCGGACAGCCCTATTTATGATTTGAATTCAAACTTCGGCTTCTTCTGAGATAGTACTGGTCATAAGCACTGTTCTCAAGGGGAAAATGTCTCAAGGATGGTCCAGGGATGACGGGGACCTCTCGATGCTCGTCGACACTGATTTCAACCGGTCCGTAGACTCTGGATTCGTCAACCTTGCTGCGGAAGCTCCTGCAGAAACCTCCCGCCCGAGTACCAGAGGTAGCCGGATGTTTACTCATGAGCACATCGGCAGTGCGCTGAAAATACTGCAGGACGGTCGAATATCCATTCTGGACTTACTTGTGAAGATATTGGATCCATCTCAGATGTTGTACTCAACCTATCGTGATCGCATGTACATGCCTTCAGCAACTGAGAAGCAATCTGGAAACGGGAGGTTGGAAAAGGTGCTAGATTTTCTATGGGAGGATCTCCGAAGTCATGCGCGTGTTCTCGAGTGGATGCATCCACATGCCCTCACATATGTCTGTGATCAGGACTATCATACGAGTTGAGATAAACCCACCCCACAGCCGCACTGTCAATCAGCGACTGCCCTTCCTTTAGTTTCAAGATATCCAGCAGACCAACTATATTACATTTTAAGCAAAGGATTGCATTGATGGCAATTTACAGTACGCAATAAATCCAGGGACTCCGAATAGATCAAGAGCAGGTAGGTGACACGTTTTCGGGCACCCTAGTCGGGTCAGCGCGGTCATGACGAGAAAGGGCTCACCACAGAACTTTTTTTTCACCGCTTCTGCTTGCGTGCGGACTCCTTCACCTACAGTCCCCGCCCTTGCATGCCAACCCGAACCCTTTCTTTCCAACTTCCGAGTATTTCAAACCGACTTGTTGCCCCTCGTGAGCTCATCCTTCGTGTCTGCTTCTTCGACTCAGGTGATGATGAACCGTTCCTTCACGGCTTATCATTTGACGCAGTTTGCAAGCAGCGAAGCAAATCACTGTGTTTGCGACTAAAATATGCGTGATCGCCAGAACAGCTAAGTTACTCGTCAGTCTCTATTCCCGTCACGTGTTGCCGTTATACATACCAAGTTATAATCTAGGGAGTGAACCTCTTTGTAGATGATCACAGATCTCTCTGAAGTCTCGATCGATAACGATGCTGGGCTAACATCGAAGAGCGGAATCCACAGAATCTTGTCTCCAACAATTTGTAATGTGCAACAGCTTGCAGAAGACATTCTGGGGACTCCATCACCCAGTCTCCGCTAGTGATGTGGCTTCAGGCCGTGGGCCAACTCCGCCTTGGGGTTTCTAGGTCAGTCGAACGGCGGTCACAATGAGTTTGACATGTTCCCACCCTCCGTCATGACATTACTGGAGATACGTGGCATATTACAGATATTCAAGTTGACCTACCCCTATAGTATTCCTACACTTACTTCCATATACTCCATCATGGCGTCCTCAGGATTTAATGATAGCAAGTCAGCCACCGACTCACCTCCCACCACAACGTCCACATCTGCATGAGTAGATTTTATCCAATTTGGACAGAATTAGAACACTGTTCTAACATGCATCCGTGATATTGTCTCCGCTCCCGATTTCAACCCTTCCTCTGTCGCCCCAATTGTCAGCACCTGCGCTGCTGATCTCACAACTGCAGAGTCCTCCGACCCCCTGCAAACACCCAATATCGAGGGTCACACGGCGCCGTATTGGGCAATTGTGAATGATCGGCGGGAAGCCTTTGCGGCATTGTCTGGATTCACACCTCAATTTTCGTCCGTTTTCTCTTCCGACCTGCGTCTCGCGTGCATGGCAATCATCGACCCGCGCATCGAGTCTTGCGTCTACGCAGAGGGAGATCTTGCGCAGGTCATGGCAGCGCCCCACGAGGATACGTAAAGTATACAGGGATATGGGGGTGTTGCGCGCATATAGGTCAAGGACATTGAGGTAGTGGACATGTACGAGCGAGCATGAGGATGTCGGAGTTTGTGAGGGTGATGGATATGGGGTGGGCGGGGCAGATGACGATAAGGGTCTTGAGGTGTGTGAGAGCGGTAGAACGCGCGAGGAGGGGTTGGAGGTCGAAGGATGAGGATGTGTAGCAAGACGCCTGCTCAGAGTGCAGCTCGCAGAGAGTGATGTGCTCTAGTTGCATGTAGATGAGAATAGTGAGGGGTTCGGACTACATACTGCCTTCGTTGCATCTGCGCGTGATCATGATGATGTGAATCGTTTTGAGGTTGGGGCATCCAAAGGAACGCGCATCGGAATTTGTCCTGCGAATCCGGATAGCGCGCAGGAATGATGTGAAAAGGCTCAGATGCTCACATTCGACATGCAAGTGAGTGAGTGCCTGAAAGGGTTGGGGCACATGGAGAGGTACAGTGGTGATGCTTTTGAAGCCCAGGTGGAAGGTGAGCCATTGGAGGCGTGGCCACGCAGTGATAGCAGGTTTGGAAAGAGCGGTGCGTCGTTCAAGTTGGACGCACTTGCAACGATGAACGCATGTGCAAAATCGCCTTCACAGGGATTGCAGATGATGATCCGGACACGTGCAGCAAAGAGTACAAATCGGCGAAACCGTTCTGTCGGGAAAGGTCTGTGTGATAGCACCAGTCTCACTAGTTGGTCAGGCAGGGTCGAGATAATAGAATTGATGTCTGGAAGCTGAGAATAAAGGACATTGAGTGCTGGTAGTAAGGCTATGGTGGGAGAGATGCTGCTCGATTCAACGCCTCCTTTGATCGAGCAGTGGTTCAATTCGGTGTCATTTAATTGGAGACAAGACCTTTATGACGTTTGACGTTCATCAATGCGTTGGTAAGCGTATTATATGTGAGAACTTATTTCTCTTATCCCCTGAATTATTTATTCACGTTCGAGCAATGAGGTCCTTCTAATTGTTTGACCATGGAAACTATCAACGCACGTTTAGGCCTGTTCAGGCCCGCATCGATATAGTTAGTCTTGAACTGTTCATGGAGTTAACTCAAGCTTCGAGTGCACTATCGATCTGATGCAATGGTTGGAGTTCTGGATCGTTAGTAGGTAGTGCATTAATCATGATACATTAGACTGATCAAGATCAACATTAACTTTACCCCTTCGACGTCAACGTCGAGCATCGTGCTGGTTATTTGTCTATGGAAAACATCGACGTACGCAATTTGCTTAAACGATTTTGCGACCATAACACATACTAAGTAGGTGTGTAACATTGCAATCGACTCAGAACTAGTACTCACCCACTTGCCTTAGCCCGAGCTTCTTTCAGCCCATCGTACTACGCTGCATAGTGCATACTATTGGCGTCTCATGCATGCTGGCGTTCTTCTCATACCTGCTGGCTTTCCTCCCATGCCTGCTGGCGTTCTGCTCGTGCGTAATACATCACTCTTATTGGCCGTTTCGCTACTTCCTCGACCTGTCGGCAAGTGTTTCTTCCTGAGTAATTAATATTACTTCTTCTTATCGCAGAACGTCCGTGGTCTGCATCCTGGTGATATTCGATCCATATCTATCTGCTACAGTGACCCTAACATCCCAGCCTGTGCCTAACCGCCACGTATGACATCAAGTTGGTATCTAATGACACACGGTTATGCACATTTATCTCCTGGGTCTTCCCCCTCGCGCCTCGGAGTACAGTACAATTAACGCGTGAAACCTTATTAATCCCCTGTGTAATTGGGTCGGTCGCCGTCGGAAGTAAGGTGTAACAAGATCGCAGGAACTTTGTAAATAGTATGTCTGGAAAAAAGCATATCAACCGTGAGCCAGAGAAAGATGACACACCTAGTATTGTCCATAGCTAGACGTTGCGTCAGATTAAAACTCTACTCGCATCAAGCTTCAGACTTCAATCTAAATAGTGCGTACCAGCAGATATGATCGTTAGAATAAAATACATACTAATGCCAGATTGCTCTTACTCAGGCTTTGGCTGTTGAATTTCTTACTTTCTCATCCGATCTTAAGGTATTTGATTATTTGATGTATTGATATGACTGTATAGACTGTACCATCTCAAGCGGGCCCTTGATAAGAACTGAATAAGAACGCCGCGTTAAAGTTTCGCTGCGCCGCGCTTATTTTCAGTTGCGCGGACGTCAATGTTGCCTAGTGGCGTCACGACCGTCAAGTTTGAGATATGCTGCGTTACCGAACTTCATGTATGGCATGCAGGCACTAACAGAGTTCACGAAGGGTGCCACATCTCCAGAGAAAAGGAATTGCAGATAATTGTGCCGCGTCAAGTGTGAATCGCAGGCAACTCACTGTAGGTCATATCTACATTGATGCGGCCCGTCATTTTAAGCCATGGCGATGGTCATAACAGTAGGGAATGCACGGTATTGATATAAGCCAGCTGAGACTAAGTGCAAAGATTAATCATTGGGAGTGTACTGCTCGTGCTTTGATACTTTGGGTAGTATATAGTAGACGTCATGCAAAAACCACGTGCCCAATATTGCACTCAGCCCAAACTTAAGCTTGAAGGATGGCGGGGGTTGAAAATTTGCATGGGTTCTTAATTTAACACTACCACATCGCAATCTGCCCTCGTAGATCGTCCCTCTCTCTCGGTAGGAAGGAGCCTGGTTCTCATGTGTCATGGGTTGCTTCTTGGTAATATTCAACGAATTTCAATTCCCATCTATCCGCTATAGTCACCTCAATCTCTACCAAACCCTATCACACAGCCCCCATATGGCATCAGGTTGGTGTCTAATCACACGTTTATTCACGCATATCTTCTGAGTCCTCCTTCTCGTGGCTCGAAGTACGGTATGAACGCGTGAAATCGCCTTGTCAATACCCAGTGTAATGGAGTCTGACTATCCATTTTCTCGGCAGTCTGCTGCTAAAATGTGAAATTTCAAGACTTCAGGTGTGAGTGCGATTGGTAGTACATAAAAAGCCATTCATAACTTGGATTTCATCAGTTTCCTCCTGTCCTTCCGTAGCAATCATGTTGCAGTTACCTAACCTACGCGTTTCTGATAACACCCAGCTCGTCTTCGGTGCTGCCGCTTGTCTTGGGGTACTAGGAATGATCATTGAGGCTTACCTTTCTAAATCAGAGAGTGGTCTTCCTCTTCCACCTTCCCCTCCTACTTGGAGACTTCGGGGCCACTTCATACCCCCTCGCAAGTAAAGTTGTATATTTCACTCGTTGCTTTCAACACTAATTCCATTGCTAATCAGCCCATGGCTCACTGTAGCGGGATGGATTGACCAGTACGGACCTCTCATCACCATTCGCTCAGGAACCGGGAAAATTGTTATTATCGGCCGTCATAACGTCAGTCCCTCCAAGCTGAGTTGCCATATGTAGGCTCAATGTTATATTGCAGGCCGCAGTGGATATCATGGAGAAGCAGGGCGCCTCGCTAGCCGATCGTCCTCGCTTCGTTGCTGCCGGAGAAATGCTTTTTGGCGGGCTGTCCATCGTCTTTACACCTGCTGGAAGCAGGTTGCGTCGGATGCGTAGGTTGGATTGTTTCCCGCAGTGCTGCACGTGTTGCCCTAATCTCACGCTGCAATGTGATGCAGAGCACTTCATTCAATTCTCCAGCCTAAAGTAGCTGAGGAATACGAGCCCCTACAGATGTCATATGCGAAGAACACCGTCCTCGACATTCTTAAAGATCCATACAACTTTCAGAACCATGCAGCAAGGTAAGCGTGTTCTTAGGTTTGGGTTATCATACATAGTACATTACTTACGGGATTTTGACTTTGAAGTTATGCTGCGACGACGGTTACGAAAATTGCATATGGGAAGACCACACCAACATATGCGACTGATTCCGAAGTCATACAAATTCGTGCGCACCTCCGCGTACTTCGTGCAACCGCACGCCCTGGTGCTTACCTGGTGGAATCAATTCCGTGGCTCAAATATCTTCCTTGGTATGGCCAGGAATTGAAACGGGGGTTTCCCATGATCCGGCAGCTCTACACTGGTCAGCTGAACCGCGTCAAACAACAAATAGTACGTATTGTCTTGCTAACATTCACACAATGTTTGAATCACTTCACAGCAGAACAATTTGGACGTCGGTCCTTCGTTCGTAAAATACATGCTAGAAAACGTCCAAGTCCACGAGTTGACAGAGACGGAGATGGCTTTTCTTGCTGGCACCTTCGTTACAGCTGGAACTGAAACGGTGAGGTGTTGTGTGCTGTGGTTTTCGAAGATATGCAATTGAAACCAGGTGTCAGACTAGTATGGCGATATGCACGGTGCTCATGGCAGCCGCATGTTTTCCCGAGGAGCAAGCAAAAGTCCAGGCCGAGCTTGACGCGATCGTAGGAAGGCACCGAGGTAACTCGATCCGTATTACAACTCTATCAATTTAAAGGATGTCTCCCTTACAGCACCGACCTTCGCTGAGTATCGATCTCTTCCTCGTCTGCACGCCTTCATGTCTGAGGCTTTGAGATGGAGACCGCTGGCTCCCAGTGGTGGGTATCTTCACTATCTGTCTTGTACTTCAAATAAACAATGTTCGCACGGCAGGAGTGGCTCACAGGACGACTCAGGATGTGATTTGGGCAAGTGCTTTCTGGACAACTTATTGTGCACACTATAATCTAGCATCAGGGATCCTATTGTATTCCAGCTGGGACTACGGTGGTCGCGGATCATTGGTAAGCATCGTCTTTCAAGAGAAGCACGAGCGACTGACGGTTACGCCTCAGGTCCATCTCTCGAGACTCAGACGTCTTCCCCGAGCCTGAGGTATTCAAGCCTGAGCGCTGGATTAACGACCAAGGTCGTGTTAGGGACGATCTGAAATTCTTCGTCTATGGGTTTGGTCGGCGGTAAGCAGCCATCTTTCACAGTATTCTTTCATTCACGTGGCGTGTTTCAGTGTTTGCCCCGGTCAAGAAGTCGCGAACAGGTAAAAATTTTCTTTCACGCACATAATTTTCCGAGTTTATTTCAACGACTACAGATCTCTGTTCATAAACTCGCTCCTTGTTCTTTGGGCCTTCCAGATGACTCTGGATCCTACGAAACCATTGAATGACATGGGGTTCATGAGCGGGGCGATGGGAGCTATCCGACCATGCGCTATTGAGTTTAAGACGAGGATTCCAGACACGGAACTCAGGCGCATGATGCAGAATTATCCTGAGTTTGCCTGAGACTAGTTCTCTCTACCTCTCGCAGTATCGCATCACAAGTGTGAGTTGCGTACTATACAGACTTGCTTTTTTGCTTATTCGCTTTCTTCAGTCGATCCTAAAAGACGTCATACGTCCAAAAAGAAAGGACTTTGTGGGTCCCTGTCCCCCGAGTGTATGAGTCTCTATTATATCTACCTAAAGAGAAAGGACTCTGTGAGTCCCCCCAGTCGAGTGTATGAATCTTTATTATTATATCTACCTAAAGAGAAAGGGCTCTGTGAGTCCTATACGATATCAATGTACTAGGTATCGTAGGATATGACTTACCTCCAGTGAATGGATATATGACAGACAAAAACGAGCGTACGTGGAGTTTCTATATATGGTATGTCAGTACGTTGAAGGTAAGTGTCTATGTCAAAAGAAAGAAAGAAAAACTACAAGTAGTCCAGGTCCTTTCAATGACGTGCGATAACCTGATAGGCCTATCATGAGTTTCTTCGTGATGCAACTGCTTTCCCTGTGCGCTCCGAACACAAACTGTGACATCGTGCGGTCAAGGAACTCATCAATTTCAAAAAGGAGCATTGCTGCATAGCAGCGGATTGTCGAAGTCCAGGGTGGGTCACCATTTTGCACATCGAGTTTATTCCTCGAATGAAAATGGCAATGACAGAATTCTAAATGCGTTCAGTCATTGTCATTTGATTGGTAAGTCTTGGCTTGAAGAGTCGAGATACTTCGTTGGCCAGTAGACGATGTACGTGCAAATGCCGATCAATAGTGGTAGGGAGTCGAGGAGGTAAAAGTAGACTTGTCAGAGGAGAGTCAGACCAAGGCGCCTCGAATTTAATATCCCAACACTCACTTTCGTGTGTGACGAGATAGCCACCGTTGCCTTGACCAAGCTCGATGACACGATAAATACAGCGAATCTATATCATTAACGTCAGTAGAGATGGACGATGAAGTGTGGGCGAACGGCGTACCATGTATGCGATAGATGAAAACATCAATATCCAAAGGATCATTCCCCATGGCTCCTGACGGGGCAGAATACCGACTCGAAGGATACTACGCCATGCATGCACAACGAGCAGTATGAATAACGCATAGGAGAGTGTCTGAATGACTAGCCCGGCAAGTAGTATGTCGGCGCCCAACTTGTCGCTTGTCTGGGTTTTCGACGTTTCCAGACCGCCGCCTCCACCCTGAATAACGCTGTGATCAAACTTTCATGTAATGGACACAAAAATCAATTACCTGTATAAGGAATGTCGTGATATCGCTTATAACAAAGTACCTGGCGACTTTCTCTGGTTTTATCCAAGAGTGGCGTCTGTCCACACAGTCCACGATGAAATGTCCGTATAAGATGTAATTGAAGGCGAGGTATGCAGCAGGCGGTAACAATGTAAAGAGTTGTTGGACCAGGAAAATAGGGAGAGAATTGGGATATATCGCCATGGGTATGCGCATAAAAAAACCAACGGACATGACTGTTCCTGCAATTGATACGCATTGCGAGAAAGAATGTTAGGAACTTACAGGTGGAGGCTATAGGGAGACAAAGTCCCCACCATGCCTTATTCATGAATAAGCGCGTGAACAGGCAAAGACTGGCGATAAAGTACAGTCCGCCTGCCACACCCGCTGCGACTTTGCTGGGGTTGTATCCTGGATAAAATGATTTAGATACAATGCAAAACGCGATATTTTGTGGACCGACGGAATACCACAGAGACTATTGTCTGCTCTTCGGCATTAACGCCAGTGCTGTTGCCGCTCGCTATTGTATTTAATATCAAGTCCATCAAATATTGACAGATTACTGACCTGCCCTCACCGCGCTGATGAGGAAGGCGATGATGATCAGAATGTTTGGAGACTGCATGCTACACGCGACTGGAGGCCTAGGTATGTTTCCAGAAGGCTCTGTTCGATGAAAAGTAGGAATACCGAGATGCAACTCTCGAGGGTTATATATACCAAACGTGAGCCAGTATTAAATATACCTCCGCAAAGCAGCGAAGATAGCTGCGGGTGCCAAAAAATTCGTCCTCATGTCCCCCACCTGTGAAAGATAGTGTGTTAAGGGTTCGGACTCAAGTGACGGAAGCCGACACAATGCGTCTCCGTCGGGAGAGGAACTGAGCATAGCCAACCGGTGATGTGCTGCAGTATGCTCCATTCAGTAGGATTACATCCGACGGGAAATAAAATTAGAACTCTTGAAGTACCACGGTTTGATGTGCTCACCAAAACACTGAGAATACACCAAATACGTACACGATTAAAATCGTTGATACATAGCTAGAGAGTCAATTGACCCTATGCGGCAGCGAGCACAGGTATTGTCGAGTTCGGTTTGAAGCGGGACTAAAAGTACATCAGAATACGGAGTGCAGGCTACTGCGCAGATCACATCACAAATGGCTGTCCACCAGTCACCTTCTACCTACTCTTCCACAAACGTCAAAAATGTCAAGACATCACGAGCTGAGTAACACGACAACCTACATGATCGATCAATGGCCCAAGTGATGATTGAAGATCACGTTGACCATGGGTCATCTTGATTTGCATACACAGCTTGTAGGTGAAGAAATTCCAATTCTGGATGAGGATGAAGACGCGTCGTCGAAATGCCGGTCCCTGGTGTAGAGCTCGCATTAAAATACCGTCATATCGACACTTGTAGCCCAGGAAGCATTACATTGTACCTGACCGTCGGTCGTCAAGAATAGAGATACACGCTACTTCGTCATGCTTCCGATGGAACTGTGAGACAGTGGAAGCTTATGTCAGCTGATATCGCTGGCGTTAGTGCTAATAGCCCAAACATTCGACAAAGAAGTGGTGGGGTTTCTTCAAGGCATGTGGGCATGCCGAATCAGCACCGTGATGTTTTCGCTAGATGAGAGAAGTAGTGTCCACTTTTTTTTTTAAAAAAAAAAACAATTTTATTGTCCTTCGAGGTCGAAGACACATAGCCCTATTCGCGGGGGGCTTACTCCCGCTTGCACTATCGTTTGTATGTATGCGTGCTGGCGTGATGTCAAATGGAAAATGAGCACTCCGCCAGCATGATGTCGGGCAAAGGCCGACACTGAGTTCGTACAAAGGGAATGATGTGGTATGAGACGCAAATAAGTGAGGCCCCTCCTTTCCTACATTGGTGTCTCGACCGGCGGGACGTCTTCCCTCCAGTCTCGGAGTTGATTAATGTTTTTATTATTGTTAGATATGAAAGATTAGTTGTCGAGTCTGTAAAGTAGTGAATCGATTGAATGTTCTCAGCTGTCCATTATCTCACCGAATGTTGTCTTGAATCGTCCCGTTTTGTTAATATAGCGCATGAGAGGTTGGGTAGCTTTTTCGGAGGTAAGGATATGTGATATGGACGTTGCTTGTCTACGAAGGGCATTGGCGAATTGGTGGCGTTCACGGATGTATTGCGGGCAGTCAAAGAGGTAGTGGTGGATCGTTTCGTCTACGTCGGGACATATTGGACAGTGAGACGTTGCACTTTTCCCTATTCGATTGAGGTGGTGGTTTAGAGGAAGGTGACGGGTGCGAAGTTGAGTGTAGATGCTGGTCTGTCGTCTCGGGAGGGTAGCAACGAGCTTGATGAATTTGTTTGAGGGCATGGTGTAGTGTCCACTTGGCGCCGGGAGCCTGCATATATACAAGTGTACTGTGACGATGATGGAGTACGCGTAGCAGTCATCAGTAAATCCTCTGTCTCTTCACGCGAAACCCGTTTGCCATTCTTTCTGCGGACAAAACTGGCATTCACTGCAGCACTCGTGACTATATCAGCATCATATGGCGCTATCCAATCCCCTGCATCGTTTCGCAACACCAGAGCCGCAGGGGTGTAGACGAATGCATGGTGATAAGAGCCACCTTTCTTGTCGCGGCGATGGAGATTGTAGAACTGCTGAGCAGTATCTGTCATGAGAGAGGGGTAAAGCGTAGAAGAACGAGTGATGGATTCTTCTTGGGTTGGAAGACCGATCAGGAATCCTCCTGGAGAAGTTGTATCTCCAAAATTCAGTAACCCAATTTTTCCGCTCCCTGAACTTTGATAGCTTATGACGCAGCCACCGCCCGCCTTGGAGAGTCGTCATCTCTAGGACAGAGATTTCGCATCTATGGGCGGAGGAGGGATCAGAACTAGTCGACGGTCTATTGGTCGACCAGGCAGAGGGCTGAGAGTCTGGAGCATAATAACCCTTCGTGAAATTGACTTTGGTATTAACGTTGTGCGGGACGTCGCTGATGGTGACCGTCCCAGTTTAAATGATGGTTAGAGTCGTCTCTGCTATTTCTTGAAGGCGTTTACGACCTTCGTCACGCTGCCCTTTCTTCTTGTCCGCCCATACTGGTGGTGGCGAATTGCAGAGCGTCACGGGCAGCAAGTCTGTTTGTCTGTGTATCTACGACGTGTTCGAAAGTTGGAATCACCTGTCTTTACCAGGCAATTTACCGGAAACTAGCTTGATCATGACTGGCCTAGGGCCGCCATCTAAAAGCCGAAGTTCCTCTCAAAGTGCTTTGAGCAGTTCGCTTTTGGTTTAGTTCAGGCTTGCGTTCGTAAGCACACATTTTTGGTTATGTGTTCAGCATCTCCACCAATCGCATGAGTGCGCTACTGATGTCGTAAGCGTTCATTTCAGTGGTTTTGCAGATGGCTAGTCTCCCCTAGCCAGCCCTATAGAATCGTTTCATCCCCTACAACCACCATAAGCTAGTGGGAGAGGATTCTGTCAAATCACGCACGGGTCCACGGGAAGATTTTTGACGTGACTGTACTTACCTCCAGGTGTATGTTTAACCAGCGTCGATGTGAGATACACTATTCCGTTCTCTTCGGCGTTCACTGGCAGCTGATACACGTGCAATTTCAGAGACTTCAGGTGTGAGAATAATTGGTGGTACGTATGTACTGAAAAGCCATTCGCAACTTGATACCGCATTAGTTCCCTTCTGTCCTCCCGTATCAATCACAGCTTCCTGACCTGCGCATGTCTGACAACACGCAGCTTGTCCTCGGTGCTGCGGCTTGTCTTGGGGTACTAGGAGTGATAGCTGAGGCTTACCTTTCTAGATCAGAGAGTGGTCTTCCTCTTCCACCTTCCCCTCCCACTTGGAGACTGCGGGGGCACCTCATACCTCCTCGCAAGTAAAGTTTTTCATTTCACTCGTTGCTTTTGCTGCTAATTACATTGCTAATCAGCCCATTTCTAACTGTAGCGGGATGGATTGACCAGTACGGTCCTCTAATCACCATTCGCTCAGGAACTGAGAAAATTGTTATTATCGGCCGTCACAACGTCAGTTCTTCCAAGCTGCGTTTATCGTATCCAGGCTTAGAATCGTGTTGCAGGCCGTAGTCGATATCATGGAGAAGCAGGGTGGCTCGTTAGCTGATCGTCCTCGCTTCGTTGCTGCTGGAGAAATGCTTTGCGGCGGGCTGTCCATCATCTTTACACCCGCTGGAAGCAGGTTGCGTCGGATGCGTAGGTTGGATTGTTTCCCGCGGTACTGCACGTATAGCCCCAATCTCACTCTGAAATATACAGAGCACTTCATTCACATCTCCAGCCTAAAGCAGCTGAAGAATACCAGCCACTGCAGATGTCACACGCAAAGAACACTGTCCTCCACATTCTTGAAGATCCGAGCAACTTTCAGAACCACACGGCAACGTAAGAGCTGTCCTAGGTTTGGGATATCACACTACATCACTTACATGCATTCAGTTATGCTGCGACGATCATTACAAAAGTTGCGTATGGGAAGACTACACCCACATCCGCGACTGATTCCGAAGCCAGAGAAGTTCGTGAGCACTTCCGTATCCTTCGTACAACCCTACGCCCTGGTGCTTACCTCGTGGACTCGATCCCGTGGCTCAAATACATCCCTTGGTATGGCCAAGAACTGAAACGGGCGTTTCAAAGGAGCAGGAAGCTCTACATTGGTCAGCTGAACCGCGTGAAACAACAAATAGTACGCATGACCTTTCCCATCTTCACTTGATGTCTGAATCTTTCCACAGCAGAGCGATGTGGACATCGGTCCTTCGTTCGTAAAACATATGCTACAAAATGTCCAACTCCACGGCTTGACAGAGACAGAGATGGCCTTTCTTGCTGGTGGCTTCTTTGCAGCTGGAACTGATACGGTGAGGGCTTTGGGCTGTTGTTTCTGACGATATGTAGTTGAAAACAGGCGTCAGACTACTTTATCAATATGCACAGTGCTCATGGCAGCCGCATGTTTCCCCGAGGAGCAAGCGAAAGTCCAGGCCGAGCTTGATGCCGTCGTAGGAAGCCACCGAGGTAATCTTCGATCCCTATTCCAGATGTATCGATTCAATTATCTCTCTACAATAGCACCGACCTTCGCTGACGAACACTCCCTTCCTCGACTGCACGCCTTCATCTCTGAGGCTTTGAGATGGAGACCGATGGTTCCCAGTGGTGGGTATCTTCATTGTCGGGTTTGTACTTCAAGTTAACAAACGTTTACACGGCAGGATTGGCTCACCGGACGACTAAGGAAGTGATTTGGGCAAGTATTTGTCGAATTACTTGTTGTGCGGAGGATGATCTGGCATCAGGGAAACTACTGCATTCCAGCTGGGACTACGGTAGTCGGCAATCACTGGTAAGCAACGTTTTTCAACACACGAGGCACTGACGGTTGCTGCATCAGGTCCATCTCTCGAGACCCAGACGTCTTCCCCGAGCCTCATTCCTTCAAACCTCAGCGCTGGATTAACGATCAAGGTCACGTTAGGGACGATCTGAAATTCTTCGTCTTCGGGTTCGGTCGGCGGTAAGCAACCGTCTTTCAGAATGTCCTTTCTTTCACTGTCCGTGTTTCAAGCGTATGCCCTGGTCAACACGTTGCAAACAGGTAAAGGAAAAGTGTCCTTCCATACACATGATCATCCGAGTTCATTTCGACTGCTACAGATCGGTGTTCATAAACACGCTCCTTATTCTTTGGGCTTTCCAGCTGACTCTGGACCCTACGAAGCCACTTGATGATATGGGGTTCATGACGGGGGCGGTGGGAAATGTCCAGCCCTGCACTATCGATTTTAACACAAGGGTTCCAGAGACGGACCTCAGGCGCATGATGCAGAATTATCCTGAAGTTATGTGAGAAATCTTGACGCCTAGGTATCTACTCCTGTACTATTAGTCCTCCAGGTTTCGCAGTATCATCACGAGTTTGAGTTGTTGAGTTGACTGCAGAGTCTGCGGACTCGCGTCTGGTACTTTTCTCGCCTGGCAAAAGGAAGTCTGATGCTTACGGTAGCAGTGGTGGAGCAACGTGATTGGTGGAACACAGACCCAAGATCCTGACGGGGCGATATCACCGACTGCTTTACATACGTGATTGATCCGCGTCACTTGGTGAAGAACTGGCCGTTTGGTACGTCTTTCCAAAACGTCGGTTCGAGACTACTCTTGCTGGTATATATGAGAAGTGATATACTGTGCGAGATAAACATCAATATTAGCCTCAACCGAACGTGCACTACCAGGCCTTACGAACCCACTCAAACGCTTGTGTACCGCGGGTCCTCCAACGTGGAAGTGCCGGAGGTCCTGCCAGGCGCAGTGGCTGGTGTCACCACGGTGGCTTTCATCTCCCAACTGGTTCAGCGATTGACGCGTATCCTCTCACCGAGGTCTTGGTCCCCAGGCATCGCATCTTTAATCTGTCCTTGTCATCGTCTACCCTGACATTACGATCCTCTCCGTCGTTACCGTTAGGGAGACAACGACATACCTGGGCTCACCGACACCGTTCTGCCCAAGCGACTTGGTCGGCAACTAAGATCTGGAGGTCGAGTCAACTTTTTGAAGGAGGATGACGTTAGGAAGTACGTTGTGAGGAGCTTAAAAGAGGAGAATGCCAAGCCTTACACTAAGGCGTCAATATCACTGCAACCTTGGTTTGTCTTTGGGGCTGAATTTCTATCCTTTCCGAGACCCCAAATCCAAATATCGGTCGCTCCAAGAAACCCCAACGCCGTCGTCACCTCCGTTCTCTCACCCGATCGAAGGAGCAAAAATTAATTTCAGAATAAGAGCAACTGCTGCAAGGTTTGGGTTGTGTTTTCTGCGATGTACCACTGAGTTTGTTAATGCTGTTTGATCCTTGTGCTAATAAGTTGCCTTCCTCGTTCGACTCTTGCCAATAAGATGTCATGGGTCCAATGTCTGGTTCGATAGATAGATTTTGTCCTACCTACTTTTTCATTTGAGTAATTTACTTCTGCTATAGGTCGCGTGATGCCCTTACAATGCGGTATTATCCAGTGCTGCATTCCCCCAGCCAATTAAGCGACTCCTCATTCTCCTGTCACTTGTCAAGTGTTTCGGAGTAAACTTGGACGAAGTCGGAGTACTTGGGGACCGCGATTTCGTTGATGCGGTGTTGCAGCCTGCTTACTACTTTTGTCAGGTCCTAAGAGAACGTGCATCGGTGAACCCTTCCTGCGCAGGCTGCGCTACCGTTGTTGTTACAATTATGTATGTTATGTGGCAAAAATGACTCGCCGAGCACGGAAAATGTTCGTCATGGAGAGGGGCCCGTGACTGTTCACCACAACGTACGTTGTATATATGTCTATTGAATACTATTTTTGCGGTTGATCGCCACACGCAGTACTGAAGTCAACCTCGCGACCTCACGCAGATGATAACACCCGTTATTCTGCTCCAGACTCCCGGCTCTCTGCCTGGTCTAGACTATTGATGCTGACCTCTTCGCTCATGGATGTGAAATACCTGTTCTAAAGATGACGAGTCTCCGAGGCGCGCAGCAGCAGCTGTGTAATGTTCGATCATATACTTAGTATAGTACTTGATTTTGGCTACGTGTACGTACATGCTACTTGCGAACAGACGTATCTAACCTAGCAGGGTACTGATTTCGAATTAAGCAAGAATAAAGCCAACACTGCGCCAGTATGCCATCCATTTAGCTACATCCTGAGGTCCCAACGGGCTTGAGACTATTGATTGCAATGTTGGAGATTCTTGCAAAGCCTTAGCGCACGAGAGCTCCGGCTCTAAGAAGTTGTCCGTATTCGTAAGATTCTTTCTGCGAATAGTATACCTGAAGAAGTCAAGCAACCTCAGCGCAGGGTTGATTTGCGATGCTTTTGCCGTTTGTGATAATGCCTGTTTCTCCAAAGAAGCAAGCCACTGAGTGTACGGAACCAATGGCACATTCATGATGCGAGCAGCTTCCCGCATCGGAACAGTCCATGACACTGGACTTGGGTGTGTCAAGTGATACACGCCGGGTGGTGAATTGAACATCTCCACCATTGATGCCGCTGCCACATCAACTGGAAGCCAATTTAAAGTCTACACAAGTCAGTGACAGACTGATGGCAATCAAAAGAACTCACATTAGAACGATTGGGCAAGGCTCCAAGAAAGAGGCCCGATTTGATCATGGAGGGTATCCATTCCGTTGTTTTCCAGTACCCATTGCGCCCTCCGGTTAGTTGCCCCAGGCGAATAATCATTGGCTTCAGTCGCGTAGCATCAGCAGCCGCTGCCAAGACGTGCTCTGCAACCCATTTGCTTTCGATATATCCTGCGCCAACAGAGATACTGGGGTCATGTATAAGAGCCTCCTCTACAGCGATCGACGATGAGAGGCCTGTCAAAGCGTCAATGAGATTAAGTGCGTTTCAAATTACCCAAAGTACTTACCGCTTAATACACCGACTGTGCTCGTAAAAATTAATCGAGGCGGTTGTTGCCAGGGAGACGAAATGGCGAAATCTATCAACTTTCTGAGACCGTGAATGGCGTAATCAAACCCAGAAAGGGGGATGGCGAAATCCATTGGCCAAGCTACAAGCTTTTCAGCATGGATGTGAAATAACGTAGGGTATTTCCTCACCAGCGTGAACAATGTGGGTGACGTTTCGTGCCATCTAAAACAAGATGAAAGATGAGAGCCTCCCCAAATTGTATAAAAGGCAAGTGCTCACGTCATTGAACGTGTCGGTTGATAGCCCAAAGTAATGTTGTTCAAGAGTGCCTTCCAAATACACGACTTTGTCCGTTTCCAGTCCCGCAGGGTCGAGGGACTGTAGTTGGAAAATCGCTTGATGACGTTCCAACATTGTCTGAGTTCCAGGCTTGGGACGGTTGAGAAGAAATATACGACTGATTTGTGGTGCGTGGAGTAAGCATTCCAGAAGGTGTGCACCCACGACTCCAGTAGTGCCCGTTACGAGGACAATACAGTCCCGTGAGCTGATAGAGGAAGGCAGCAGCGTCTTTGGGGTTTTAAATCCAGACGTGTACTTGGAAACCAAGGACCTCATCTCAGAGACCTTTTGAAGCTCGGATGCGCTTCTTTGCTCCGCTTCAGTAGAGGCGAACAGCCGCTGGTCCGCTAATCGTGCTTCTAGATTCTGAAGGGTCACGTTCGCAAGGAGCTGAGTTTGACTGATGGGAAAAATTGGGTTCAAGGCAAAGGATAGCCTTGCAGCAGACAAGGAGTCCAAACCGTACATCGTTAAAGGAACGTCGGGAGACAAATCTTCGCGCGCAACGTCAAGAGTGGTACAAATTATGTCCGCTATCGAATTGCCGTCTTGTGAAACTGATGGTTCGTGTTCTGCAGTCGACCGCTCGGGTAGCAAGTGACTATACATTGGAGAGTTTCCCATGTTGACACAGACTGCATCCCAGTCGAAGTCCGGAATATAGAACCCGAAAGGCCCATCAGCTAACTTCCGAATGCCTTCATCAATGAATTGGAGGACCCCTAGGAGCATTCGATATCAAGTTCCTCATCCTGTTCATGGCGTAACTCACTGTGAGACGACATCCCCCAATCCGTCAAGTGCTTGAACTTTGCCCCACCCAGTGTAGCGACGAATGAGTCTGTGACCGCAGGTGTTATAATAGAGAACGCGTTGGGCATGGTGCGCAGTCTCCCGTCCAACATAGTATTTGCTCTGAGGAACGTAAGCAGTCAAATTACACACATGACTCAAAAGACGCACGCGGCATAATTAGTTTGACCTGCATTCCCAAATAGTGCTGAAACCGAGGAGAACGATATCAAGAAATCCAACTTGTTCGTGTCAATTATGTTGTATAGCACTTCAAATGCTCCCATTTTAGGTTTGAATGGCGCATTGAAGTTCTCAGCGGATAGCCCAGAAAAGAGTCCATCTGCCAAAACCACGGAGAGTAACATGCACCCTCCGAGCGGACTCTGGAGTTTTTGCACCAACCCTTTCATGTCAGGTTCGCTGAGGGCATCAGTTGCCTCAATGCGTAGATTTAAATCCGGTAGGCTCTCGAGATACGCCATGATGCGCTGAGATGCAGTGTCTCCCCTGCGCCGAATGCCAGCGCGCCCGGACCTCGAAGTCAGAACAATTTCCCGAGCCCCATTCTAAGTAGTCAGCTCAGCATGATTAAATAGGTCCAGTGCAAAGGGATTTCCCGACCTTGTACATCCACTGGGCAATCTGAAATCCAAGGCTGCCGGTACCTCCCACCAGTAGATATGCCTTCTTGTCGCTGAAAAGATGTTTCTTCACATTGACGGGGTCACCAGGCTTGGCAGTTATGATCTCGCTGAGGTTGCACATAGGAATCTTAAGCTCGTCGCCAATTATATCTGACCCAAGGCGAATAGCATGGCTAATTAACCACGGGTCGCAGGCGAGCAGCGACTGCAAGCCTTGCGTTGGATGCTTCCATGGAAACGTCCTCCCATTAACCGTCGAGAGGCGTGATAAGAGGTGAAGTGTTGCCGTGTCTGTGTATTCAGAGACGACGACGTTAAAATGTCCATTGGGAAGGCGGCTAATTTCGGAGTCCGTCGCATGTTGCGTTAGGGTAGTGACGCGAAAGCCTCGGAGAAGGTAGAGTTGAGCAATAAGCATGCTTATCTGAGTATCTGCATGTGTCACAAGAATCTCTCCGCGGAACCTACACGGGTTCTCGAAATATGCAGGACCAACAGCAAGGACTGCTACAGCAAGGACAAGAACAGGAGGTCCCATGGATGTATCGGATTCCAGGGCCACTGGGGCATCCACCATGCTGTCCAGTGGCGATACGATGACATTTCCAACAGGAGAGGCGGATATCCCCATGACACCTCTACGCGAGCTGTCTAAACAGCCAACGAAAGCCCATATCTGGTCATCCGACCGGCTAATACTTTGCACATGCACGACAGCCGAATGACAATCCGAAGGGGGAGACGAGCAGTGAACCACTTGCGAGTTCTCGAGCTGCCATGGCTCGTGGAAGTTGAAAGGAGAGACATTGCTTCGGACCTTCGCAAGGTGTTATTCTTGGGACATATACCAATCCGGATGCGTCCACCACAAGCTCGGTCTCCGCTTGGGGCATTTTGGATATAGCTTCAACCGCCTGTCTAATACTTTCATCGCCCCAAGCCGAGTCGAACACCACGACGCAAATTGTCCATGAAGGATATTCCTTCCGTAAGGATCGCACAAAACCGACAGCCCCGTTTCCATTCGAACCAGCGATTGCCGTAAAATAGATGGCGCATGGAGCGGTTGCGTCCTTTGCAGATAACATCAGCTGAAGTTCCAACTCTTTTCCGTGCTCGTAAGCGACGACGTTGAGGAGCGGCGACAATGAAGTTGTGCCCATTGGGTGCGTTAAAATGTCTCTGCTTTGTTCCGTTGGCAATTCCTCCTGGGTCGGGTGACGACACGAGGACAAGTCGAGTGGGGTGGGCTCATGCACTAAGTCGAAGCGACGTCTCGGCTCGTATAGAGAGGATTCTCCATGGAGGGCAACTTCGAATGATTGCATTGTGCAGAGATGATTGCCGTCTTCATCCAGGAGGGCGACGTCGTATGCCAGAGATTCTTCTTTGGAATAAGTCACCGATAAATCTGTTGAGATTAAATTAACTCACGAGGTGTCCACTGGCGAAAAAACAGCATGAGCATATATGGACTGCGGGAATGGGGACGTAATAAGTGCTTCATGAATCGTCAAATTTTGCAGGCGCGAAGGAAGATAATACAAAGTTTTGTCTGTGAGACAGGTAAAAATCGGATGGACCAGAACATGTATTGCGGAGTCGAGGATGACGGGGTGGATCTTGAACTTTTCCAGTCTATCATTTTCGTTGGGTGAATACCTAGTAAACCAAAACGAATGGTCTTACCCTGGAAGGTCCCCGACAGCGCCACGTATTTGTACTAAAACTTCGTCGCGCCCGTTGTCAGTCCCCCGGTAGCAATCCAATATTCTTCGGTAATCTGGGCCATATTGAGCGAAGTGCTCAAGCGCATCATAAAAACCTATGATAGTTGGATAAGCGACAAAGTTGGACGACGATTCATAACGGACCCTCAACCCCAACCCGCGTGCAGCGTTCCTTTATTGCCTGAATGTTCACTGCTGGTAATGCTGGAATTTGAGAATCTCGAGATAGGTAGCCCTCAGCATGCAACCGATCATACTGACCCGTTGGTGAGTCATAGGGCGAAGAATGAAATACTCGTACGTACTTGGGGCGTGGACGATTGTGATGGATTTGGAGCAGAGCGCACCAACCAACGAGGTCCTTCAGTACTGATGTTAACTGGCACCGGTTGTTCCCCAGATAACGACAGCATGAATGAAAAGTTGACATCCCATAATTGTCTTGCTCCAAATTCCAATGCCTGTTACGTGCGGGTGAGGTTCCATTACCCTCACATTTCGCGAGCGAGTGCATACCATTTCAATATATCCTGCAGCGGGCATGATGGGCTCGCCTTGAATCACGTGTTGGGCCAGGTAAGGGTGCGTCTGGGCGTTTATACGAAGCTGGGGGTAATTTAAAGGCCCGTTACGAGACTGACGCATTTTCTTGATGGAAGGAGAGATTGGGTACAAGAAGACCTTCTTGCGGGAAAAGGGGTAAGCGGGTAGGTCTGAGACATCTGCTGCGGTGCATCCATTGAGAACATTGAAGTCGATACAATGTCCAGCGACTGCCAGCTTGCCCAAAGCGTCAAGAAAAGAAACCGCTTCTCCTTGATTGGCCTTGGGCCTGCGCAGAGGACATACAACCGTCGTTGTCTTGCCACCGAGTTCGACCAGATAACTAGCGAGAGCTGGGTGAGGTCCTATCTCTAAAAAGTCCGGAGAGCCTATATCTTGAATCATACGCTGGATAGCGTCCGTAAATCGCACTGGGCCACGTGCACCAGACCAATAATATTCTGCGTTGAATGGGTCACTTTTGAGCATACCGCTTTCGGTGGAATATGTTCGGATTTGAGGTAGCCGTGAAGGATAGCGATTGAATATGTCTGTTACCAGGCGCAGATATTCGTCATGACAGGGGTCCATCAGTCTGGAATGCACAGGAACAGCAGTATTCAATCGCTTTGCGAAAAATCCGGCAGCCTTTGCGCGTTCAACTGCGAGGTCTATACCCGTAGATGACCCTGATAGTGTGACGGCGCCAGGGGTATTGTAGCAGGCAACGTCCAAATCAACCTTCCCTTGTTCGGTGTGTATCTGAGATATAACTTCCCGGGCTTGTTCGGGGGAGCACGAAACTGCTGCCATTGCGCCTTGAGAACCTTCGACGATTGACATAGCTCGACCACGTGCGATTGCAAGTTCCACAGCCATCGCTTTGCAACCCGCTCCAGATGCATACAAGACGGCAGTCTCTCCTGCAGAGTGGCCCACGATCGCAGTGGGCTTCATCCCAAGACTCACAAGAGCGTCGAAAGTTGCGATTTGAAGCATGGTTAGAGCAGGAAGAGTCACTGAGATGGGCCAGATATTTCCGAGTGCTTCTGCGGAACGAGCTTGTTGACTGAAAAGACCAGTCTGGTCAATGAGTGAAAATCCAGTTACAAGCTTGTGTATTTCGTCCATTTCAAGTATACTCCTCTGGAAGATGGTGCATGAACTGAATAATTCTCTGCCCACTGACAAGAAAATAAGCATCAAGTTATAAAAATGGTTGATAGGTCTCACTTTCAAAGTGCTGGGGACCCTGTCCTGCAAATACAAACACGAGTGGATGAGGCATTCGGGAAGTAAGAACCGGCTCAGTAAAACGAGGTGGTGAATTTGGTGAAGTAACCGCACAAGAACGCCAAGGCATAGACCTGGATCGACGTCCGAAGGTCGTTGCGATTGATGGTAATGATTTACTGTCTATGACTCGCATAGATTCTCCTACGGCTGTTGTTGAACGCGGAGAAAGGCCACCCGCCACCAACAAGCAGGGAGTATGAAAGCCATCTGAGCGCCAGAAAGGCACTACCGAATTAGTTGTATGAGGGGCCTCCTCAACAACACAGTGACCATTGGCACCGCCAATTCCGGAGCTCGCCAGAGAGATCAGCGAGCGTCCAGTAGCGGATTGACAAGGTAACGAGGTTGGCAATAAGGGAACGCGTAGATTGAAGTCCTCCCAACGAATGGCAGGATTTGGGTTGCGGAGATTGACATTTGGAGGGATGATTCCTGATTGAAATATAGAACAAACTTTGCAAAGTGACGCAAGAAACGCTGTGATTTCCAGGTGACTATGTGGAAGAAGAATGAGACCAAGCTGATTATGGCAGTTCCGACGACATACCCCATGTTTCCTTTCAAACTCCCAATAAGAAGCTCCTCATTGTCGTTCTTCAGGAAGCTCTCTCCAACCCAGTTCGCTTCTGTTGGATCTCCGATTGCAGTTCCTAGAGATATACACGTATAATATATTAACGGGATAGGTTCAGAGAAACTTGCCTGTGGCATGAAGCTCGACGAAATCGACTTCGTGTGGTTGACGGCGAGCTTGCTTGAATGCTCTCAGCATTGCATCCCTTTGAGCATAGGCTACAGGAGCGTTCACAGGAGCCAGTGAACCAGACGAATTGATGCCAGTACCGAGGATCTGTGAAGAATGAGAACGATCATATAGGTCCGATCCGGAGATGGCGCACAGTAGCATAAATATGGTCATTATCGATGAGAGCCTTGTCAAGTGGTTTTATAACGACAACAACGGCACCCTCTCCTCTGGAAAACCTTCAGATGATTCTCAATTAGCGAGTCATACGGATACGGAGGTCGCCTCACCCATTAGCAGAGGCATCGAAAGGTTTGCATTTACCATCTGGTGCCAGAATTCCACCTTGACTGTACGCCAGCCAATCTACAAGCCTAGAGAATCAAGGCGTTTCAACCTTCAATTTTCAGAAATGCCGCCGAAAATAAATCTTGCCTGTGGTTCAACTGACAACCACCCACAACTGCCGCATCGCACTCTCCATTGCGTATGGACTGAACAGCGAGATGGAAAGCAGAAAGACTAGAGCTGCAAGCAGTATCGGTGGGGATGGAAGGTCCGCGCAGGTCCAAGTGGTATGACACACGATTGGCAATCATGGAAGGGGAGTATGCTAATGAACCGCGAGCTTCATTTTCGTCCTAAGATGCGAGTGAGTCAGCGATGACACAAGACATGGGTCACTAACCTCGCCGGAAATCATCCAAGCGTCATGGGCGACACTCGCCATGTAAGCACCAACATTCTTTCCTCGATAATCAATACCAGAGTCCAACAATGCTAGGAACGACAACTCGATGAGCTTTCGTGTTCCAATTGTCATCATCCTGGCATCCTTGCTACTGATTCCGAATTCAATATGATCGAATAAATCCAAGTCTTTCAAGAATGCGCCTTGTGTGGCAGCTACTTCACCAATATTCACTCCCTTAAGACTGGAAAACGTCAGAAATTGAAGCGTAGCACGTTTTGAATGAGACAGACGCACGCATCTATGTTGAATCTATCGGTCGGGATATTTTCATAGGCTTGGTGCTCGTTCATAAGAAAGTCAAACAGCGATGGGTAGTCAAGGTTGTTCGTTCCATGAGGACCACTTGGAAGCTCTGCAGAAATGCCGACCTGTCAGTCGATGAATAAACCATGTTAGCCGGCACTGAATTAGTCGGTCACGAGCTTACCAGTGCGACAGGGTAGTGCTCTTGTGAAGAAACCATGGTATTTGATAGGGAGATGGGGAATCAACGTTAACAAGGAGAGTTGAATTGAACGGCCTTTTGAACTTACGCCAATCAGGAGAGTTCACAGGAGCCACTAAACCGGAGGAATGGCGGCCAGCGCAACCTGATGTTCAAAACAAGGTAATCGCGCGCATATTGATCTGATGACTCCGATAATGGACCCACTGCCACTTGTACTGCTTAAAACTCTGCAAGCTATTGAAGTAGCAGTATTACCGGCCGCATCCTGAGTGTCAAATAATTTTACACCAAGTTTTCAGGTGACCTTCCTATCAAACGCTAGCGCAGTTTTAAATTCCAGATAGCACGATATTAATATAAGTTTTCATACCCTCGGCAAGGCCTCAGTTGCGTTGAGTGAGCATACTGCAGAGGACGGTCGCGGTGGACGAATTTACACTCTCCAGATCTGAGATCTGATCGATGATCTCTCACCAGTTACCGCACTGGCCCCCTGAGTCACCTGAGGGAGAGCCTGAATCTCAAGAAATTGGAGTGGGACTTTTTAAAAAAATGACTCAACTGTATCATTGTCATGTGCTGGTGTTGTAAAACCGTACATAGATTTCTGCAAAATGCCTCTTGTGTATACACTGCACAACATATACGCATACAGAACCATATATAGATTAGCCGGCGGCCACGTTACGGCAACATTGACGACATCGTACCTGTGTACGCAATGTGTACTATGGATGCTTATCTCCTCCCCGTACCTACTAGGATTTCCAACTACAAGTGTTCAAGTGGCAAGTATTAATAACCGTGTGTAAGTGATTAGTCTTGATACACTGGAGCAGGCTGAGCGCTGAGTTTCATCACAGAAGGGTGTCATCTCACATGTTTTAGATGTGCCCCAATTGCGCCACAATGGTCAGGCTGCATCCTGATTTTTGATGAAGTCACACTTTTTTATAGGGCAGTACTAGTTAATTAATTGATATGGGCGAGATATAAATTGATACAGGGCGCACTCACCCTCTCTAACCTTTTGGTTTACGCGCCAAACAAGACCTACCGAATCATGTCTGGCAGTGACCACAGCGTCCCACCTATGTTGAAACCTGTCGACACAGAAAAGTCTCTTACGTCGCCCCCAAACCCGCCCTTCGTAGAAGGGGGTTTCAGAGGGTATATGACTGTATTTGGTGCATTTTTTGCGTTGTTCGCCGCGTTCGGTCAATCGATGGCGTTCGGAATCTTTCAGCTATGGTATTCACAAAACCAGCTTGTAGACTATACCGCGTCCGACATTTCGTGGATTGGCTCAGTTCAGCTTTGGGTTTTCTTTTTTTCAGTGAGCTCATTTGCCATTCGATCTTGAGTCTGATAATTGAATGTTTTGAAGGGAAGTTTTGTCGGTAGGCTCTTTGACGCATATGGGCCAACATGGCTACTTGCTTCAGGGACTGTCATCTTGACATTTTCTCTCATGATGACATCCCTGGCTTCAACGTACTATGCGCTCATTCTAGCTCAAGGGGTCGTCTTTGGTATTGGATTCGGACTTTTGTGAGTTTCGAAGCAGAGTCCGCGTGACCTGCCTAACTACGTGTACTCGTTTAGATTCTTTCCGTCAATGAGTGCCACCGCTACACACTTCATGAAGTATCGAGCCACTGCCCTTGGTGTCGCCGTAGCCGGCAGTAGTGTAGGTAAGATATCTCATTTTGCCTGGTACTGTTGGTGCTGACAGCAATCAGGTGGCGTTGTGTTCCCGATCATGTTGCAACGACTCTTCAACACAGTGGGTTTCGGCTGGGCAGTGCGCATCTCTGCATTTGTCTGTCTGGCGTGTGGCGTTATAGCTACTGCAACCGTTTCCAGTCGTCTTCCCACGCGCAAACCTGGTCCATGGGTCGACGTGTCATCTCTCAAGGATGCGAATTATGCACTTTTCGTGCTAGGAAGCGCGATTAGCTGCTTTGGTAAGCTGTCATTGTGTTCCAGGTGAAACGTCTCTAATACTTCCGGCAGGTATTTTCGTGCCGATGTACTACATCGTACAGTATGCCGAAGGTTCCCACGTCTCTCAGACAGTTGCATCCGGGGCCCTGTCGGTAATGAACGCAGGAAGCGTGTTTGGGCGCATCGTGCCATCGATTGCAGCTGATCTCATTGGAAGATACAACACGTTGTTTCCGTCCACAGTACTGATGGCGATCTTCACTCTGGCATTGTGGTTACACGCACACGATTTGGCAACGATTATGACGTATTCCGTGTTTTATGGATTTTTCTCTGGAAGTTGGTTTGCATTGCAAACCTCTTGCATCGCCCAGATATCAAGAATGGAAAAGATTGGAGTCCGGATGGGAATGGCATATAGCTTGGTTTCTTTCCCGTACGTCTCATTATTCAATTTCGATCTCACATTGATAACCTTGATCATAAGTGCCCTCGTTGGTGAACCAATTGCGGGTGCAATTTTGGCTCGGGATAATGGAAATTACACGGGTTTGATAGTTTTCACTGGAGTGTCTTTACTTCTCGGCTCTCTCGTTACTCTCGCTGTCAAGCTAAGAATAAATAGCAGTTTACTTGCAAAAGTATAGGCATCAATGGACACTTCTATCAGTTCAGATATATGCATGTACTACTTATAATAGCCTGGAAGGACACGGTGCGACGGTCACATACATGCGATTCGAGGGTGGACTCTTTGTGGCGTGGAAGTCGGGACGATAACCGTTACCATGCTTAATAGCTGTATTCGAAGATGTTGATCGGATGACTCCTAAATACTACTTAGAGTGTGGCCCTGGAATCGAATCTTATCCAATGTGAAAAGATAACTGAAATAGACTCGCTCAAGCCAATACTTACTATTAGTACACTGCGCCAAGATTATCACTTATATTGCGAGCCACTGCCTCAGCCGCTCTCCCCTCAACTCACAGAACAGTAGCTTGTGATCCATAACCCTGAGAGTCGACATGTCCCTCCCAACGCATACCCCAGTGTGGCGTGTCAAGAATTCCCCTGTAGAGTCTGTAGTTCTTGAATTTTCCGATGATGCAACATTTGCTTTGACAGAAGAGCCTCTGCCTCACATGGAGGATGGAGAAATGCTCGTGGAAAATGTGTACATCTCCAACGATCCTGCGCAACGAGGTTCGATCTCTTATTCAACGCTGAATCGCAATCGATGATCATATTACTCTATAGGCTGGATCCAGAAAGGTGTCTCACCAGAGCGCCTCTACGTCGCTCCAGTGCGTGAGGGCGACGTAATGGCGGCTCATTCCATTGCTCGTGTTCTCGCAATCCAAGACAACACTAGTGGATTTAAGGTAAACGACCTCGTTTATTGCATGACTGCTGGGTGGCGACGATACGCAGTGGTCAAAACAGGCCCCTCGGCATGCCTACCCGTGATGTATGTGCACGGTCTCTCTCGTCATTACACCGCTGACCTGACTAGGGTGCCCGAAAATGTATCACCTACTGCCTCTCTCGGTCTGTTCGGAGTCCCTGGGTTCACTGCGTACTGTAAATTGACATCGATGCGCAGTGTCATCCTTTGCTCAAAATAAAATATAGATGGTCTGCAGGATATCTTGAAACTCAAGGAAGGACAGTCGCTGATTGTCAGTGCGGCTGCGGGGTGAGTTTATCTTGGCTCTTATGATTGTCCTGTACACTAAAGCCCTGGATATAGCGCTGTCGGCAACGTCGCCATCCAATACGCCAAGAAGGTGATCAAGGCCAAAAAAGTGATTGGGATCGCGGGGACATACGAAAAATGCCAATGGATCAAGGAACTCGGTGCAGACGTCGCCCTTAATTATAAATCAGATACATTCGCTCAAGATCTTATTGACGCCACCCCGGACTTTGTGGATGCATACTTTGACAAGTAAGCCTTCTTTAATCTCTTTATCTCGTATATTTACTCACCGGCTTTCGTCATGCAGTGTGGGGTAAGCTATATCGGCAGGAGGTTCCACTTCTATTTGCTAAAGCGGATACATCAGCGGTTCTGTCCTGGATCAAGTGATTCCACGAATCAGCCCGAATGGTCGCATCGCGGCTTGTGGCGCTATTTCAGGTTAAAAGAATATGCTTGCGATTAGCATACCTAGTTATTGACCGTCCTTTGCAGGATACAATAAGGACACGGGTAAACCCACGATGGGTAGTACCTGGGTCGAAGTAATAACCAACCGCTTGACAATTCAAGGTTTCGTTGTCCTTGACTTCATGTTCCCGAAGGACGGGTCCAACAGAGTGGCCACGGAAGCCTTTCCGGACATCGCTGGTGCACTTCAGCGGGGAGACATCACGCTTGAACGGGCCGAGGACATTGTGGAGGTACCTTTCACAGATATTCCACTGGTTTGGGGAAGGCTCTTCACTGGTGCCAATACTGGGAAGTTGGTGACGAGGCTTAAATTTAGTGCATGATACAATGGCAATAAGCATGTACATGTTAATACTCTTTTGACAGTTCAATAGAGTTTGCCAAAACTTGGACCGAGTGAGTCAGAGAGGCATGCAGTGTACCAGGCTGACATATGGCACTTACGAATCGTATCAAATCATGAATCGTAAACTCTCTTGATGATCGAGCTCTTGAGAATCTGCATACACAATGCATCAGTAAGTTAACATCGTCATGCTGAACTCACATGTCACGCTCCTTGAACTACTTACATAATATCATAGTAGGTCGATTTATCTCCCAGTCACTCAGGTAGTGTTGCCCTGTGTTGCCACGAAGGAAGCCGAACTGAGACGAAGTGTGAGATCATCAACTGTCAGAAAGTTGGCTCGTGAAACCAGCCAATCACGTCAGAGTGATACACACTCGAGTCTCCGAGTAAGGCTAGTAAGTAAGGCTGGGGATAACCGACGCGTGAACTCACGTGGGTGTCTTATCCCCGAGGGTGGGTAGATTGTTCTAATAATAGACTGAGGTTGGTTGAATGTTGAACGCAACGTTCAAAACACCAATCCTGGCAGGCCGCCAGAGGCCGCCGCCGCGGGCATTCTACACGAGGAACACTACGGTATGAAGCATGATAGTTTCAGTATCATCAGACCGATCTGATGATCTGACAGTAGGTCCCTTCCGAGTCAGTCTTACTACTTCAGGCTCCTTCCTTATTTTCGCCACTTGAAGATCTGCCACATCACAGTCTATCCATTCTGATCGGGGGGATTCTAAAGAATGTGTGATTCTCTGACTCTATACACGACCCAGGTACCCACAGCGTACAGCGTTTGAAACATTACTTCCTTGTAGGCGCCCGAGGCTTCCTCATGCCTACTCCGTCATATTGACACAACTAGTTCATCAATCATTTTTATTTTGGGTGGGGTTAGGTTAATCCTATTGATAGTCCACAACTTTGATTTTCAGGTGCGGCCGTCACGGTATATCTAACTTCTGGAACATCACTTAGAAGAGAGTGACCCCCTCATTCCCTCTAGAGGTTCCACCATGGCAGCGAACTGTACTCCCACTGTAGAGCTACCGAACCCTTGCACATCTCTAGCATTTCTGCCTTCTAGCACAGCAGCCCAGCTCGATATCTCTCGATATCTGTACTGGGCCACAGTTGGGGTTTGTTCGTCTTGCTTCCATGCATGGCATAGCGCTTCACATACGCTTTCTTTAGGCGTTCTTGTGGGACTGGATTGTATCTCTCCCAGACGAAGTCCAAATCATCCGAAAAACAGGAATTCGACTTCCAATTGTCGCCTACGTGCTATCGAGGTACTCTTTCGCATTGAAATAGATCAACTTGACGGCTTACCGTGTGCAGATTTGGCACTCTATCTTACATCCTCGTTGCTACAATCTTTCAAGGTAGGGTCTGTCGATAATGATCAGCACTGAGCAGCATAAATCCCTGACTTCTTATACTATGTAGCGCTTCCGGTTCAAGGATCTTGTCAAACTATTCTTTGGATTACTGGTTTCAGCTATCCCTTTGCGGCACCTGCTACCGCGGCTTTATTCTTCTTCAGGGTCCGTGCGGTCTACGACCGCTCAACGATTGTGACAATAATATTCGGCATATTATGGCTTGGGACATTAGGTGCTGCGCTTGCACTCCCATTTATGCTTAAAGGAGAGCATATAGGGACGACAGATTATTGCATCCAATCATCCGTAGCACCAGGTGCTTCTGCTGTTGTCATCATAAACGCGTGCAGTGACACTCTTATCTTCCTTGCCATTTCATGGCGTCTTGCAAATAATAACTTCGGTGGAGAATCTTGGGGGAACCGCATTCGTTCCTTCTATAAAGGAGATGGGCTCCCGAGGCTCTCCAAAACCCTTTTGCAAAGTGGTCAAGCATACTACTTGTACGTGCAAAACCGAATATTGTATTGATGGCACTCACAGATACGTATTATGCAGGGCGACCGTTGGGTTGAATGTGGCAACTATGGTTATGATCTTAGCCCCTTCCGCACCTCCTGTATACCACGCTTTCTTATCGCTTCCCAACATCGCCCTTGAAAATTCCATGGCATGTCGCGTTTTCAGATCAATCCACCTCGGAAGAATTGGTGTTCCAACTTCAACGTCCGCCGGCTTCTCGACATCCGCAGAACCTAGGTTGCCTTCTGGAATTCGGTTTGAGGATCGCTCTCTGCGTGCCATTAGGCCTCAATTGTACAACGACTCGCGCTCCCCACTCAGCATCACCGTCACCACGGAGCATTTGAAGTCGGAAGATTCGACCCAGAAACATTTATACATGATGGACCAAGGAATGGATGACAGAGTCTAGAGGTTCTTTGAGACCAAGTTGTGTTGAAATGCGAGCGCACCGTCCACGAAGGTGTGACGGACGATGTGTTTCTGGCCGCCTATCAAAATCAGTTTGTGTCCGTCCGGTGTATGTAGACTACATAGGGCTCAGGTACCCAGTTACTGTTGGACTTTTCGCTTTGTTCCGAATATTGATTGAACGAAGGCTGAAGCACATTACATAAATCGAGAGGAATGCAAAAAATCCTGGTATCTCAAAAGTAACCCGAGTTGCTCCCGTGATTCCCTTCGCGCATCCCGCTATACTGGTGACTGGTGCTGACCCCTCTACCCATGGATGTGAGTTTCGGATCCGGGACTCCACGAAGTAGGGAAGCTATTGTAGGATCTGATCGCGCATGTAGGTTGTATGTCAAAATGTCATCACATGCGCCAAGCTTCCCGATTCCCAGGTTACTGGCCAATTACTAGTGGAGGGTTTTTGTCTACACGAAACGTCTACTTCTACACACGCATGTGAGCGGATACATATCCAGCTAAATCTTGGATAAAACTGTACAAGTTTCTTTTTATGCATTACACCTTGCGTTGCGGCTCTCGCGTTCGTGTCTCGTTACGTCTCGGGCCACCCTATAAATGTAAGGTTCTACGATCTGTCCTGGTGCCTGCCTGCATGTCCTGATTTTCATCCGCCTAATCAGTCCCTTTTATCTATGTCCTCCAGAATGTATTTCGGCGATCAGACTACTGCAAATAACAATGAATGACAAACAGATCTGCCAGCAAAAGCTTGGCCCTTCTATTTAGCTCAGAAATAAGGTGAGGAAAGTCAGCAGATAACGTTTTTGCTCCGGACCTAAAATCTACCTCCTGAGCTCTAAGATGTGCACACGACAGATGTCAGACCATCTGGCACATCCGCCGGTTCGCACCTTCATGGGAACGGTGGGGGCACCTCATGACTCCTGAAGCTTGAAGGCCTGAGTCGTGTCATCTCACTGTCATATTGCTTGTGCATCGTTCCCCTCAAGAACCAGTGCGCAGCCAGTCAATTGCGACATAGCTCTGCTGTCACGTCTGACTCAACTACAATTGTGTCATTCAATTAACCTGCTATCAGTGGCAACGATATACCTGGATAGACCTGGGATGTTGTGGGAAAATCTTCCCGAGCATCATCTGGGAAAAGTTTAACTCGTCAATCGGCGTAACTTTACCCTTCTTTACCGGTACCATGGCCTCCATACCCTTCCAGATGTCCCTGAGGTCCCAATATTCATCAATATCAAGATTCAAGACGTTCGGGCGCTTCGGTATGATAGGATAGTTCCCGTTCTGGTTCATCGCAACAGGCCAGTGGACGAAATAAACTGATCATTGAGTGGATCATATCAGTCAAACCACTCACGTAGAGGGTCCCATTGTCAATCAATATGTGTCCTTCCAAAATTGGCGAGTGTCTTGTCAAGGCATTCGTCGACACGTCCATGGTATGTACCCCAAAAGTCAGTGCTTGTGATCTACCAAAGTCAATGGAATGAAACGAGGTGATTAGCGTGAGAGATGCTTACAGGATGTAACACGCACACGCACTTCCGAGTCCTCCCGCGGAACGCAGACTCCTCGCCGACTTCCTTTTCGTTCCCATATGCCCTTGAGTGTCATACGCTCATCAGAATTACCAACGCTTTATCAAAGCAACCAACAAGTTCGACTGCTCACTGAGCTCGATAGCAGGGATGGCCTGGCTATCGTCGAGGGCGATGGAATGAAACGTCAAGGGTAGCTAGAGACGTTTAAGCCATCATGATGTCCTTATCCCTGCAATTTGTCGCCAGAATTGGATGATCCCTGCTTCGGGCGCATCACGCCCAAGTTTCACTGCCTTATTGCGCATGGCGTGTTCTTGATGATGGTGTCCGCTACTGCAGTGATGCAATGAATGCATTTCGTCGCTGGGTTGAGGGATGCAATGAATGCACACAGTGCTGGCTCAGCTGCGGAAGAGGCTTCGACGGTCACCGTCAGCGATGTTCCACACGACATTACTGGCATACCACTCAAGTCAATTTCACGAAGGCTAACACTCGTTATTACGCCCCAGACTTTTAGCTCTCTTCCTGGTCGACCAATGGACCATTCACTAGTGTTAACCTCCACTAAAGGTGGTATTGCTAAATTTTTGGGATGCAACTTCTCCAGGAGGATACTTCTTGGTCGGTCTTCCAACCCCTCCCTCATGACAAACACTGCTCAGCAGTTCTACAATCTCCATTGCTGCGACGGCTGCGGCTATGGTGATGCACAACCATGTGGGGCATTAGGTTTCGCCATATGACGTTGATATAGTAACAATTGAAGTAGTAAATGCTGGTGATTTCCACAGACGATATGGCGTTGCGGAGCAAGACACTGAGAAACTGATCGAAGTGATTATGTGATAGAGGATGGCGCGTATCCTTTTCTTGTTCGATTAGCAAGGAAGTAAAAACATTGTTTTTGCGAGATGGTTGCGAGGCTGTGGGAGCTGTTGCTCGGAAATGTTGCTCGATCCAATGCCTCCTTTGATCGAGTGGTGTTCGGTATCATTGGAGAGGAGACCTTTATGGCGTTCAAGGACGTGCATCGATTTATCTAACGTACGCTCGAGCAATGAGGAACGGTAAAATGTACATGCCAGAGTACCATGTATGAGGTCGTACATGTTTAAGCCCACATAGCCTTAAACTTTTCATGGAACTCTTCGAGCGCACCGCTGACCACTTTGAAAACTCTCCAGTCTGCACTCGACGCACCACGCGGTCCTTGCGAATCACGAGTCGTTTCCTGCCTCCCCTGCTCCTGTTTATCAGATTCCTCTTCCTCTTCATCCTCATCCTCCCACCCAAGCGACGCGCATTTGCTGTCCACTTCCTCACCAAGGTCTTCATCCTCAGGCATCGCATCTTTTTCGCCCGCGGCCCTCTTTAGAAGAAGTTGCTCAAGTACCCCACGTACACTCATCAACGTGAGATCAAACTCCTGCAACAAAAACCAAACATCGCCCCGTCTGATTGCATTCGCAGCGGCAAGAGCTGCCACCTGTCCATGCATATAGAAGTCGAGGATGTATGCATTCAGCGCGTAGTCGCCGTCTCCTTGGTTACTTTGCCTGGTGATACCTTCGAACGATGGGATGATGTGTTCGTTCAGGTTCATTCCACGTCGAGCCGTTCGAGCGAGGTCGTGAACACTGTCAAAGTGATCGTCGTGGCCTGAGTTAGCCACGAAGAGCGACCGTGCGACAACACGGATCGCAGTACGGCGCAGATAGTCGCGAATGAGCGACGGTTCATCTTCCGCGATACCCGAGATCTCTCTTTTGCTAAGAGGTAGGATATGGTCAGGCCCGAGGTTGTCGTCGTGCTGGGACCCATAGGTCAGAGCATATCCGGTGAAGATCTCGAGGATTTCGCGGTCTTGCTCTATCAGCACTTCACGGGCTGCCTTAGACAGCGGTGGCATCATGACCATTGACGGGGACTTCTTCACGACATCCATGATGTACTTCTCTGTCATGTAAGCAGGAGGCAAGTACCGCCGTCCAAAGAGGTGGGCCATCAGCAGTATGAAGTCACGTTTTGCAAGCCTCAGGCTAGGTTGCGCACAAATCTTATGGATCACACCGCTGCGAAGCAGAGCAACTAGGGCCAAGTTGCTAGGTTCTGTGTAATACAGTTGTGCGGCTATTCCAAAAAGGTTGAGCGGCTTCCCTTGCTCGTCGAGCAAACGAGCACGACGCAAGTAGTCGATCGAGAAACGCAGATGATGCAAAAGTTGGTATTTTCCTTCCTCCGAGCCAAAACTGACTTGTGAGAGGCGGAGGAGCCTTTGTATAGCGGCGACAGCGATTGTGGAGTAATCAGAACCCTCCAGCAGATTGAATAAGCGCACGATGAGAGTTGATGTTACTGGGAAACCGGCAGCAAGGGAGGGCAGTTTTGAAAGCACGAGTCGCTGCACTCTGCTCATTGAAAGACCATAGAATACGACTTTTCCAAGGAGGTCATATCCTCGCCGACCAGCGCGTCCCGCACATTGTCGATACTAGGGTCATCGATGAATAACGGAAAGGAGAAACCATGCGAAACAAACCATCAGTGCGGTGAGGAAGGGCGAATCTCCACAGAAAACCGAAGTTTTTGTCGGGGCGTTGATACCCAAGGCAAGAGTGCCTGCAAATATAGTGAGATTAGCGACCCTACAAAAACAACAGAACGCTTACCCGTTGCAAAAATTATGCGTATGAAACCACGACGAAAGAGACTCGACACACTATTAGACACGGCGGTCCTACGTTGGAAAAGAACCTCACCTCTCAACCAAAGAGCGATACCCTCTGTTCATACCGGCATGATGGACAGCAATACCACGTCTCAGAGATTTCAATGCCCATTCAGGGGGAGGCGGCTTCCGTCTCGCAAGATCTGCAATATCTTCGTCAAGTTCCGATGGGGTATACGACTGTACTTTGACCAGCGAACGAGAAGTCTGGTAGGGGATCATCAGGTCTAAAGGATGCCTGCCATTCGCTCGTGTCAACGTGCTCATCCTCTGCATCACCCTTGCGCTTCGATGCTCTCGCGGCTTTGCGTTCGCGCTCTTTTGCGCCTTCAAGGTATGCATCATATTGCGCCAATTTGTGTTTCCATTCAGGACTGTTTTCACGCCATTCGTCTTCCTGGGTCTGGAGCACGTCGTCCAAAATTTGGGTCATGTGTTCACAATCGCTTCGATCAAATGAGAAGAAGATAGCAGGCTACACAAACAGGGTTCTCATGAACATAGAGAAGGAAGAGGTGCCAAGCACTTACGAGGTCCCCTTGCGCATGAAGATCGGCGACCAGACGAATGAGATTGAGACCACATGCGTCACGGTCGGGTTGAGAGTTCAACACGTCGTCTGGGACGTGAGATAAAACATCATCTTGAAGGTGAGTGATGACGCGCGACAACGGCGTCCCGGGGTCTCGCGAATCGAAGGAGGACAATAACGGAGTAAGGTGCTGTTTAAGAACCTCTTCATAACGGATAACATCCTTTTGCTGAAGTAGTTTACGAGAGGGTAAAGATGACACTGGATCGAGGGTAGCGAGAACAGAAGGATCCAGGGCTGTGCATGCACTTAGAGCACGATATAAATTCAATGCATCCGCCGCTTCCAGTGCTAGATCAGAGGGGAGAGAACGTGCACCGAAGGAAAGCATAGACAGCGGATGCAGGAATCGCATCCTTTCCGTAGACTTGTATGTTGAAAGGCCTTGGAAAGCATCTCTTGGCGTATCGTGGATGTTGTAGAAGAATTTCCGCAAATGCGAATACCGATGAGGATAATGCACGAACTTGTGGTGGAACCCCCCCGCTTTCTGAACACTCTCCAGCCATTCGTTAAATCTTTCCGGTGCTCCGACCGTGGCAGATAGACCTCTGCTCATGCGAGAATCAGTACATGACCACGGTTGAATGCGGGAGTGACGTACATGATAGGACAGGGCGATAGGAGCAGAATCTGTTCCCAGACAGCTCCGCCCTCCTGCTGTCCGATGGTATGTATTTCGTCCAGAATGACACTACAGCAGAGTGAGAGGGAAATACAAATGTAACGAACGGAAATTCGTACTATCTGAGCCGGGGGGTCCACGTCTTAGCAAGTAGAGGCGATAAAAGCATGATTGCTAGGATCTCAGGGACAGTGACAAGGATTTGGCAGTTCTGCGGATCATGGACCTTGTAGTCACGGGAATGAATCGCCCAGCAGCCACCTAGAGTTGAATCAGCCACGGTCCCCCGTTAAATATGAGCCTACGTGTCCTTACGACCGTTGAGATCCTTGCTAAACCTAGCATAAATCTCGGCTGCAACTTGAGCAACAAGGGCTTTCGTCGGTGCAATATAAACCAGGATGCCGTCATCTGATCCTCGGAGAATCTTCTCCATAGCATAATAAGAAATGAACGTCTTCCCAGCACTGGTAGGAGCTGCAACTAAATGAGTGATTGTTTTACCTCCACAATACAGCTGCAAGCACCGACCTACGACAAGAAGAGACATGTTTTGATCGATCGCATCAAGGACTTCGCGTTGCCACGCATCTGGCTTGAAGAGTACCCTTCTGTCAGCCTGACTATCCATGCTTCTATCCATGAATTCCCCGAAAAACTGGAGTTGCCACACGATAGGGTGCTCCTGCACTCGCATAAATTCGTAGATCGGTGTATTAGTCTTGGTCTTGAGCAGCTTGACGAAGCGAAAGGTTAGCGCCCTGTCATCAGTCGAACCCGGGATAACGAGATTATCAATGTAGTCGTTGAAACCGAGCGAAATCAAAACGCTCGTGATTACGCTGGCGATCTCTTTTGTTCCAAAGCCAATCTCCCAAACTTCCTTGACGAGACGCATGAGCATCAAGGAATATTTGTTGCGACTCGTCGAGGAGTCTGGATTAGTGGTATAAATCCACTCTCGGAGAAGACGGTTCATACGATATAGTCGAATTTCCGTGCCTACCGATGCCTCCCTAGTTCGCGGATTCCGGGTAAGAGCTTGCAGGTACTTTTCGAGACCAGTGCTGTCCAGGCTTTCCATCTCTTGGATGCGGGACGCGACCCATGCTGCAGACTCGGATACCTGTTTTGATTCCTTCTTGGCGATATTGTTTTCGCGGATAGCATCGGCCTTCGACAACTTGCTGGCATTTTTGCCCGACGAACGAGCATGAACAACTTTGGGCTGCATATTTATGATAAGCGATAGAAGTGAGCATTATACTGGGTGCTAACTTTTGTGATGCGCTGATTCGCAAGAGAGGCTACGGACAGTATCTTCACTTGTTCGAGAACAGCTCCTGATGCGCCTGTCAAGGTACTGGCTTGGTCATGCAAAGTCTTCATGAAGCGCTGGTCTGAACGAAGCTTCCGATTGCGCTGCCATTCAGTCATCGGCGCTGCAGAATCCCCTCCGAGGTGCTTAGGCAGAATGGCCTTTTTATGGTTGTGCCAATGCTGCGTGTCGGAGAAGAGCGTGTCCTCTCTGGATCGCTTGCTTTGAGATGGCCTAATAGATGGGAGGTCATCAGCGGACTCGTCGCTAGTACTACTATCATCCCATTGTTCGTCGGACTCTTCTCCACTGGAAGTAACATGTTCTATCTGATTGGGGCATGCGACGCCCTCCGTGGCAATGCGCACGACAGAAAGTTCCTCATCAAATACTCGGTTGGTAAAGGGAAGAAGCTTGAGCGGAACTGGCATCTCATATGAGCCACGAGGAAGGAAAAAGATGCTGAAACACGAAAAGTTGAGCTCCGGGAGCTTCAACTTAGAGAAGATTTCGCCCGCATCTTTTGCCAAAGTTGGGCCAAGAATCTCCGTCAACGATTGAGCCTGATGCTCCGAAAGAAAGCGCAGGATCGAGAGGAATGAACGAGTGTCGACCTCAATGAATACGTTTTTGGCTACCACAACTGCTTCTGTCGCTCGAAGAATGCGGGGCAGAAACGATTTCGTCAATGAATTGGAAAAGTCAGATTTCATAGGCTCCAAGCGCCGGGCGCGATCCTGGATGGAGATGTTCTTGAGAAGAAGGATGTGGATAATGAAAACGGCAAGTAGCGACGGCTGAGTGTCGCCTTTGAATGCTAAAAGATATGTCGTTCCAATATCCGTCAAGATCGTACGGAGGTCCAGGCAAGACAGGGACGTTGGTGCTTCGACAAGGACGCAGTCGCGGACTTGATCAAACGACTCGTGTTCTTGAGTAGCAAGAACGTCCCTGGCAGTGACGCCCGCGGATAGAACGGCATTGGGGATACGTCCTCGATGGCTTAAGCGAAGCTTGGATTCAAACACGAAAGATAAGATCTACGGCACGATCAATGCTCAGGTTATAATACAGAAAAGGAAGAGCTGGTATGACCTTGGTATCCTTGAAATCAGCACCGTGGAGCGGCGCCATTGCCAATCCGCTAGCCAGCAAATCGAAGATGAACAACCGTTGAGCGAGTACTTGATGAGCGGCAAACGGTCCATCGACACCTTCTTTCAGTGTACCGCCGTCATTGATCATGACAAACATTGGCTATAGGGAATAAGAAGAGATATAATGTACTGAGAGACGCCTACCTTTGTCTGAACATGATAATCGACCCAATTTTTATCGGAGAGACTTTTCGAAGGTGAGGGTATTCACCGAGTCCAGCGACTGGATGTGCTTGTACAGTATCCTCCTAGCAAGCGCCCGAGATGCGACAGCAAAATCCGACCCGCCCGCTTGTAATACTAGGTGTCGGTTGGCTGCAATGGTACCAATAAGATGGACGCTATCAATGAAGAAATGAAGAAGTGGGCTCGCCATTGAAGAAAACAATTTCGAAGTTAGCAGACCGCCTCCGGAATTCGTTTAGAATGCGTTCCATTAAATAGATTCCGTGGATGATTTGAAATGACGGGTCTTCAACAGCACCGCCATCCGAGTCATGTCAGAGAAAACCATCTATACTAGACTACAATAACGCACCGTCATCCTTCGCTAGTGCGAGCAGAGGATCGTCAAGTACGGCATTGTAGTAGGGAATGTCCTAGGAAATTGATGAGTGGTAAGATTAGACGGCTAGCAAGTTAAATGAGTACCATCGATAACAAAGGGCTCTGCTCCGGCGTAGTCACCGATCAAGTCCATCCACCTTGCACTCTTACTTGCAGGGGCATACCAGGTTGAATCAATCCAGTTCAAAGCCTCAGTAACAGTGCATGATGAGGCATTGGTTGATGACTTTTTGATGATTCGCTCGATATCAACGTCAAACTCCTCGAAATCCATACTGGTGATGGTGGATGTGAATGAGATTCGCGTTACGGTCTGCAGTCTTTAGTAGCTTCTGGAGATAGCCGGATAATAGGCCAGGATTATCACCTCGAGGCGAGACCAATAATGCAAAAGTTAGCTAAGATCTGAAACCAGGGTGGCGCTGAGTACTCGCCTAATACAGAAGGAACGACTGTGTCAATCGTCCTTTTATTGGGCACTGCCTATGGGAGACTAGTCACTGGCTTATTCGGCTGCTGAGTACTGAGTTCTCGATTGAGTTTAGCATCGTTATCGATGGCAGGGATAATAAGAAGTTGGGCAGTATCAAATGATCGTACTCACCCGGGCCTTCTTTCTGCGCGTGCCTACTACTTTGTATACTTGTAGACGTCAATCTCCGTCAATAATGAATGTTCGGTAACTAGGGGGCCACGTTTGGGCCACGCAGGAGAACGAGCCAAAACGCCCAAGCCCGAAGCACCAAGACACTATCGCAGGCAAAGAGAAGCCCAATATGATCACGCGAATGACTACCAGCCGGGAGAACATCGATGATATGTGGCACCAATGGCGCTCCATCCCGGCCGCGGCGTCTGGCGTGAGTCTGGCGCACGAAGACCGTATTTCAATATGATTGTGGACAAGCCAGGAACTTGACCAGGCTTGACCGTACCATAACTCGTCGTGACTTATCAAAGTATGTACATGAAGATGAAGAACGCTCTGGTTCAAAGGTTCACTCACAGGTTGACCGGGTGCTTCATCTTCCGACTTCCGACTTCCGAGTCCGTAGTTATGTAATGTTCATCGATTATCAGTCCTGGCACTTCGGGTTCGATTACTATCATATCTATCAGATGATGCGCTGGAAATCATTCAACAACCAGCCCGTCGACGTCGCTGGCATTTGCATCCTACCCAGTGACTACTATGTCGGCTCCCCCAGACTACTCAGAGGACAAGGAGAAAGCCCTCGGGTCGGTTGAAGATGAAGCTGCGTACGTCGAGGCAGCTCCAGATTGTGTGATCGTAAGCCGCTTTGGTATACTCGGTCCACTCTCTTCGCCAGTGGTGTCGAGGCCCGTGGAGTAGAACGTGTACCAGAAAACCAGAGAGTGTCGAAAAAATGCATGGAACAAGTGCGTATGTTGTGTTACGCTCGTATACCTGTCCTGAGTCCAGTGTATTGTCCCTCATGTGGTGGTCAGTCCGATCCGATCTAACCCATTTTTTCATGTTCCCTTGACCTTTGTATAGGTCCATTAACACAGTGTTGACTACAATTCCCATTGGGGTGCTCGGGCAGTCCATTTTCACTTTGAGTTTTGGGTATGTCACTCAACATACACCGTGCCGCAACCACGCTTATTCTCTCAAGCAACGCTGTAGCGACTATTCTCTGCTTTGGCGCTCTCGGCGGCGTCGCAACAGCGTTCATAGCTACCCTCGGCCCTATGACTGGTCTCCGCACCATGATTATCACCCGCTTTAGCTCAGGATACTTCGGCGGCACCATATACTCAGTCCTCAACATCCTCACCCAGTGCGGGGATTCTCGTTCATATGCACATTATCTCGCTGATCGCGTCTAGGCTTGGCTTTTCCGCAACAGCAGTCGTTCTCGGAGGTCAAACGCTCGCCAACATCAATCCCAGCACCCTTCCGCTCGTCGTTGGCATCATTATCATTGGCGTGTGTTGCCTCATCCCGTGTTTTGTCGGGTACGACATGGTACACGTCTACGAGCGCTACGCATGGGTGGTCACTAGTATCATCATGCTTTTCATCTGGGGTCTTGGCGGTAAAGCCGGATATGAAGTCAATGCACAAAAGCCTCTCGAGGACACAGGGCGCGCCCTCTCAGCTGACATTCTCAGGCGGGTGCGTCCAACCATCATTTCTCTTGTGTCAGGTGTTAAATTTTGTAAACCAGTGGGCTCCAGTCACAGCAGACTATAATTGCCGGCTACCGGCTGATACACCGCCCATGCGCGTATTCCTACTTACGTTCTTCAGCCTGTTCATCCCTATCTGCTTCGTCGAGATCCTCGGCGCAGCCCTCATGATAATCACTGATTCCGCATACATCGCGGCGTTCGCAGACAGCTCAACCGGCGGTCTAATCGCGCAAGTGCTCTCCCTGGGGCCACTTTGGCCAATTCATCCTCGTCCTTCTCGCACTTCTGTCATGTAAGAACGAAATAATGCTTTCCTGTCCGTACTAACCTAGGAACAGTGCTAACAACATCCCTAATACCTATTCCACCGGCCTGTCCATACAAGCCCTCGGACGCCCATTCACCATCATACCGCGCTTCTTCTGGGGTTTCCTCGCTTTCGTCATATACACCGTAGCAGGTGTCGCTGGCCGGGAACACTTCAGCGCCATCCTTTTCAATTTCCTCAGTATACTCAGCTACTGGACGGCTTTCTTCATCGTGATCGGAGCTGAGGAGCACATCATCTTCAGGCGCAAAAACGGGCCGCTTGGGGGGTATAATTTGGATGACTATGATACGCCGTCGAAGTGAGTCTGCTGGTTTGGGGTGAAGACGTTGTTGACTATGTTCTCAAGGCTGCCATTGGGCATAGCGGGTATACTCGCAATGTGTTTGGTTCTCAGTGCTTCTTCCGAGTGGTTCGTTTGCTCTTTTTGGAACGACGCGACGAAGGCTCGGAAGGCCCTGCAGTGGATATCGAAGGATGAGGGGCTAATGATGTGCTAAGACGAGCGGAACGACGTAGTAAGGGCTCGGATGGCCCTGCTGGGGGGGTGCGAAGAGTCAAAGGTACTGATTGTGGATGAAGACTCTGAGATTGTCCTGAAGGAGGTAGTTTGTTACCAATAGATCTCATAAACACATCAAGTATGCCGAGGACTCCAGCGTGGGTCATCTCTACCGAATCTTCGCGCCTATTCGCACTGTAAACCATGGTGACCCAGTTCTGGACGAGGGGTCTGAATTCTGCGAAGTATTCTGATGTCTTAGCGATAAAGAAACTGCTTTGCATCAAAGCCCCCATCTTCGCATAACAGATCGTGCTCAAAGCCACCTTGCCCAAGGCCTCATAGGCGCACGCCCACGGCAAAGTTTGCAGAGACCAAGTGGGTGCCAATTGGCCGTGTGGCCCCCCATACATCACAACAAACTCGAAAAAAATATAGAATAACGACTCAAGGTCATCGCTGGGCCGGTGTTCAATTAGATGCGTGCCAGCGGCGACATTTTGCGGGACATTGGCATCCTGCGGGGCATTGGCGTCCTGCGGAACAAAGTCGATGTTCTCGCCAACGTCGATGTTGTCTGCCCTGATGCTGTTCACATCATTCGGAATGTTCACGTTGACCTCAAGCGGGACTAGTAGATCCAGCATAGCCTGGAGAATACGGATAGAAATGTAGGGCATGGTCCCCTGGAAAAATGAGATTAACGACGAATAGCTATATTGTGTACCGAAACTTACTGTACCATGCGAATAAGCGCTAGTCGTGCCTTCCGCTAGAATCAAAGCGTGATCAAAATCGATAAAGTAGCCGATACCGTTATGAATGACAAAATTATTGGGACTGAGGTCCCCGTGTAAGACTCGGTTCCTAATCATCGCATGATGAGCTGAAAACAAATAGTCAGTACAAGTATTTTGCATGCTTAATAAAAAGACTCACCAACTACAAAGGCATGAAAGGCGGTGAGCAGTTCCTGTCTAGAGCTGAATTTAGATAATGGCTGTCCGCAGGGGGACAAGAGAATGCGACGGTGGAATCTGTTGCAGAACGCCAAGTCGTCCCGATGGTTCGTGTCATATTGACTGCGAATGCGCGCTGTGCAGTCAGGCTCCCCCTCGTAATACACATCCCAATGGTCTATGAGTTGGACAACATTAGGGATACCCTTGACCATCTCCAAGATGGTCGCTTCGTGGTTTCTTTTCTCCTCCGTCACCCAACAATCTTTTAAAGCGTACTCATTCCCTGCCTCATCGACGACACGATAACAAACCGTCCCACGACAGAAAAGCCCATGGCTCTTCCACAAAACCTCCATGATAGAATACATTTGGTTGAGATTGTCCTTCACCCAGCCCTTCGCCTCGTGTGCTAAATTCAAATGGGTGCCTACACATGCAGCGTTACACATGTGCATCGTCGGATCGAAACCCAAGTGATGACTATCCGACAGAGTGAGGGTACCTAACATTTCTGTGAGTCGTATAGGGCCTGTGTTCTCGTGGATGTGGAAGGGGTAGGATATGATGAGACCGGAGCGGTCAAGGTAATGGGCGCGAAGCTGATTGGCACAAATCGAAAACACAACGACGAATCGACGCCACGGTTGATCTCTCATAATGAGGTATGCTTTGATCGTAGATCCCCAGAACACTGGTATATCTCGCTTTTTACCGAGATCACTGGAGGTATGCTCCACAAAGGACAGGACGTCTGCCCATGTCTTCTCCATGTTTTTGAGTGCGAAATCAAAAAGGGCTATGTCGGGCTTCGGACTGTTGTATTCGTCTGGTATGGGAGAGGTGGCGAACTCTGCAGACCAATACCGGGATCCAGGCGGGATGTTGAAGAGGAGGTGGGGTATCAGTTTGTGACACAGGTGATACTGGATGGTGTAAAAGAGACGTCGAAAATCTTTTTCAGTCGTCACGGGCACCTGTCTGCGTCTTTTCCTCGATCCAGAAGGCTGGTATTCTTGGGAGTCCCATGTTTCTGATTCGGATTGGCCAGGGATCACGGAGTCGAAAGAAACCTCCACGCCGAGCACTGTACCCTCTATCTCTGCGTCATCGATATCTGTATCGCCGTCCTCATCATCCTCTGTATCCTCACCCTCTGTATCCTCATCCTCTGTGCCGTTGTCCTCCGTACTGTCGTCAACATACTTTGCGCCATGAGTACGTTTAATTCGTTTCCACCTGCAGTGGAATTTCCATTTGCCTCCGGAGTATGCAGATGGTCCTGTTTTGTCGTACTGAATTGTTTTGATATCACCTAGTTGGAGAGTAGTTTTGAGAATAAGTTGATAGAAAATGGAGTTTTTCAACGGTATTCTAGCTCCCCTTCCAATTCCTTCATGAATCAGGCGGTTTTTTAGCTCTTCCTTGACGAGAGCTTGCGTTGTGTCTAAGGTGCGTGGGCCGGAAGGGACACCGAGAGAGCTTATCGTTGCGCGCAGCAGTAGTTTATCGATGTCGGATTGCCGCGATGATATGGATGACTGCATGTTGACGGTTTGTCGAGTGGTCAATAGGGGAGCTCAAAGTTGAACGCCCAACGCCCAACCTCGTGACCGAAATTCAGAATACCTAGAATAAATAGAAGTAAATACACAGTAGACCTACGAACTATCAATGTCGTATAAGCAAATCATCACCGTGGTCGATGATCGATGATAAGCGGACTCGTCGCTAGTACTACTATCGTCCCATTGTTCGTCGGACTCTTCTCCATTGGAAGTAACATGTTCTATCTGATTGGCAATGCGCACAACAGAAAGTTCCTTATCAAATACTCGGTTGGTAAAGGGAAGAAGCTTGAGCGGAACTGGCATCTCATATGAGTCATGAGGAAGGAAAAAGATGTTGAAACACAAAAAGTTGAGCTGCGGGAGATGATAATCGACCCAATTTTTATCGGAGACTTTCGAAGGTGAGGGTATTCACCGAGTCCAGCGACTGGATGTGCTTGTACAGTATCCTCCTAGCAAGCGCCCGAGATGCGACAGCAAAATCCGACCCGCCCGCTTGTAATACTAGGTGTCGGTTGGCTGCAATGGTACCAATAAGATGGACGCTATCACTGGAGAAATGAAGAAGTGGGCTTGCCATCGAAGAAAACAATTTCGAAGTTAGCAGACCGCCTCCGGAATTCGTTTAAAATGCGTTCCATCCGTGGATGATCTGAAATGACGGGTCTTCAACAGCACCGCCATCCGAGTCATGTCAGAGAAAACCATCTGTACTAGACTACAATGACGCACCGTCATCCTTCGCCAGTGCGAGCAGAGGATCGTCAAGTACGGATTATAGTAGGGAATGTCCTAGGAAATTGATGAGTGGTAGAATTAGACGGCTAGCAAGTTAAACGAGTACCATCGATAACAAAGGGCTCTGCTCCGGCGTAGTCACCGATCAAGTCCATCCACCTTGCACTCTTACTTGCAGGGGCATACCAGGTTGAATCAATCCAGTTCAAAGCCTCAGTAAGGCATGATGAGGCATTGGTTGATGACTTTTTGATGATTCGCTCTATATCAACTTCAAACTCCTCGAAATCCATACTCGTGATGGTGGATGTGAATGAGATCTGCGTTACGGTCTGCAGTCTTTGGTAGCTTCTGGAGATAGCCGGATAATAGGCCAGGATTCTCACCTCGAGGCGAGACCAATAATGCAAAAGTTAGCTAAGATCTGAAACCAGGGTGGCGCTGAGTACTCGCCTAATACAGAAGGAACGGCTGTGTCCAATCGTCCTTCTATTGGGCACTGCCTATGGGAGACTAGTCACTAGCCTATTCGGCTGCTGAGCGCTGAGTTCTCGATCGAGTTTAGCATCGTTATCGATGACAGGGATAATAAGAAGTTGGGCAGTATCAAATGATCGTACTCACCCAGGCCTTCTTTCCGCGCGTGCCTGCTACTTTGTATACTTATTAAGTATACGTCAATCTCCGTTAATGTTCGGTAATTAGGGCGCCACGTTTGGGCCACGCAGGGGAACGAACCAAAACACCCAAGCCCGAAGCACCAAGAGTTAAGACACTAGCGCAGGTAAAGAAAAGCCAAATATGATCACGCGAATGACTACCAGCCGGGAGAACATCGATGATATATGGCATTAATGGCGCTCCATCCCGGCCGCGGCGTCTGGCGTGAGTCTGGCACACGAAGACCATATTTCAATATGATTGTGGGCAAGCCAAGAACTTGACCAAGCTTGACCAAGCTTGACTCATCGTGTCAAACACAACAGGCGCTCAGAAATGAAATGAAAAGACTCATCTAAAAAAGTCAAACCGGTCAAAACAAGTTTTGAACTTGTTTTCAACATAAGCCTGTATGTAACCGAGCGCCTAGCATCGCCTACGTACCTCTCCACCAATGAGAGCGCACGCTTATGGCTGAAGAAAGTTTCAAATGTGAACGTAAACTAGGCCGTCTCTCAGATGGCTTGGACTTGCCAATCATATCATAGCCTGTCTATTCAAATTTCGGAGCTTGGACAACGTCGGTATCAATGTTCACCTACTTACAATCATTTCTTGGTTTGAACTTCGCACCGGCCGGTCCGCACGGTGCGGATATTCACGGCAGAATCGGGATTGACGCGACTGACAACGAGACCAAAACATCTCCCAAACCCACGATTTGTTATCTCTAGGCATCGCGTGAACGGAAATTGTTTGTGGCTTATGAGGGACTCCGAGGCAGGCATCACCTGATTCCGATGAAATCTCACGATGATATCATGCAAATCCTGTAGCCACAGGGAAGCATCATTGTCTTGGCTCGAACGTCTCTAGTTACCAATGGCATCTCATTTCATCACCCTGAATAACGGCCAGGCCATCCCTGCGATCGGGCTCGGTGAGTACTTGACTTGAACTCAGTGGTCGAGCATGATGACTGACTGACCAGCTGAATAGGAACCTGGCAATCGAAACCCAATGAAGTCGCCCGCTCCGTCGAACATGCACTGAAGGCGGGTTATAGACACATTGACTGTGCTTGGTAAGAAATTTGATCATGAAATGATCCTGATCTAAGCGTATCTTACTGAAGGGCGTATGGGAACGAAAAGGAAGTCGGCGAGGGTCTGCGTGCATCGGGCGTTCCGCGGGAAGAAGTTTTTGTGCGTATACTGTATCCCACCTATGACTTACCCTGTTCACTCGGATATGATAGATCACTAGCAAGCTTTGGGGTACATACCATAGACGTGTCGAGCAATGCCTCGACCAAACGCTTGCCAACCTGGGAACGACATATCTTGACCGTAGGACCTGCAGCATTTCTCTGTGGGATTCGTTTGACTGACACTAAGATACCATCAGTTTACCTTGTTCACTGGCCTATTGCGATGAACCCAGACGGGAATCACCCTGTCATGCCGATGCGCCCAAACGGCAACCGCGACATTGATGAATCCCGAGACCTCAGGGACACTTGGCAGGGTATGGAGGCCATGGTAAAGAAGGGTAAAGTCAAGGCAATCGGCGCGTCAAACTTCTCCCAGATGATGCTTGAGAAGATTTTACCCATTGCTGAGGTCATCCCGGCCGTTAATCAGGTGTGTTCGACGTAAAGATGCCGTTCGAAACTCACCGTTGACATGTATAGCTCGAACTTCACCTGTACAATCCGCAGCTGGAGCTTCTCGAGTACTTGAAGTCGAAGAAAATCGTTCCACAAGCATACTCACCCCTTGGTTCGACCAACTCTCCATTGTTTGCCGATGAGTCCGCGACCGAGATTGCGAAGAAGCGCGGTCTCAAGAGCACCTCCGATGTCCTTCTCGGCTACCTGCGTACGTTCATATTTATCATTTACCCTGTGCAAGAGAATGATAGTTGGCGGATCTGAATGCAGTGGCAAAGGGTATTGTTGTCCTTCCCAAATCAGTGACACCATCCCGTATCGAGTCTAACTTGACTGGTGCGCTAGAGGCATACAACGCTCTGACCCCAGAGGACATTCAGGTCCTTGACGGTGTAGCTGCGAGTGGCAAGCAGAAACGTTTCATCATGCCTCCCTGGGGTGAGCGTTGGTAATCACAGTGAACGCGATGGTACTGAAATATGCTACCCAGGTATTGACCTCGGTTTCGACAACTGGCCTGTTCCAACCAAGTGAGCGACAGGCTCAGTCATTCACTAAATCATGAGATTGACAGGAAGTGAATTGGAGGGCACGATTGTAGCATTCGAGGTAGAGCTGTCTGCACCAGTAAAGCTGCATGTACTCATAGGAGAATCTATTACGGAATCGACGCACTGTTAAATGGGAACGAGTCACAGTATGCCGCGACAGTGAGATGACACGACTCAAGAGTCAGGAAGTGCCTCCACATCCGCCAGCGCTCATGAGAGTGCAATCCGGCGGACGAGACAACTAGTATGGCCAGTCGTCCGCGGGGGAGAGTTGACAGCACATTACTTGTGAGAACGATGAGTCACACATAAATTATGTTCGAGCATGTGCCAGCACAAAGAGAACAACCACTGTGATCTTAATGAGGGTTTCTCACAAGGTGTTCAGCTCGCAGAATTGTCTCATCATCCATACTAGGATTATCTGATCCCATCCGGTGAAAGAAAGACATTTGAATTTCTTGACAGCAATTGGCCTGACGTCACAGTTGGCGCAACCGAAAGTCAATTTCAAGTCGTCAGCTGGCATATTCGTCTGGCGAACAAGACAGAATCTTGGCGGTGACTATCGTCTGGTAGGCTAGTACCATAAGTCTCGAAAGCTGGGAAAATAACAAAGAGTTACTGGTCTAGGACTGTCTAGGAGCTGTGGCCCGTCGGGTGCCATAGCGCAATGCTGGTATGTACGTACGTCTAGCCGAAATTCACCCTATATCCCGGAGATATCCTTCAGGACCCAAGTTGTTACATCCGATGGACTCAAGGATTATGTGAGCCTGAGCAAGGGCTGCACCAAGAGAAGAAAAAAGTCATCCGTCAGCGGACCAGGGCTTTGCATTCTTGCGATTACTCGGATTGTCGGCAACCGGAAGTGAGATTAGGTTGCCATTGAATTACGGAAGCGAACAAGAAGTCTAGACTAAGGCAAGTCCTGTGCAAACATTGACGGCAAGTCAGAACGGGCGACTCTGACTCGGATGATTCATCGCCGGGAACGCTGGTCAACGTTGAGCATGATGACCTGGCCTCCGATTGGCAGTGTATCTCAAGCTGCAGGCGGTCTGCAGCCCACGACAGGCAGACTCAACAGACAGATTACTCCTCCGTCTCCCGCGATCCACGAGGAGCCACGCGAGAGCTACGTGGGCGGCATGGGCTTCTTCAGGGCCCGAAAGGCTCCGCGGCGTCAATTTCACAAAGGACCCACATGCTAATAGGGAAGTTGACAATCTTTGATGAAATTATCGTCACCAATTTTGCAGGCCCAGCGCGGTGAATCGGCGCAAGACTCAGGTCTGTTGGTGCTCGCGATAATCGCACCCGTATATAAGGCAGCCTTCCCTGGCTCGATGTCCAATCAATCTCCTGCCCATCTCCCAAACTCCTCATTTCTCAAATATCACTATTAGACATGCCTGCGGTTGTTATCAACAAACACGACGGCTACGAACTCGACGCTGTTTCCGATGCTGTCGATGACGGTACGTATCTATTACGCCGTTCCAGTGCTTCGGGATGTGGCTTACAGTCCGAATCCGCCTTTCTCTACAGTAAATGTTCTGAAGGCCAAAATCTGGGACACTCAATCTGAGTTTGATTCCATCAAAGACAAGACGACATTCCGTCAGTATGAGAATGCTTGCGATCGCGTCAAGAATTTTTACAAGGAGCAACATGGTTGGTACATCCGATTTACCCATGCACGGCGTGGCACTGACCAGGTTCCCGGCTGCCACGCAGAAAAGCAGACCGTAGCTTTCAACATCAAGGCCCGTATGGAATTTAAGAGCCGGAAACGCGCTCGCATGGGTATCTGGCAAGCTATGGAAATGCTCAATACTCTTGTGGACGACTCGGATCCAGACGTCAGTGATTCACTGGCTTGTGATTTCCCATTGCTGACATGCAGCACGTATTTAGACTGAGCTTTCGCAAATCGAGCATTTGCTCCAGACTGCTGAGGCCATCCGACGCGACGGTAAGCCCGAATGGATGCAAGTTACCGGTTTGATCCACGACCTTGGTAAGCTGCTGCATCTATTTGGCAGCGAAGGCCAGTGGGACGTTGTTGGTGTAAGTTTCTTCATCGGGCACGCATGGTGACGTACAGACTGATGTACTTCTTTATTCAAGGATACCTTTGTCGTCGGCTGCGCTTTCTCCGAGAAAAACATTTACCCCGATACCTTCGCCGGTAATCCAGACTTCCATGATGCGGTTTATTCCACGGAGTATGGAATTTATGAACCTAATTGCGGCCTTGATAATGTCATGGTGTCTTGGGGACATGATGAGGTATAACTTTGTCGACATTATTTTGTCTTCATGTTTTTCAACATTTTCACAGTATCTCTACCACGTCGTTAAGGATCAGAGCTCGCTCCCCGAAGAGGCCCTTGCTATGATCAGGTATCACAGCTTTTACCCGTAAGTTCCTGCCAGTTTCTGCACCATCCGCTGAATTTTTACCATCCATGCAGATGGCACCGTGAAGGAGCTTACGCGCACCTCATGAGTAGCAAGGATCAACTAGCGCTTGAGGCCGCCCGTGCCTTCAACCCGTATGATCTTTACTCGAAAAGTGATGAACCCTGCGATGCTGAAAAGCTTCGCCCATACTATGAGGGCCTCATTGCAAAGTTCTTCCCTGCTGAGATTGACTGGTAGATCCACGCTATGGCGTGCATAACTTTATGATTATACTAATACATTATATAGTATAGGCTCTTGAAGATAGAGAACGAACACCATTGCATCATAGTTATTTATTCCCTTTGTGTCCTTACTCGTTCCATTCGCTTTTTTGCAGCAGTATCCCTATCCCGTATCGATAACCTTTACTTATTAGCATTGATCAGCCATAATGTACTTAATGCATTAATGTCATATAGACACGTACACACCCATGATAAACTGCCTCGATGCAAGGACTTCAAGTTGAAAACCAGTTCCGTATTATTGAGTAAGAGATAAGATAAGATTTGGCGCTCACCTCCAAGTATTAACCAACGTGCAACTGCAAACGCCGCTCACGTCTCCATATCTCACGGAGCCCCACCTCCTTGACTCCTTCCTTCCATCTCACTAGACAATACATAACATAGATTTGAACATAGACAACTACAATGTCGCAGCAATCGTCTCTCGATGAACCAGTCGTCTACCACGGCAAGAAATTCATCGTACTCAGCGACTGGTGCGTAAATGCTAGATCTAGATCTAAGTGGCAATAGCGCTGACTGCGTTTCGTTGTGCAGGGATGGCACTATCACCACGCAGGACTCTAATGATTGTTCGTTATTTGGAGAACTTTACTATGTGTCTTGCTCTGATTGAAGTACTCAGTTGTGACGGACAACTTTGGCATGGGGCGCGAAGATCGCGTTGCGCTCAATCAACGTGTGCGTAATAACGAAGACAACTTCCGGTGCGAGGCATTGCATGTAAAAAGCTGCAGAATTGAGTTCTTCATACAGGGATTCCTTCCGGAAGATGGTCGCGAGCATCAATGAGAATGGCAAGGTCGATGGCAAGGTGACGCATACGTTCGAATTCTGTAGAAATGCTGTTGCGAACAGTAAGTTTTTGTTCACGCACGACGGTTTTCTGGAACTAATGGACGGTTTCAGACATCAAAGTCGATGATACCTTCAAGGCTTTCTACGAATTTTGCGAAACGAATGATATACCCGTCGTAATTGTGTCCAGGTACAACAACTGGTGGTTTCACGGTGCTGTGATCATTGACATCTCCGCAGTGGTATGGAACCTATCATCCGTGCGGTTCTTAACAAGCATCTCGCTAGCCTTGACGGTATACAAATAATATCGAACAAGGTGAAAACATACGACGATGGAAGCTGGGACGTTGTGTACCGTCATCCAGAGAGGTAAAATCACCCATTACCGTTTCGCGTTTCACTGAGGACGATAAATTAGTGGCTTCGGACACGACAAGTCGAAGGCGATTGCGCCTTACAGGAACATGGATCCCGCCCCGATCATATTCTTCTTCGGCGATGGCGTCTCAGACTTATCCGCCGCGCAGGGAGCGACTTGTCTGTTTGTCAAGTATAAGCCGAATGGAGAAAATGACTTGATGGAATACTGCATCAAGAGCAAGATCAAGCATCGCTTGTTCGAGAGCTTCAAGGAGGCACAAGATTTGATGAAGCTCATTATCTTTGCGGAGACGGAGGAAGAACGACAGAGTATTATCGCACGGGAGTGGCCTGAAGTAGCTTGAGAGGTTGTCTCACCCCCCAATGATGGTGGAGAAGCGATGTTGGGTACTCATGACATGTAATAACACTAGGGTTAGACGCATCAACCTCGCACTTCATCAATCAAGTGGATTAAAAGCATTATTCTCGGAGCGACAGACCCAGCGGCTTTTCAACCGCACCATGTATAGTCACGATAGGTATCGACGCTACGAACTAAGTTCGCTCGATTGGGGCGATAACGAGATTGCCGCCGGGATGGATGGGAATCTCAGCTTGACAGAACGTGGTTTGACGCCAGATGTAGACGTGCACCGCGGTGCATGACAATCATGGAAAGTAAAAGGAAATAGTGGGCGAAAATTCAACGGAAGCAAGAACGGGATTTTGAATGAGCGAGTCTACACAATCGGCGGAAGTCTAATGCGAAGTACCCTGTTCGGGAGAAAAACCCCGAGTAAGACGAATGAGCGCAAAGAAAATTCAGTACTTTATTGTCTGCGTCTCGAATTGTTCTTCTTGCAACGAGTCTCATGCGCCCCAGTTAGACTACTCGCCCTCACTTCCGCTATCTTCATCCGATGAATCCCCTTCGTCCTCCGAGGAACCCCCTTCATCCCCGTCGGTGTCACTACTAGCAGCTGCTTCCCCATTTTCGGTCTCCTGGGCTGGCTGCACAACTCCGTAGTGGTTGGCAGATGGACCAAACTCTTCATTTCCATTACTACGTTCGGCCCCTTCACCTGCCTTCGGCATCAAAGTTCTCCTCTCCTGCTCGCGGAACGTGGAGAAAGACTTGATCAAACGCTGAACGAGTTTCCACCTGCTGGAGTATTTCTCAAGGCCTGGATCGGTCTTGTAGAAAGTATGCTCCCATGCAACATGTTCCACCAAATTAGGTGCGACGGCCGAAATGAAAGCAGCGATCCCTGTCGGGTGGCGAATCCTTGAACTACTGAAGTGTGCCACATATAGTGGTTTGTATGCAAAACCCTGGTAGGCAATGTTAGGGGATGTGTTGTGTCCGCCTACAGCAGACCAGTTTATGGCAATGTTGCAATAGTGAGACGGGGGCATTTGCGGTAGTACGATGTCTCGAACGGCGGCATTCTTTAAAGATGAAGAACTCCTCCAGTAGCGGCCAGGCCTTAGCCATCTGAAAAAGGGTGGCATCATCAAATTGCACACCACAGTTCACGATAATGACTTCGAGCTTGCGAAGATTGCGGAAAGCAAAGAGTGGATGAAAAACTGCAGCACTAATCGAAGTATTATGATCATCAGATTGATCGAATATGTTGATCAGAACCCGCTCCAAAGTGCTGTTGGTACAAACACTGGATAGACGGGAAATTGAAGCTGGCAGGGCCAGTGTGGTATCTAGTCCGCGAGTGATGGACAATGATAGCACTTCTGGAGCGATCGAGAGTGTCTCGAAGAAGGCATCTGAGAGCACCAGAATTTCACACTCTATATGCAGCATCTGCAATACGCAGAACACATGATACTGTAGGAGCTTTGGGTATCCATGGATATGGGTGTGGAAGGTAATTTGAGGCGTAGAATTCCGAGTGAAGGCAAATTAGATAGGTGTAGTATGGCAGCCTCGGAACCTTTTCGGTGCTCACTGATTTCAGATGAGACCAGCATTGCAAAGCGGTCGACGTGTCTCCTGATTTTGCAGAAGATATGAAATTCGAGACCATAGGGCACTACATTGGGATATATGACAAGATGGACTGTTCGGATGGACCAAAGGCGAGAGACTGTGGGTTGATATCGAGCGTTACCAATTTGGGGGTTGCAAACAACCGGATATATTGGAACATCTCGTTGGTAGCCCCACACCATGTAAGAGACGTTAAGTTAGGAAGCAAGGAGAGGGAGAAGGGAGGACAGCTGAGGGTACGCCAAATTTCGGTACCGACCAGAACTATCGGTGGCGTATCGAGGGAACGGATACGGTGGTTGTATTTGCAAAAAAAAAAAAAGACCAGTCATCGGAGGTCATGGGTCTTTGAAGTTGCTGTCAAATGGAATGACTTCATGTACTGTCGAGCGCGAGGTAGAGTGCGACTCACCAGCTCTCGGTTGTCCTATTTCCATAGGCTTCGTGGGGAGACAGCAACTAGACGCAAGCAATGAGGGATTAACGGTGCCACTGCTCCCACCGCTGTGAGTATCTTGATGTGAGTAGGTTATGCATTTATCCAAGACAAAGTACTCGTCCTCCATGCCTGTGCAGCGGCCAGCAGTGCAAGACAACTTGGGACTGAACCGGTTATCAGGATTCAGTACTATTATGTTCTGTTTGGCCATTTGGTGGGTTGATTCAGAATCAACACGCTCATTCCATCGGGCGCCGGCACCAACGCTCAAACCCC